TATTTGGATATCTATGGTTCTAAATTGACTGTACTTGGCTACCAGGTGCTAATATCAGCTTGTTTCGGCTTGTTCCAACTGGTTTCTACCTTTGTCAAAAACTCCTGCTTTGCTCATTTGGTTTCAAGGGTTCTGAAACTAGTTAATTCCAAAATGTGTCTGCTGGTTCTAGCTTGTTCACTTGGGCTTTACCAGTTCAAAATCCTTAAACGTAATTCTTAGTTGTTCCAACAAGTTCCTGCTTCCTCCAACTGTATCCAGCAAAGTCTAATTGGTCCCAACTGGTTTCAGTGGGCTTTAAGTTGTATCAGTTAGTTCCAGCTGGTTCAAACAGGTTTTCACTTGTAAAACTTAGTTGTTGCTGAGCTCAACTAGGGCTGGTTCCATGGCTGCTACAGGTGTAACATGCAGTACATTTGTTTGCTCAGGTCACATTATCATTACACTTATCTGTTATATCAGTTAGACGGGCATTCCCAGTAGACAGAGGTTGTCAAGATCCTGCCTATTCTTGGACTTTCTTCACCAGGTATTTGACTAAGTGTATGTTAACCTTTTTAATGTTCATCTAATACACTTCAATAAATCAGTGTCTAACTGTAGACACTACAGGACCTTTCATTATTGAGGCACACAGATTTTAGTGTCTTCAGCATAGAGATGTAAATATTTGTTAAAATGAGATTATACGTCCTACTATACTACTGTACCTTATTCTAGTTTACCCTACTCCACTGTCCTACTTTGCTGTACCCTTTTATACAGTACAACGTTTTTTTGCACCATACTTCACTGTACCCTACTCCTCTGAACTCTACTGTACACTATTATTTTGCATCTTATTGTACTGAACCCTCCTCCACACTAACCTACTTTACCCTTCTCTAAAATGACCCTCCTTTACTGCAACTTACTCAATCCTACCCCACAGTGCACTTCTCTACTGTACCCAGTATCCTACTCTACTGTACTCTATTCTTCTGTACCCTTCTCTAACACACCTTACCCCACTGGGTCCTAATCTACCTTACCCTACTCTTCTGTTCCCAACTGTACTACTCCATTCTTATCTACTCTACTGTATCCTCCTTTACTGCACCGGTGCACCCTTCTTTACTGTACTTTGCCCTACTTTACCTTACTCCCCTCTACCAAATTGTACTACTTGACTGTGACCTGCTCTTCTTTAACTTCCTTTACTGCACCATACTCTACCTTGCCTTACTTTACCTGACTCCCTTGCACCCAACTGTACACTGTCCACTAACCTACCTGTTTGTACTCTGTTGATCTGTAGTTTACTTCCCTGCTACTTCCCTATTCTATTCTGGCTATCTCTACTCTGTGTTTCATTCTTCCAACTAAACTTAACTGGTCTCTAATTGATCCCTTAGTGGGATCTGATTGGTCCTAACAGTAAATCAGTGGTGTTGTGTGATAAGTCATTGATCCTGAAACCCCCCCTGCATGTTTTCTGGGGGTCATGTTTTATGCAGGTTTCTTCCTCCGACTGGTCTCCACATACTCTAAACTGGTTCCCACAGATACCAGCAGTATTATTTATTGATGGGTATGCCCTTTGACCCTTGAAACCCTCCTGTCTGTTTATTTACTGTCGTTCTCCTCTTTTCTTTTCTCTTTGTTCATGTTTGTTTTGTCATTTCCCCCAGTCGTCCAAATAAAGGTAGCCCTGCCCATGGAGAGAGCCCCCAGTCTTCTATTGAGGGTTAACCTGAACTGATTGTGTTTGTGTCTCTACTGAACTGTTCTACTGTTCTCTACTGATGCTGTGTTACTGTGACCCTTACTAGTAATAATGATTAAAAAAAAGATATATTTAATGTCAGCACATTATGACTATATATCAAATGATCAGTAAAACACTACTGCAATATTGAGTTTATAGATAAGTTGTCCAGCTCTCTGTCTACTGTAAGGAGAGTGGGACAGGCCAGCTGCCGGTCTGTCAGCCTTCTAACACTGTCTGTCACATCACATCAATACGATGGTGACAGAAACATGGGATTTATCAGGGTTATAACATACTGTAGAAGACTTCAGCAATGCTGTAGAAGTGAAGATCTCTCACTCCTCGTTGGATATTCCGGCTGCTCTGGGATCAAACACGACTTCAGTAAGCAAGCTAATAAGCAAGTTTGCTAGCTCCATCAACTCCTTGAATTGAATATATGTTGCTCTGATAATTATTTTCTTTCTCTCTTGTGTGAAGCCAACAAGAGAGTATTCTTATTTATGCAGAAATGTTTCTTTACAGTGTAAAGTTTACATGTTGTTTATGTATTATCTATTTATTGATTAATTTATTATCTGCGTTTGTGATCAATATGACATTCTTTATGTGAGCTGTCATCTTGTTCATGAAATGTTTCCCACCAAATATATTTGGCATTGTTAGCTTTTATCAATCTTAACCAATGGTATGTGAATCTACTGTACTCGGTTTGATTCTTGTCCTCTAAATTTCATCACTACAATCTTGTTCTAACTGGTTCTAAATGATTCCAATTCTTTCTAATTGAGAGTAACTGGTTACATCTGGCTCCTACGTCCAATTGGCTCTTACTGGTTCCAGCTTCTCGTAATTGGCGCCTGTTTGCTCAGACTGGTTCTGAAGTCAGACACAAATAGCCAACAAAAACATCCATTTAATATTCACAATGCGGATGTGTACATAACTCTACACTTGAGTCCAGTATTTCATGGTTAACTCCAGTTTAATTGTAACTACCAACCACATTTATTGGGCACTTTTAATTCAAAATGAGCATTGTCTCTGAACGTGATGCCCATTGAATCCAATGTTTTTTTTCCACTGGTTTCTTTCCTTGAAATGTTACACGTTCTAGATCAGAGCTTTATTTATACATATTTTTTATGGCTGCTAATGGAGGTTTGATGAATAACTTCAGGAGGTGAAAGTGTTGTAAAAGGAAATGTTGCAGACACGATCTGTCATGCAGGTTTGGCAAGTCTTAATGTTCTTCAGAGACACACCAGCTGTTAGATTTTATCCATTGACTCTACGTGATGATTCGACTGAACAACAGTCTGTACAACTCTAATCTATAACTGCTGATCTATTTATTCAACCTGTGTAAGTGTATAATGTTCATTATGTAGTGATTACGTCAAATTAGCCGAGCCCTGAGCTGCGTTCAACACCACATGTGCTCTTCTGTGTTAGCGGAGCGTGTTAGTAGCTGTGAAGTGTCTTCTTGTATTTAGATTACTGTCAGCATGGTAGTTATAATCTGATTTAAAGTAGAAATGTTCCTGAATTTTTCGTAAGAAAAAAAGTTAAGTATTGCAAATGTTGCTGTGCAGCAGCGTGTCGCACGCAGCTCAGCCTCCCACAAATATACACACACACACCTGTGATAGTGGACAGTTCACTCTGTATGATATTAATATAAATGTAATGTTTACAGAATATATGAAGATAATAATGAACCATATATATGTGAGGGACATAAATGTAGATCTATTCAACTGAAATATGCAGCGGCCAAGACTGTAGTGTATATGTGTGTAATAGTGTGTATATGTGTGTGTGCAGTTTTGTTGTGTATCTTTAGTGTCATGTGATCAGGGCCAACAGAGAGATGTTAAATAAAGTTTGAGTGAATGAAGAAGACAGGTTTTCATTTCTTTGAATAAACTGACTACACTCACACTAAAATGTTTGGTGAAAGACTTTCTAATCCAGCTGTGGCAGTGACTTATGAAGGGGTGGCCTGAAGTATGTGTGCACCTCACACAAATGAATAGCATTCATTTATTTGACCTACATAACAACTTGCACATAAAAAAATATAAATAAGAGACAACTATGGTGTGTTTGAATTTGATTTGAATATATTGGTATTACTTTTAGTATGCCCCAGTCAGTTTTTCATCCAGCAGTGGTGAAACAGATACGGCTAAATGGTTATTCTTGAGGGAAATGAGCCTTTATAGTATAGCTCATTAAGGGGGATCTTTTTTTGCCATTCACAAGCTCAAATTGTTTTGCTCTGAGCTTCACAGAACTTATCCCTACATACAAAGACCTTTCTCTTAAAGAACCAGACAACAACAGCCATTACAACGCTATCCTTAAAGCCACCAGAATCCCCACAATTTCACCTTGCAGAACAAGAGAGCTACTGGTCTATACCTCTGTCTGTACCTCTAGGTTATGTTTTGTGAAAGTAAAATGGCTTTTCTTGTCAATGGGGTCAGGTGGGAAGAGAGCAATGTAACAGCTGTGTCAGGTTAGAAATTTAAAAAAAGAATGTTTCTCTTTCAGTGGTAGTTTTTATCGTACTTATTTTAAAGGAAATGTGATGATTAGGTTAAAGACTTAAGGCTGTTTCTGTCTTCATTATGTTTTATTTCATTTTGTCATACTATTTCTGCTGTAAAATAGCTGCTAATTCATATTTTAAATATTCCTGTGGACATTATGACAACTATAAACTGATAAATGATCCTGAAGAAAACTTAAGACCATGATTATTGATAATCATCACATTTTTTAAGAATGTATTTCAGAGATTAAAATGGTCCCAAAAAATAGAAATCCTATATCTGCACCAATGTGTGTTTCATGTCTACATTTAAACACCTGACTCAGTTAATACACTATCTACCCGCCTTTTTTTATTTTTTATTTTTTTATATTTTATTGCAGGCTGTTTTACTTCATTACAAGTTGTCATATTTCATCACAAATTTTGTTCATCCTGGCACATTTTTATATATAATTAAACATACCAGAATCTGGTATCTATCTACCCGTCTTAATAAACATCAAGCACTCGTCATGATGAAACTCAACTGTGAAGAGTGATATGAACTTCTCAGAGTATTACAGAACTGTGATGTGGGCTTCCAGTCAGCAGATGGTACTGTAGGATGTTACACTGACTGAAACTCTATTTCGGCATCATGTCGCCTCCCTCGTCCTCCTTACTGAGACGACAAACTGAAATGCTGAATGTATTCAACTCAACTAAGACAGAAGGAGGAAGAAGAGAAGGAGGAAGGGAGAGAGACAGAAATACAGAGAGTGACAGAGAGCCACATAACATGAAATGAGAAACAACAGCTAAACATAAAGATAGAGATAGGGAGAGTATAGAGAGCAAAGTGTGGATCTGTAATATGAGAGAAGAGGAATAAACTGCTGGCTGACGCTACCAGTCGTCTGTTTGTCCACCCGCAGACATGTCCTCCCGAGCAGAGAGTAAGACAGGTAAGCTCCTCTTTTTCTTCTTCCTCGTGCTAAATGTTAGGCACCACAGGCTTAAAATATTCACCTCCTGTCAGTTTACTTCAGAGTTTATTATTTGAATTTGAACCAAGATTCTTTACTTTTTTGTATATTGGTGATGATGATGAATATGAAAGTTGTGAGGAAGGTGATGATGATGATGTTCCTCTTCCCCTTCAGCCTCCCAGTTTGCATCTCTCACCTTGAAGCTGAAGGACAAGATCCACTCACAGAAGATCAGACGCTTTGAGCGAATGAAATACAACCCGTCACAGAAAGTCAAACCACCTGATCTGAACTTGGAGCATGAACACACACTAGAACACAAGGTACACACACACAAACACACACACGGTGGAACACAAGCCTGTGCTGCAACACCAGGAAAATACTGTACCACAAGGTACACAAATAGCCTACTGAAATATAGGGCACACACACCCTCTGCAACACAGGTTACAGACACTGCATATAAAATGCGTATAATTATGCAAACAAACACTGCAATACAAGGTTCAACCCTACACTACATCACAAGGCAAACTTGCTTAACATAAAGTACACAAACTGCAACATAACGTAGACAACTTGCAACACAAAGGACACTCACAGCAACACAAGGTACACACACTGCAACAGAGGGGAGACAAACCCTGAAATACATGATAATGTAAAACCACTCCACAGCACATGATACACACATTGCAATAAAAAGAGTACACAAACTGCAATACAAGGCACACAGATGAACTGAAACACAAAGCATTAACTCACAAAGCTGTATGTCTTATCCATGCAAAAGAAAGAGTGGGGAAAAGGATAAAAAAAAACTGATTGTGAAAATATGAGATCCTGATTTTTAGACCAAAAGGTCAAGATCCTACATTTCACATTATGCACTCAGCAACCAGAGAGCTTCCTGACTTCCTGGTTGTGACCATTTGGACTATGTATGTCACGTATGGACAGCATAAGAGCAGGAGAGAAGTGAAGCCATAAGACTTAGAGCTCCATCTGCTAACTGACCTCAGTCATTAACCATTTCACGTTCTTTAACAGATGGAACAAAGGGGAAACCTCCTTATTTTGAAATACTTGTCAAATTTTTTTTTCTTAAACATGGTTTCTTTCATCATAGTTAGTTCTTATCGTTTGGCTAAGTCCACTGGCAAGATCCCTTCTGTGAATGTTCAGTAAGCTCTCACCACTAATGTAATCAAGGCATATTCCAGATCGAAATATTACGGAGGGGAGATTCCCATAGGAATGAATAGGCTTGTGGTTGAATTCCCTCCATATATATACGTTAGTTGCAGTTATTTAGACTCCATCCACCAAGGTGTAGCATGGAGAAATTTGTGAGGGAATCTGCTTCTACCAGATGTGTTGACCTCTTAATGTACAGATAAGGTTTCTATCTTAACCCAAACTAATAATGGCTCTCAACTCATTCTCCCCTCCCTTTTAGAAGTGGGTATACCCTATAGACTGAAAAAGAAGTGGGCATACTTTGTATACCTGTGTATACCCTACACTACACAACTGTTTGTCACCCCTAACCCAACCCAGCACAAGTTGAAAACTATGGACCTGTTTCACTTCTACACTTCCTGTAAAAAAATGCTTAAGTGCAAAGTCTTTATAAAAGTCTCTGAATTCTTGTCTAAGAACAATCTGTTTGACCCAAATTGGTCCGACTTTAAGTTGGACAACTCTACTCTCTCTCCAAGACTGCACTGCTATCTGTAACAGAATCACTGCTATCGGCTAGAGCTGCTGGCCAGCCCTAATTTCTAATACTGCTAGCTCTATCATCTGCATTTGACACAGAGAACTCTCAAGTCCTCCTCTCCACACTCTCTAAACTTGGAATCTCAGGATGGTTCCTCTGCTGGTTCATATCCTACCTCTCAGGGAAATATCTGAGTGTCTTTGGAGGAACAATTGTCCAAACGGCAATACTTGTACACTGTGTCTATGGGCCAGTGCTTGTTCCCCTTCTCATTATACACCACTTTACTTGGTGCAATCATATGCTTCTATGGTTTGTCATAACATTGCTTTGCAGACTATACCAAGGTCTTCCTTTCTACCGGTGGACACAACAGTTTAGGCACAGATTTCGTCATGCCTTGTAGATTTCTTCATCAAACCTATCTCAAGCCCTTTTCAGACTGCCAGTTGAAGGCGCTATGTTTACACCTCTGTGAAGTCTTGCCTTCTATATCATGTCAGGAGGACGTAATGGATAGAAAAAGTTATCCCACCTCTGTGCCATCATTGGAGGTAGTAACAGAGGCATTACGCCTTGATTGCTCAGTCATGTTGATATGCCTTGTACAACATGAGGAAGATTAGACGCGACCTGGCTACACAAATCGTGGTAGCCAGCGTTGACTACTGAGCCATGCATTGACTACTGAAATGTATTCCTGGTAGGTCTTCCTGCCTGTACCTTCAAACCTATGCAGATGATCTGGAATGCAGAAGCGCAACTGGCCCCAAAACAGCGAACTCTGCTGTTTGTATAACTTAAATGGCTCCATGTCCGCTCGCATCAAATTAAAATGCAAAACCCTATTGCTCCCTTAATCCAGTTCTACATCGATCCTGCCCATTACACTCTGCCAATAAAAATGTGCCTGGTCCTACCTTAACAACCTGAGACACTGACTAGAGTCTTCTTCTTTGTGTCTTTGTCAGTCTCTGAGTGGGTTGGCAGACCAAGAGCGAGCCGTCATCAGCTCTCTTCAGTACTTCAAAGCTCTGGTGGACAGACTGGGAATGGACAAGCTGGTTCTGGACCAGACTGCAGTGGGCGGTTTGCTTGGTGGAGCTTCCAGTGGAGTCCTGGAGACAGTACAGACTCTGGTCAAGCTTGAGTCTCATTTGCACAGCAGGTAAGTGAAGCCTGCTGATCTTTCACTGCAATTATTAGTGATTGACCTGCCTCCTGATCTAACCCTCACTGTCATCTCTGCAGTAGGACCATTTCTTCCTGTCTCACTCGTCTCTACCAGTCTGTGGCTCAGCTGATTCGTTGGGTCGATAAGGTAATGTTGCAAGGAGTTGCCCATGATACCAAAGAGTCCAAAGCAAGTGTCTGCCTGGCAATCCGAGCAGTTCTGGATGGGGTAAAGGTGAGAAGAAATGATTGTTTGGACCGATGTTTGTGTCCTCGTCTACATACTCATTGTATTCTGTTAATTTCCTAATCTGTCCTGTTTTTCTATTTTGTTTTCTTCTGTCCTGTATTTCCTCAGACATCTGTTTGTCCACCTTGTATCAAGGCAATAATAATCTATCTTCATCTATCCTGTTTGTCCTCTGACTGGTTCTGTCTGGTTTCAACTATTTTCCTTTTTCTGTCCTATTTGTCTGCTTTGGTCTTTTCCAGTGCTATCTAACTTCTCTGCCCACTGATGTCCTGTCCTGTATGTCCAGGTCATTAAGGTTTGTCATCTACTTTCATGTTGTCCTCTTCTGCCTTTTGTGCACTACTTCCCCTCCTCTGTCCCATTTGTCCTCTTCTGGTCAGCCAAAAGAAAGGATTACTGTGACATTATCACACATGATGGACTTGGGTTTCAGTCTTATTGTATCCTTGTCTACAGGCTCAGTGTATCCTCTTCATGTTTACTTCTGTCCATCCAGTTTCTCGTCTTCTGTCCTTGCCCTCTTCTTTCTAGTTTTTTTTACCTGTTATTATCGATATTTTATGTTATATTGCTCCTATCTGTTTAAACTGTTATTTCCTGCCCTTTCAGTTTATTATGTTCTGGTAGTGTCCTTTTCTACGGAAACAAAGATGGAATAGTGATCATCACCATCATCTTGTCCTGTAACCTTCGGCTTTTTACTGTGTTGTTTCTTAGTCATCTGTTGTCCCATTCATTTATGTTGTCCTGTTGTTGTCTGTAATTTCCTATCAAAGCAGCATTTTCTTTTTGTAAATTTGTTATTGCCTGTTTGTCCGTCAGGAACTTGTTCGGTTGGCTTCAGAGAGACAAGAAGGCTCCGTCCCCTTGTCCCCTGTCCAAACACAGGCTGATGTGGAACAGCCAGGTGGTTTTAACAATCAGCTGACGCCAAGGAAGAATTCTGCCCCCCAGAGTCCAGAAGCTCCTTGCAAGAAAGAGGCGGAGTTGGTGAGGTTAGGGAGGAGGAGCCTGGATGACATACATTTAGCTCCTCCTAAACCCCCAATGCCTGTCCAAGAGCTCCTCCCCATGGTGCCATCGCAGCAGGGACCCGGGTAAGTCTGAACAAAGTACATACAATTCAATAAGCAAAATAACATATGGGACATGTATTGATACAAACTGCAGCTTTATTGCGGTTGACCTTAACTTAACCTTGTTGTAATCAAATACTGACCCCTTGTCACAGCACCCCTTTGGCATAGTGAAAGGTAGCTCCTGTGTAATGTCTGTTTGAAGTTGTCCTTTTCTGTCTTTTTCAAAGAAGCCTTAACCACCTGTTTCAGGGCACCCTTAAAAGTGTTTTAAAAGTGTAATTTACTGTCTCATTCAAAGTACCTTTTAACATCTGTTACATGGACCACTTAATCAACTATTGCAAGGGACCATCTGTCTGGTTCAAGATACCCTTTAAAATCCTATGAAAATGTACCCATAGGCATCTGTTTTAAGGATACCCTTTTGAGTCAAGCCGTTTTCACATATGCACTCCGGATAATATCTAGATATTTACAGGAGGACTTCTCCGGAGATTCTCCCGACCTAGCCGTTCACATATGCTCCTCACAGCGGGGGACTATCCCTGATAGAGGGGAGGGGGATTTCCTGAGGTGAGACGTGACGTAAAAAAACAACGCGGAAGTAGCGGCCATAGCAACAGAGTCCGCTACACGACGCTATAATGAGAATATTTGCCTTTATATCAATGCTATGTGTAGTCCAATGGAATGACAACATCCACAAAAGAGAGGAGAACAACGTACTGACGAACAGAAAACAGAATGCAGCCATTTAATTACGTGCACGGAGATCGTAGTGATCGTGTGCAGACACTTTAGCCGGTCACGGTATATAAACGTCATTCTCTTTCCATTGGCTGAAATTGAACTATCCGGAGTATATGCTGCCGCGTTCACACATCAGCTCACTCGGATTTTCTGCGAAACAAAATACTAGGGGTCAAAATACTAGGGGTCAAAATACTAGGGGTCCGGAGAAACTGTTTGCGTTCATAGCCTAAATCCCCTCCGAGTAGCCAAATCTCCAGAGTTTTTCAGGAGATTTCCGTATGTGTGAAAAGGGTTTCTGTTTCAAAGTACCTTTAGCATAGTCTATATAAAACATGGACATAGTCTCAGTGACACGCCAGTCGTTGGTTTATGAAGAGACAGGTGTATGGCCTGTTCTATGGGACCCCATGATGTCTTTTTTAAGACGCCCATTTCTAACATGTGACTAACAATGTGAAGCTGTCATTTTGGTTGAACTTAGGCACAAAAACTACTTGGTTGTATTTAGAATGGACATCATGGTGTGACTAAAGACTATTAGGCTACTCAAATTAACATTTGTTTGGAGCAGGACTCTTGCGCTGTACTCTGAGATGAAAGCTCTGGGTTTTTGCTCCATCCAAACCAACCCCCCAGGCAGACTTCATCTGTCTTTCTACATCTTTGTCCAACTCCCAACATGCTGGAAACCAGGAAAGATGCTATGAGCATTAAATATATCAGGGGAGAGGACAAAATAAATGCTAATCATAGTTGGTTAGGTTTAAGACAATATTTGTGAAAACACAATAAATACACTTGTGTTTTTGTTCGATAATGTTTTCTGAAAATGTAACATATTATATTTGGCTCTGTCAAACTTTACAGCTCAGTAGAGTCAAATAAAGTAAAATAGAGTCATGATAAAGTAGTATTTGACAGAGAAGTAAAGAGCCATCATTAGGTTGATGTTGTTAACATTTTTTTCCTCAAAATTTGTATTTTTAAGCTCAAATTCCTATTTATTTATACAATATTGAGTTCAAAGACTGTGTTACTGGCCTCAACAGGAGAGATTAAAGGTTCAAAAACTGTATTAATTTATACAGAAATTACAGCTCTCCTGATAGATAACAGTAAAAAACTACTCGTACTGTCAGAGTTGTTGTGATGAGACTCTTTGCTGTAAGTAAATTTGACTGTGAAGGTGAAACTGTTTCAGTCGGTTGATACCAATACGAAGAACAGAAATAGAAATGTCAATGAAACAGGAAGCAGAAAGGCTGAAGGCATTACATGTCACCGCTCCCCCACATCTCTGGCCTTCCTGTGTCTGCATGAAGTGAACGACAGCAGGAACCAGAAAAAGAAGAAGAAGTGAGACAGAAAGTGTCAGCTTCTCTTAGTTCCTTTTCATGGAACTCAACCAAATTATACCCAGCAAGTTATGTGACAACACCTTCTGCTACTCTTCTCTGTGTGAGAAGTCCCAAAAACTTTGTAAAGAAGTACAAGTATCATATTTTTCAGAAAAAAAACCTACATAAACTCTACATATCACTACTTACCTTGGGCTTTTCAGGATTTAAAGGAAATGTTCTTTTTAAAAATGTTCAAAGCTTGGTCCAAAAGGCAACTGCACTTGATTGACCTGCATGACTGGGAACCTTCAATGAACTGTTTATTATTCATCATACTAAATAAATATGGACTAAATAAAACAATAGCACTTTGCATTTCAAATATATACAGTATTGTTTAAATGATCTTAACTGCTTTTTAATAACCTTAACTAAAAAATATTTATAAAAAGCCTTAGAGGGTGACAAAGGGATTGTATGAGAAGTGTTATTTTCACAGTGTAACGAACTACACCCGGAGAGGAGAGAAGTAAACCGACCATCACTTTCATACTGACTGTCTTTTTTGTTTTACTTTTTTTTTATTGGTGATAAGGTGAACAAAATGAAACAAGAATATATAGACATGGCATAGACATGACAACTAAAGCGAGAACAAATAAACAAAGACAAAGATACAGAGCAACAATACAGACTAATACATTTAAATGAGATGAAAGTCAAGCAATGATTTATGTTCAGGTAGTGTGTTAGAAAGGTGTGAATGTGTTCGTGGCAGCGTAATGCATGAAAGTGCGGAACTTAGTGGGGAGTAGTGTGAAAACAAACAAAAATATAAATAAATAAATGAAAAATTAGTTAGAGAAAGAACAATTGTCTATATGCATGTAAACATTAATGGAAAGAAAATAAAATTATATAAATGTAATAATGTGACCATCATAAAAAGAGAAGTGATAGTAATACATATATAATAAAAGATTATACTGACTGTCAACACATTTTTGTAGATGATGGCCATTAAAATCTCACTTCAGAAATTCTGAAAATTGAACTGAGGTTGCGCTACTCTAAAAATGTATCAATCTGTCTGTTTGTTTGTCTGTCTGCCTTCCCTCAGTCCTCCAGCATTGCCGCCAAAGAAACGTCAATCTTTACCAGGGCCCACCCCCTGCAGGGTTGCCATAGTAGCACCAATGAGACGAGAACCAGAAGCAAAAAGTCAGCTACATCAAGTATGTTGATGCAACTGTTTTTATTCACATCGATTCAAGTATGGTTCACAATGCTATGCTTAAAGAACAAAAACAATCATGAAAAAAAGTGTAAACAACAGAAAGCCCTTTTCAACACATTCAAACATGTTTCATCTGTTACTGTTTTCGTCTGTGTTTCTATTTTTGTGTGTGTCTGTGTTTGTGTTAAAGGAGGAGGGCGAGGAGTATTTCAAACGTTGCTCTACTTTATCTGGAGACTCTACTGCTGAAAAAACGAACAGTGGTAACACATACACACTTTTTTTCCCAGTAGCAGTAGGGTGAGCGTGACATCACTTTCTGAAAGTTGACAGAAACAGGAAGTAGGGTTCTCTCGCGCTTCCGTTCTGTAATTAGGTTAAGAAGGCAGGATCACGACACCCTCCTGCTGGACAAACATCCAATTATTGAGTATTTTTAGTCTGATATTATTTTAGTCTCTGAGGGGGGTAAGGGGACGTTTTTCTTCACTTGTAATCGGGCTGGTCTGAGATTAAATGTAAGCATAACATTTTAATATATGTAGTTTTTATCTAATCTATAACAGCCTATGTTTGTCTCCCAGAGGAAGATCCAGACTATGACTTCCTCCACACTGATCTCTCCTCCTCTGAGACTCTCCCAGCTCTTCCTTCCCCCTCCTCCCTTCCTCCTGCCCTGCCAGAGAAGAGACGTCAGAGCACTGCAGGTGATGAGTCGCCTGAGCTAGCCATCTGTCTCTCAGTCTTTATATCTTTATTTATGTCTGTCTGACAGTTCTCTGCTGTTCTGAACAACAGGAAACACCAGCTCTCAGGACGTAACTTCTTTCGGATTTGATCCTGCCCCTATTGAGCCAAACCCTGCTCTGCCTGATGACCTCAACACTCCTGATGAGTCTCTGTCCTCCCCTCTGTCTCCCGGCAAGACACCCCCTCCTCTTCCTGAGAAGAAGCGACACAGTGAGTCAAAACAGACCAGACTGGGATTCAGACTTAGTAATCCATCAGAAACTCAGTATTAAATGTATCACCTAAATGTAGCCTCAGCTCATTCAGTCTTCTATACTTCAAATGCTTTGAATTTCCCTCAGGATCAATAAAGTATCTATCTATCTATCTATTTAACTTGTGTCTTCCTGTCTGTCTCTACCTGTCTGTGTCTCTGTCTGTGCGCAGTCCATCAGTACCTCCAGTTCTGTTCGGCCTACAGCGGCCAGTCACCAGCCATGTTTTACCAGCAACCTTTGACCTTTCAACAGCAATATAGCAGCAGGCAGCGAGAGGTGGAGGACACCTACCAGCTCACACACCTAGAAACACACCTAGAGAAGCAAATAACAGACTCCACCCCCTCACCTGAGCAACTTCCTACTCCAATTCTACCACCTAAGAAGAAACCGCAGGTGAAAACCTGCCTTTTTTTTTCTCAAACCCATGCTTCCTTGCATCCTGTCTTTTCTCATGACTTTAGAATTGATACTGTGCAGTATGTATAGGATCTTCCCATTGATCTTCCTATGACAGTTCCCAAGAAAGAGTGTTGTTCAAAGTAGAAAGTGAATGAACTCACAGGCCATTTAAAAAAAAATGAAGCTAGTAGAAATACCTTGCCAGATAAAGAATTATAAGTTACATCCACTGATCTTATTTTCAACTAGTCTCACTGTGACCTTATAGATTTATTGAACTCTGATTTGTGTGTATTTTATCTTCGATAGGATACAGTTGAAACCAAGCCTCAGTTTGACAATCACCAGCCCAGAGAAAGGTGACACACACTCAAAAACAGATATATCAGCACACACCTATACACAGAAAAAATACAGTGACATGTTCTGTTCTGCAGTTCCCAGAGCCTCCAACAAGAGGAAGAGCCTTTCGACAGGAGCATAGAGCAACTTGGGGACAAGGAGGAGGTGTTATTGACTGACCAGCAGGAGATCCTCCAAAGAATCACAATGAAAAATGAGGTACAGTCCTGACCTCTAACCCCTCTGCTAACAGCTATATTTGCCCCTCACACGTAACTTAACCTGTCTGTTACAGGAGGAGGAGGGGCCAGACGTGAAAGCCGCCTCTCCTGAAATTCTATTGGTCTTCGCCACAGAGACTGACAGAAACAGTAAGTTCTCACACTGACTCAAGATAGAAAATAAATGAGAGGGCAGGCACAGAAGCTACACTATGTACGGCTATACCTATTTTTGCTCCTGTAATTAAGATTTGCTGACATTTGTTCCAGTACTTTGTACAAATTTAAAGAACAACGGAGCTAAAAATGTGTCGTCGTTGTCTCGTGTTTAGCAGCTTTACTAGGTACAGAAAGCCATCTAACCAAACGTATATCATGGTTTGCACTCAAATAATAATAAATCCCATTTACACCTAAAAGTTTTTACTCTTTCCTTGTCGACCTTCAAATTAGCTTTTTACTTTTGAAGCTTACAAACCTACACCAACTATACTACAAAATAATAAATTACCCTTTCCAATGTAGCCATTTAGCCACAGCCCATAGATTTAATGGCAGTTTGATATACACATACTCCACATGCAAACATTTTGCAAGCAATGGGCTAAAGACACTAATGAGTCATATTTTGGCAAAATCCTGTAATATGACTGTACCTTGTCAGTCAACATGGTTGTTTGACTTCCCACAATGCTTTTGCTAGCTTTGCAACCTCTGCTTGTAAACAAATGCAGGAAGTCTATGGGAGGCAAGGGATTTCTTGTGGGTGCAAAATAACAAGTTGGTGGTATTATATAAAAATGTATGGTTGCATGATAAGTTGTTGGCACAACTACTAACTTGTGGGTGCAATATGATAACTTATCCTTTCAATATTCTAACAAAAATATATTATAATATTCTAAAATAATTACTAAAGGGTGCAACAATCTACCTTTTGATTGCAAGATAATGAGATGTTGGTGCAAGAAATTATTACTCTGGTTGCTCGCCGAACATGCGTGAGCAGGAAAGTAGCGTGTGGGTGAAAGATGCTAATGTAAGGAAAGTTGTGAGTGCATGGTTGTAACGTCTTTATGGTAGATTCTATCTGGTAGTTGCAACGTTATGACTTGTGGTGCCCAAATATTTACTTGTCAATCTAAGACACAAACTGTTGGCAAAAGACAATTACTTGAGTGCTAAACACTTGCACTTGAGTTAACAATTTCACAGTTTTCCATAAGAGCAATTCAATGTGAATTGTTAGCTATCACTATGATGCTCCCTACTGAACTGAACCTCAGTTAATAGTGAAACATCAAGAGCTTTGGTCTTCACATTCATCGGGATGTACATAAAAGTCTGTGTGTGTTTATGTGTGTTTCTGTGTTTTTAGACCAAGGCATGTACCGTGAAGCCTTCCTCTCCACCTACAGAAGCTTCATCAGCCCAAATGATGTCATCATCAAACTACAGCAGAGATATCCTCTACAAGACAATAGCTGCACAAACAGCTTTATAAAACGTTATACTGATTGCTCAGATTGTGATCACTTGGAGGCATCTGGAACTTTTATATATGTCTTTAGTATAAGGTACATTGACTCTGGACTGTTTACACATGCAGCCCTTAAAATAATCATTAACTATGAAACTACTGACTCACAGCTATGAGGAAAAAATACATTTACATTTCTTCACTTAAAAAAATAAGCATTTGAAGAATCTTTTGACCTTTAACAGAATCAGCCTGAAATGTGAAATTGACCTGTTTTGCTGTGTATAGAAGACTGATACAGAGTATAGCAAATGAGAAAATATTACAGTCAGGAAGAGGGTTAGAAAGTGTCCTTATATGCAGATGATCTGATACTTTATTATTGTAAGATTTTCTCACCTGTCTTGACCTGTTCAGGATCAGATTGCCTCATATCATAACACATATTGTGACATTACAAAGATTCAGTCCCAACTTTAACCATCAACACGTACAGATACTTGTGTGGAGGACGTAAACCTGCAGATCTGACAAGTGCCAAGAAGACCTTTCACCTTCTGATCAGGGTGGTCGACGAGCTGTGGTAAGACAACACACACCTGAACCAATCAGGGGCTTCTTATCATTATAACAATCACAAATGTATAATCTCATTAGCTAGAGAGAGGACCACTTTAACTTAATTTATAAATTATTTATTTTATTTAGTATTGCCTAAGAAGCACATTCATTTAGTGTAACGTATTTGTTTCAGTGCAATAGAACTGGAGTCTGATTTGCTACTGCTGTTGATGGACCTGGTTTTCATGCTCTTGATTGGTGGAGAGCTGGAATTGGCTCAGCTTCTGCGTTCTAATATCCTGTCCAAGATGGAGCAGAGGTGGCAGCTGATTGGCTCACCTCAGTCCCTCCGCCCCCTTGCAGCCAGGGGTGTGGCTGCAAGGTAACCTGTGAACTCCGACCTCTTGGTTGATTAACATTTTTGTTGTCCACTCAGACATCCATACGTCTCCTTTCTTTCTCTTCAAGACCAGGAACTCTTTTGGACTTCAGGAGTCAGGATTTAGCTGAGCAGTTGACTCTGATGGACGCTGAGCTCTTCTACAAGATTGAGGTACTAATTTTAAATTTCATCTTTCACTTGTCTTTCACCTTTCTGTCTCACCTGTGTGTCTCACCTGTCTAGCTTCCAGAGTTGTTGCTGTGGTCCAAAGAGCAGAATGAGGAGAAAAGTCCAAACCTGACACTGTTCACGCAACATTTCAACAACGTTTCTTACTGGTAAGCTGACACAGCTTTGCTATTAAAATAGAGGACATAGAAAATATGGTTCAAAATGCTTAAAAAATAGTTGGTTTAAGTTATGCAAAACAGAGTTTCAGGGTGTAAAACCCTGCTGCTTCCTTGTGGGTGTCTTCCAGACAACCCAGTCATCCCAGCTGACTAATCACTGAATGAGGCCGGTGTGATGTCACTTTGTTGTTTTCAACTTTTGGCAAATTGTCAAATGAAGATTGTCCAGTCAACAGCCTGAAAAGGAGTCTAGAGCATATGGTCTTAGATTGAAATCTTAAATACATTTGAATTACAATAACAACATGCTTTGTTAGTTTTCTTTATTTGTTGTTGTTGTTGTTGTTGTTGTTGTTGTTGTTGTACACTTTTAATAAACATTTATCTTAAAAATAATACACTAAATATCTTGAAAATAATACACTAAGTGTATTTCAGGGTTCGTTCTGTCATCATTCTTCAAGACAAACCCCAAGAAAGAGAGAAATTGCTGCTGAAGTTCTTGAAAACCATGAAGGTAAACGCATACAGGTGAAAGTGAAGGGTGGAGTTTAGGTTGGACGATGCTTTGTCTCTATCATGACACCTCTTACATTGCTCTGCAGATTGTTTTTTTGCCTATTGGCAAAAATGTACATTAAAATAAGCTTTGGTAATAAACTTGCACACAAGTTAATATGTTGGAATGTTAAATAAAATAAGCTAATTTGTTATAACATTAATTTTGGTAAGTTTGTATTGAGAAGAACCCATAGTGCCAACTTGATATCTGTAAAATACCAGTAATGTGTTCTTGTGTTTATGCAGCACCTGCGGAAACTTAACAACTTTAACTCATACCTGTCCATTCTGTCAGCACTTGACTCAGCCCCATTGCGACGCCTTGACTGGCAGCGAAACACAGCAGAGGTTTTCACACATTTTAGATCCTACTTAATTGTGTTTTATGAATATGCTGATAAGTGCTGTGTGTTGAAGTTTTTCATTTGTTTGTGTTTTAGACTCTTGAGGAGTACAGCTCTTTGATTGACAGCTCCTCATCGTTTAGAGCTTACAGGGGAGCTCTAGCTGAAGTGGAACCGCCATGCATACCCTACCTGTAGGTTACAACCTTGTATTCTGGATACTCTGTAAACCTCTACTTTATAAACCCTATACATCACCCCCTTCACAACTCAAGTATGTAAATACCTTAACAATGTGTTTATACTATACACCAAATAAGCCCATATCTTTGCAAGCCAATATATACAACCAAATTGTCTGTTAATACCCCATAACCCTTTACCACTACCTATATCTGTTGATTATTTCCTGTAAACCCCACCCATTCTTTTTGAAACGCTTTGTCCACTGGAATGCCCGACTATATAGACCCTACCAGTGTGTTGACCCTGTACCCCACTATATTAACCTAATATGTAAGTTAATACCAAGTATATTTAGCTTTCGGTCCCCATCTCTTTATTTAACCAAGCTGAAGGTTAATATGGTGTATTACCCCTCTCTTTATAGGCTACACTACCTTCAGGTTATTATCCTCTATTCTCCACTATATGCATTGTCTGTGACTATGTGTTAATGACATTGAAATCCCACTAAACCTTACCTGATGGGTAATATGCTGTAAACTCCACTACACCTATCTCTCTTACATCTCTGTCTTTCAGGGGTTTGATCCTCCAGGACTTGACCTTTGTCCACTTAGGGAATCCTGACATGGTGATGACATCACAGGGATCAAAGATCAACTTCTCCAAACGTTGGCAGCAGTTTAACATCCTGGGCACCCTGAGGACATATCAGCAAGTGTAAGTTACCTGTAATATGGTTATTGTTTCTATAAATGTTGTTTTTAATTGTTTTATTGCAATACCTCTTTGTTTAAGTTCCCTTCCTGAAACAATACCTGCATTTCTTTCTCCTTGCAGTCCTTACTCTCTGCAGCCAAACGATGACATCATATCATTCTTTAATGACTTCAGTGACCACCTTGCAGAAGAAGCGCTGTGGGAACTCTCACTCAGGCTCCGCCCAAAGAATGCCCCACGAGCCAATCAGAGATGACAGGTTAAACCAGGGCGAAGGAAAAGTTGCCCTGATGACCTGGAAGCATCAAAAGGCAAACTTTAGCGTTAGCTTGAAGCTTGCATGTGGAGATTGAGGATTAAAGATGATAAGGTGCTACCACGACGGAAACCTGGTACTGAACGGGACTGGAAAGTTGTTGGTCTTGTCTACATGTGTCAAAGACAAAAAAAAAAACGTATTAATAACATGGCTTAATGTTTGCTGAAGAATGTAGATCTGGACTGTTCCTGCAACAATCAACAATGTAAATTGATATAAATACTTAATACTTTGTTAAGCTGGGCGTGAGCAGGTTAGTGTTATTACTGAGCTAACCTTTAGTCCCATTGGAAGTGGTCTCTTCCTTTGTCTGGCCTCAGAAGTGTACATGTGTTAATAGCAATATTGTAATAAACATCAATACTCATTTGTCTGTCAAGATTCCTCCTTATCTTATTAGTTTGGTAAAACTTGACCAGCAACATACTTGGAAACATGTCACAGTTTCTTGACAGCCAAATGAATCAGGCAGGTTACAGGTTCAACTGACCATAAAGAACTAACAACATTTTGCCTCATTTAAACACCTACTTGTATAAATGCCAGTGTGCCAAAAGCTGTTGTTCAACTTCATGGCAGAAATAAACATGTTTACTTTACAGACTGGTACATAAACAATTTCTTGTTTGTTTTACGCTCATCTTCCCTTTTTAAGGGTGTGTTTTTCTTTATACAAGTTGACCTTGCGGCTACGTTTGAGCCCTTATGTTGAAACCTTTTTAGGGCATGATTGCATGATTTTATTTAGTTCTTTGTTTTGTTCACATTGCTTAACTGGACGTCTTCTTCAACAGATAGCAAACAAATGGGTGGCTCAACAATTTAGTTTGTTTGTTCTCTCAGTGTCCCACATAGGCTCACGGACTTGATCATGGTGCTGGATGATGGTTGCTCTGGCTCATATCTTTTACAAAACTATCTAATTTCTGCAAGTGTACGACACATAGCCTGTTTAAACAAATAAGACATTGAAAAAAGCATATTAAAGGTGTAATCAATCATGGGTGTTTGAACACTAAGACGACGTTTTAACATAAATCCACATAAGGATTTAGCCTATGGGCATTAAAAACAATATTATCTTCTATGACAAATTCCCTTCTGGTTTTTCAGAGGCAATTGTTCGTTCACTGCATTTTGATGGAACTTTTCTTTCGACCATTGCTGTTTCCATGGTAACCCGAAAACAGCTGAGCAGCAGCAGACTCTGTGAGCAGGCAGTAGTAATGAAATACCGAGAAGATCGATCGGCCGCTGCTACGAACCCTCAGAGACCCCGTGAAGAGGTGAAGAGGCTTTCGGGGCAGCCGAACCTGTAGTTTGACAACATTATGGTCTGTTTAGAGTTCACGGATTGACATCAGGTGAGCTTTCGCTTTGGCCTGCAGAAATGTAAAAGGACCTGTGCTAACTGTGGACGATAGCTGCTGGTTAACAGTGAGGTTTCTGCTAACAGCTGTTAGCTCAGATGTAGAAGTGGTCTTGTTTGAATGTTTGTTAAAGGTACAGAGTGACGAGGGTTAAGCTTTCTCTCTTCTTATTTTGTGTCGCTGCTCTTATAACAACACAACAACTCAACATGTTTGTGGTGATCCTGTACCCTGAAGTGTGACATTGTTTTACAGTTTCATTGTGATTCCTTTTATCTTTGCTTGCTTTTATATTTATGTTTTCAGGGTTTTTTGTGTAAGCTAGTGTTTATTTTCAGTTTGAACCCTTGTTCCAATGAATAAACTCTTTAAAACCACACAGTTTACAACCTGAGCCTCCTGGCTTCATCTGACCCAGATGTGTAATACACCTCAATGTTATTACTTTTTTATGTCTAATGTTAAAGTTCATTTTCCTTAAAACATTATCCCACAGGCACTCTATTGATCCTATAGAGAAAACTGTACCATGTTTTATTACATGTGACCAATTTGAACTAGTTTTTCTCTATTTTGAGCCAAAACTAGTTTATCTGTGTGTTTTATAAAGCATTTTTGGGTCATTGCCATTTATTCAATAGCACATCTAGAGAGAGAGAGAGAGAGAGAGAACACACACCAAAAAGCGACAGGACCAGTGTGATGAAAGCTTTGCCCCTGCTCATGGGTCGCCTTGTATACCAAGTGAGCTAAAACAGAGCCAACAAGACTGAGCACGGGATTAAATTGAGAAGAAAGATTTTTGGAATAATAATAATTTAGTCTAACTGTGATGTGTTTCTATGTCTGTCTCATCTCACCTGTAGGATTGTCAGGTGTCCATGATGCTGCAGCTCCCCTTGGTGGTGACGGCTCAGGTGGACCTGGTCCTGCTGCTGGTCAGCCTGCTTGCCTTCTGGACCAGACTGAGCCACCTCAGCTACCCCAACGCTGTGGTGTGAGTGTGCTTATGTTATACTCTCGGCTTTATTCATTATGACAAAAGATTTTGAATTCATGTCCACCCTGTAGTTGTTGTTGAATATAAGGATATTGGACCTTATCGATTGAATTTTGTTTGTGTGTGTGTGTCTTAGTTTTGATGAGGTGTATTACGGCCAGTTTGTATCTCTCTACATGAAGAGGGTTTTCTTTGTTGATGACAGTGGACCACCGCTTGGTCACATGATCCTAGCCCTTGGAGGTTAGTTACACCACACAACAACACAACCAGACATGATATGCTTTTCCTTTGCAAGTGACTCGATATCATTGTAATTTTTGGATTTCCCCTCAATGACCTCTTGAGTATAGATAAAGTTTGATTGATTGATTGATCTGTGTTGCAGCCTACATGGGAGGATTTGATGGGAACTTTGTGTGGAACAGAATAGGAGCAGGTAGGAACATGTGTTACTCTTACAAAAGCATCAGTGTGAACAAATCCTTGTTTAAAGAGGTTCGAAAACATCTGTAATTGTATTTTTTTTTTTGTACAGAGTATCCCAGCACTGTTAGTGTTTGGACTCTGCGGTTGCTTCCCGCTCTGTGTGGAGCACTCTGTGTTCCTATGGTTTACCTGTTGACACTGGAGCTCAAGTTTTCTCACCTGTCAGCTCTAGGAGCTGCACTGCTGCTTCTGCTGGGTGAGCGTCAACACAACAAAATGTCATTAACACTAGGGGGCCGCTCAGTAGGCTACTAATGTTTATAAGTAGATAGAGTGTATATGCTTGTTTTCGTAAGTCCAATTATTGGCTGAGTACTGGGTTTCAGTACCTGTAAGGACACAAAGGATATGTCTAAAAATTAACTGAGTTAAGGGTATGCATGAAATTAAGTAAACATGATTCATTCAAGAGCTTAAATGAGCATTTGGAACCAAACAATCCTGGGGCTAGAACTACAATGTGTGTAGGTGAGTTCAAGTACAGCATGACCATTGGTGCTAGGCTTTGGGGCACTAAAATGAAACATATTTGTTTGGGCTGAGCTCAAGACTGATGGAGAGTTCAGGTGATAGATATGTTACATTCAGTAGTAAATTAGTCATGCTCTTTGTTTTTTTTTCTTCAGAGAACTCTCTAATCGTCCAATCCCGTTTCATGTTACTGGAGTCGGTCCTGATCTTCTTTGTGTTGTTGGCCTTCTTCTCCTACCTGAGATTCCACAACACAACCGACAGGTGAGACTCACCTTTTGTTTCTGATGGTTTCCACTACAAACATGACTGCAGCTAGATTAAAGTACAGTTATATTGATCTGTTATTTAAGGTAGCAAATGAGATTTCAGTTTGACCCTGACTGTCCTGTGAACATGACTCACTTGTGTACCTGACCCTCCTGTCCTTGTCTCATCCTCAGCTGGTTCAGATATTTTTGGCTTCTCCTCTCTGGGGCTTCCTGTGCTGCAGCGGTAGGGTAAGAAAAACTAATCTGAGATCAGTGATGAGATATTAGGTTCTTTTTCTCTTATCATTTCTCAAACATTTACATTAATTGTGTGTTACATCAGGGTGAAGTACATGGGTGTGTTCTCTTACCTGCTGCTGCTGGGTGTGGCCTCTGTGCACACATGGAACCTGATTGGAGATCGAACTGTCAGTCATGTGAGTTCAGATTTACGCTGAGTATGCTCATTGTTTAACCTGCAACAAGAGCAATGGGTTCATTATTAATTGCTGATCAATCTCCAAATATTCCCTTACTTTGTCCCAATATTTGATTCTGTTTTTTGAAAATCTGATGATTGATCATCCTTTACAGTCAATGTCAGGCATTTCTTGTATTGTCATGACTTGTAATAGTCAGAAAGACTAGAATCAGAACACAAGTAACCTCTGTGTATAAAGTGTAGAAATGAGCAGACATACAACATTTATAGACACACAGTTGATATTTGTGTGTATTTTTATTCATAGGGAGCAACATACATCTACATTGTTGCAGTTATGTGCAAACTTACATTTAAAGGATTTTTTTTTTACATATCACTTTTGATTTCAGCATAAATAACTATAGTTATATTTTAAATTCATCTCCTTTTTGGATTTATTTTCACAATGAAATTTATTGGTAAGGAATTATTCCCAGATTGTCCAAATATCATTCCCTGAATAATATGAAATGAACATTTTCATAATGTTCATTGATTTCAGTTGCTTAATTTGAAGGTTTAACTTTTTAGTCTTGGATTATATTGCTGATCGGCCTTGAGCCAATACTAACCATCTTTCTAATGTATGTTAATGATTTACATGTCATACAAAAGTAATGGTCTCTTTGTGTCTGTGTACGTGTGTGCTTTGAGTGCAGTTGAGTGTTTGTGTGCAGTGTGTGTGTCGAGTTGTGTGTCTGTTGGTGGTTCCTGTCCTTCTCTATGTGTTCTGGTTCTACATCCACCTGAGTCTTCTGCACCGTAGTGGACCACATGACCAGCTTATGAGCTCTGCTTTCCAGGCCAGTCTAGAGGTAACGACACACATGAATGAACACCTATACATACATACCTTGTACATTCAAGGTAGGTTTCGTTTAATCTGATGAATTATAGGACAATGTTTTTGGGTGATTTCAGTGTTGTGTTGAGTTCATTAAAGTTCGATTATGTTTTTGATATGAAAATCTCCTCTTTAGGGCGGTCTCTCGAGGATCACTCAGGGTCAGCCTCTAGAGGTCGCTTATGGTAGTCAGGTAACTTTAAGAAGCTCTGCCTCCCAGCCAATCCCCTGCTGGCTTCATTCTCACAAAGCCAACTACCCAATAAGGTACTGCAATCTCACACCGACAAAGCAGCCAGTCAGAAAGCTTTCATTTACAATTTTATTAATGTAACTTCATGTTCACTGCTCTGTGTGTGTCTGTGTGTGTGTGCATGGCTGTTTGTGTGTTTTAGGTATGAAAATGGGCGTGGCAGCTCACACCAGCAGCAAGTAACCTGTTATCCCTTCAAAGACGTCAACAACTGGTGGATCATCAAAGATCCTGGCAAGTATGTCACCTGTCTGTCCTGAAGCGTTGTGGCAGATATTGTCCCAGTGTAAAATGTTCCGTCATGTTCCTCTTCTTTGCTTTTCCAGACAGGAGCTGGTGGTCAGCAGTCCCCCTCGCCCTGTTCGTCATGGTGATGTCATCCAGCTAGTTCATGGGATGACCTCACGCTTCCTCAACAGGTGAACATCTGACCTCTCTTCTGTCTGATGGGCTGCTGTCACTGACAATCTGAGAATTTTTTAAAGCACTGTACTTTTCTGATTTTGTTTATTTCATTTTATCAAAAAGCACACTGGGAGGTGTTTATTTCTATTCCCTTCCACTTGTTATGTCTACAGGCTTCTCACAGAATTGCTTTTAGCTGCATGTGTGTCTTTGTGTGTCTTTTGCAGTCATGATGTAGCAGCTCCCATGAGCCCTCATGCACAAGAAGTGTCAGGTTACATTGACTTCAACGTTTCTATGGCGGCACAAAACCTCTGGAGAGTGGTGAGTTAGACAGGATTATGGTGGAGTTATTTACTATAGCAAACACTGTTGCTGTTATTGACTATCAGTTATAGACCGATTTTATTTTTTAAATATTTCTAAACCAGTTGCATTTATTGATATGAGCTAAAAAGAAACAGCTTAATGTCCTTATTTTTGTAATTTTTTCTTCATGTGAGTTTAGGATATCTCTAACAGGGAGGCGGAGTCAGACTCGTGGAAGACGATACTGTCTGAGGTTCGACTGGTCCATGTCAACACCACAGCTGTCCTCCGGGTAATGACAGGAAGTGACCATATAACACAAAAATCTGTTATCTGGAATCCATGTAATTGATCATGTAAAAAAAATGACAACCCTGGTGTGTGTGTGTGTGTGTGTGTGTGTGTGTGTGTGTGTGTGTGTGTGTGTGTGTGTGTTCATGCATGTCCATGCATGCGTATAGCTGAGTGGCGTGTCTCTTTCAGACTGGGGTTTCCGTCAGCTGGAGGTCGTCGCCGAGAAGCTGTTTAAAGCTCACAGCAGCAGTTTGGACTGGACGGTGGAGGAGCATCGCTATGGAACCAGTACAACCATATATCACTAACCTGCCATTACATCCTGACTTCACATGTGCACTGACGTTTCTCTCCTCAGGGTTTTACTGTTATCAGTCTTTTTATTTGTGCCTGTGTGTGTTTGTGTGTGTGTAGGTCAGGAGCAGAAGGAGAGGGAGGTGGAGCTTCATTCTCCCACTCATATAGACGTGGACAGAAAAATTTCCTTTTGGGCAAAATTTTTAGAACTTCAGGTACAACAGTGAATGTTTCAAAGTCTATACATCAATCACATCAAATCTTTATACCTGTTAGTTTGTTTGACACCAAAATTAAAAACAAATGCACCAAATTTGACTGGAATGTTATCCGTTTTATAATTAATATCCGTTTTTTTTTTTTTACTATACTACCAGTACATTTATGATTTATTAGTCACCACCACCATATATTTCTTGCCATAAAAGAGTAACAATGAAATGTTCTGTTGTCATGACAGTGGAAAATGCTGACGGTGAAACAGGAAGACTCTGAGCACAAATATAGCTCCTCTCCTGTGGAGTGGGTCACCATGGAAACCAACATCGCATACTGGCTGCATTCCTCAAACAACGTAATGCACACACACAGACTCTCTCACCAATGGAATATGCGCCTGTTCTGTTCTGTGATACTTTTTGTGTGTCTTAGGCTCAGATCCATCTTATTGGTAACCCAGTGTCGTGGGGCGTGGCAAACCTAAGCCTGTTGGCCTATCAGCTACTGGCAGCCATCTACCTGCTCAGGAGAAGGCGGGACTTTAAAGACCTGCCCGATGGTACAAATTCACATACACACAGTTTGTGGACTTATTATTTTGTCATGTTCTGTGTAATGTAATCATGTTTTCTAGAATACTAATTTCTTTTTTTGTGTGTGTTTCAAGGTGTGTGGTGTCAGTTTGTGTGTTTGGGATCTGTATGTGTTGGTGGCTGGCTAGTGAACTTTGTCCCGTTTCTCCTGATGGAGAAAACTCTCTTCTTGTATCACTACCTGCCTGCCCTCAGCTACCTGCACCTGTTGAGTCCTGCCCTGTTGGAGCACACACACACTCACCTACTCAGGTAAACAGACACACATAATATTAAAATCCCATTTGATATTGTATATCAAATAATCAATATGACCTGTGTGTACCTCTACAGCAGTGCAACACACCGACGTGCGCTTTATATATGTGTGTCAGCCGTGCTGGTGTCAGTATTCCTGTCATATCGGACCTTCTGCCCTTTGACCTACGGCAGCCCCGAGCTGTCAGCCAACCAGCTGCAAGGGCTGAAGTGGAGAGACTCCTGGGACATCCTGTACCGCCGCCGGTAGAGAGACACCCTCGCAGACAGGTACTCTGTCTGTGGGGCAGGGTGTCACAGTGTATGTTTTCTCATCATGATGAGGCGAACTGAAGTCTTGCCCCCAGATCACATACTGGCACTGAGTCCAGAATCTGATGCTCTGACGTTTCTGAATTGAGTACATCAGGGGACACAGTCAAGAAAAAGAACCTGAGGGTGCCCTAAGAAGTCTACGAGGTCAAATGTGAGGAGGAGCTTTAGTCATGTGACCTTAGATTGCAGCTGTTTCCCCAAACCAGCCTCTTGACTCTACAGTCTGTTGACACTGAGAAAAGGATTCAAAAAAAAAAAAAAAAAATATATATATATATATATATATATTTATATATATTTATATATATTTATATATATATATATATATATATATATTTTTTTTTTTTAATGAAGACCATTTTATCCCATGTTGCATTACTCTCAGTTCAGCTCAGAAAACAAGAATAGACAGTTATTGTTTTGGGACAAAGTTGAAGTAAGTTATAAAACACATTGTCTGATATTAGTATGAAAGTACCTGCTCAAACATCACACTGGGAACACTGATCTGGGGCTTATTTGTAATCCTACTGAAACGTTCTGATAATGTTGTCCAAGCTGAATGACAGCTTGAGTTTTAAATCACAAAATAAAGCATACAGTGAACAGTAAAACAATGTGCTTTTATATTGAATGTGCTTTTATATTGATACTTTGTGAACTCTGAAAGTGTTGTTAATATTGTTAAATATTTAGATTACCCTGACACAGAGTACTGGAGCTCTGACACTGTCTTAGATTAATAAATTGCTTGTCAATTCAGAATTGATAATAAACCCATGACTGATGAATATCCTCATGTCTCCATTCATTCTGCAAGAGGAAACATTTTTTAGACTGTAGTGCTGGAACTAAAGGTGGTTAATTTACCTAAAATTAACAACTTTCCTAAAGGGTCATGAAATAATAATCCACACAATTAAGATTTCAGTGTTTTAATTTGTATCAGTCTCTGCCTCAGCAAGAACTCGGATCGTAAAGCTGAATAGGAAAGCGGAACGGAACAAATGATTGACCGGAAGTAGTGCGAGGGGGAAGCAAATAAAGAGCGGACAGTTTGAGCTGCAGTTTGTTTTCTTTGTTAAGTTAAACAACGGACTTCAAGAGTATTCGCTCGTCTATGCGACTAAAAGAAGAACTAAACACAATTTTAATATGTGACCTAAACTATGACTCAGACCCCGCTTTTTACTGGAAACATCGTGGGGACAAGTCGTCCGGCCGCACAGCCTGCTGGGTAATGTACGTAAGAGCTGCGTTGATTGGAGCGTGGTGACTGAAAGTAAAAACAAAATAAAGACAGATTAAAGTGAAGCAGTGGATTTACTGAAGAAACGGAGGCTGCAAAAAGTGTGTGAGATTCAAATTACTTATTATTTGCTAAATAATTGATAAGACAGTGATGCTAAATGTAGATATACAACTGCAATATATATGTAGTAAATACTGAACATGTGGTAGTATCATAGACTGTAAATAGTATATAGTATACATAAAGTGCTCTACTGTTTATAAAGGAGACAACTGATACACTAGCAGGTTTTAGTAAATAAAGAAAGTGCTTCTTCTGTGTGATTAAGATCTACACATTATCCCATATCCTCTCTCTAAGCCTCTGTTAAGTCAGTGTTGTTGTTTTCTTTTACATAAAATCTGAAGTTTATACTCAACCATAGAACATGTTTGGCTGCCCTCCTGTCTGTGGCTCTCAGTCACAGCCCATTGGCTTCTACTTGATATGTGAATATTTAAACTAAATCTATGACCAATAAAATACTGGTGTATGCAGGGAAGTGATTTACAGATTAGGCCTACAGATTGTCATCTGATGTATTGGATTATGAAGCTGGAATAACAAATAGGCAATTTATAAATATATTGTTCACAGAATTTATTTTGCATTCTTGAGTTCTTATTCTCTGATAGACAAAACGCCATTTCCAATTCATCCATCAGGTCGTCCTCATCACAGTGCAACCATTCTCACCTGTTTGTCTTTCTGTGTGCAGCATGTCTGTCTCTCTGTCAGCAGAGAGAGACAGAATCGAGCAACAGGTGGAGGAGCTTGAACAGAGTCTGTCTGCAACTCAAGCTGAACTGGAGCTGCTGACCAGTGAGACAGGTGCCCGTCTGTCTGTCTGTCTGTCTGTCTGTCTGTCTGTCTGTCTGTCCACCAGTTTGTGTCTCTTAACAGAGTTTGTGTCTCTTATCAGATCATGACTCAGAAGGGGATGACACAGGCTTGGAGGAAGGAGAGGTAAGAAATACATTCACAGACACCTTAGCAACATGTGTGAATAAACTCCACTTTAACAGCGTAGCTGTGACAACAGTGTGCTGGAACAGTTGTGTTACAACACAAATGCAGTAGGAAACTAACAGGTTTCACTTACAGTAGATCATGTGAAGGTTGTTTTATACTTGACTGACACAGCTGATGAAGATGTTAACATTTAAAAACAGAGTTAAAATAAAAATTCCCTTAATTCCTTGATACACTACACAGTGATTATTATTTATGTCACATTTTAATGCATTAACTTTCATAACAGGAAGCATGGGGAGGGACATTTTGGGGATATTAAGTGACTTTTACAGAACTCATATCTTCTAGCTAGTCTTTAGGTTTTGAGCATCATGGGTGAGGGATATATAAAATCCAGAAAATGTTTAATGCGATGTAAAATAAATTTGCTCCTGAGTGAAGAATGAGTCATCACATTTTTCAAACATTTTACAGGAAATTACTGAATCTCTAATATAATGTTTTTATGACAATTTTTTCACTACAGGCATACATAGGTGTTGAATGGCACATGATTAAAAAGACATATAACTTGTGACACCTACATTTATTTCATTTGAAAAAAACATTATAACCAGTGTGTGGGTTTTCAGTCTGCAGCAGGTCTGCTGGCTGAAAGAGAAAAGATCCAGAATGACATCCAGAACCTGGAGAACATCCTGGGACCACACAGTCCTATTTATAGCGCAGGTATCTGTCCGACTATCTCTATGTCTGTGCATCTCCATGTACAAATGATGTGCATGCTGATGGGTGGTGCACTCATGTCTGATCTTGTTTCTATTCAGATGTTGATGACAGCAGCAGCAGCAGCAGCAGTGATGATGAGGTCGGTATCATCCAAACATATCTACATCAGTGATAGACGAGCGTTCATCTGACTTTGTTTGGTCCTTTCTGTGTTCAGAGTGAGCTTGGTCTGCCTCCATCAGCAGACTCATGTCTTCAGATGAACCTGGTCTACCAGCAGGTTGTTCAGGAGACTCTGGACCAGCTGGAGACACTACTGACACACAACCAAAGACAGCAGGTTAGCACGCACCATAGACTGTATAGATAATTGACAACGCCTCCGTACATCAACACTGGTTTGTCAACTGCTTTTTAAAGCCTAAAGTTTGGCTATTTAGCTGACACAAGGTTGTTTTTTTAAGAGCCAGGATCAACCATATCTGAATGAAAGGCTGGGGCTGCTGTGCCAAGCTTGCCACTTGCTGATCAGAATCTCTATTTTGAGAGTAAAGTTTCAATCAAAAAAAACATACCAGGTAAATTACATTGGACCAGCTGTTATCTATTCACCTAAAATTCAGCTAAAATTCTTGCACAGGCAACCACACATAAATCAATGTATGAGGAACACTGAACAAGCTAACAAGCCAGTAAGCTTGTTGGTGTAAAAAAAGAAAAAACAGACAGCAAAGCCATGTTGTCAGTTTGATATTTGCATGAAAAAAATCTGCGAAATTCACTTACAACACAAACACAGGAAGCTAACACATAGCTAGTGCCACCCATCAGTCACTCAATACAGCTGCACCCCTTTTGTGCATAACCTTTAGCATAAATATATTTCAGTTCAGAATATCACGCCCACATGGTTGTCATGGAATTTAAAATGAGATCTTGAGACCTAAACAGTTTTTTGTACCAGGTTGTTGTGTTGTCATGTTGGGTTTTTTTAACATTGGTTTTAATGGGGATTAACTAACTTTTTGAGCCAGCCTCAAGTGGCCACCCAAGGAACTGCAGTTGTTGGAAGCTCGTTTTTTCTCTCTACAGAGGGAGGTGGTGTCCCAGATGTCAGGACAAATTAAAGAGTCTGCCAGAGAATGTCGCCCCCCTTCGTCATACGAGGAGTCAACAAATATGTTCCTGGGCCGTTTTCTCAAACCGTACTTCAAGGACAAACTAACAGGGCTGGTAAGAAAGAAAACGTGACTCACAGACAGAAAGCTACAAAGACAGTCAAAATCTTTTATCTTTTTGTTGACAGCTGACCAATGCTCTATATTTGCTCCAGGGTCCTCCAGCCAATGAGGAGACGAAGGAGAAGGCCAGCAGGATGACAGGCTGTCTGGTTGAAAAGCAACTCAAATTGAAACGATGTAAGAAAAATCAAGAATCAAACAAATAGCGAAACTTCATTTGTTTTCCCAGCGGCCCTACATAAGTGTTGAAGTATTGATGACAGGACACAGCGACTCAATAGATAATATTTCTGAGCAGAGGTATTACTGATCAGACTGTCATTCCTTAAAGGCTTTATATGCACATATTGTGATCCAGCCGATGTCGCCCTTGAGCACCAGCATGAAACTAAAACAACTTGCGGTGCATTGTTGTGTTAGCGTGCTAATGCTAGCGATCTTTATTATGCTCGTATCTTCACACTGCATGTGAATTTACCTGAAATGAGCGTGATCTAGAAACGTAGTTAAGCTGTGAGTACAGTATGTTATTCTTCTTTTCTCTAGTCCCTCAATTAAACGACTTTTATACACGAGGGATGAGCCGGCTGGCCGTCCTGGCGATGTAAACAAACTGAAGATAGGACTCAGAAAACATCACAGACAGTGGGACTCGGTGTTACACCCATTGTAGACACTCATGACTCACAGAGTTATTTTCAGAGTATATACTTGATTTCTATTATATTTAAGTGTGAAAAATCGCATATAAAGATGGATCACTTTTAACATTTTGATTTTAAGTTACTGTACTGACAAAAACAGAAGAAAACACAAACACCTGATCGCACACAAATATCCATATACATAATTGCACTGACTTTCTAATATACAGAGAAACAAATATAAGGTAATAAGAACACAAGTTAATATTTGTTTATACAAATATTTGTTACAGAACTCATACCTAGTACATACCCTTTCTCATATATATGTTAAGTGTGTTCTACTGTCTATAGATGCATGACTTCTACTACTAAATAACATTATTAATAGTTCTTTTAACTTTTTAAAGTCTCTCATTTTTTTTCTCTGTCTCTGCAGGGGAGAGCTGGCAGAAAACTTTGTTGATCCACTCAATTGCCAGAGACACTTTGAGGAGACTCGTTCAACCCAAACTATCCAAGTAAAATCCTCTTATTATTATTATTATTATTATTATTATTTTTATGAGTAGTAGCATCTGTTGCGTTTCAGCAGTAGTAGAGTAGTAAGCAAAATGTTGTTTCCATTATAGCACGGCAATAGCTAATACTACAGAGCCATCATTAAGCATCGCACTCTCAATTTGCATATCAAAACGGGGTATTATAGCCGAAGTTTCATGTGTATGCTTATTATTAATAGAATGTGGAAGAAAAGTAGACAGTATGTAAGTCACTTTTAAGCAACCAATTAATTTAAAATGAAGGTTTTGTGTTTGCAGGGCTTCTGTGTCATCCTATGAGTTTGTAACCGGTGACCCAAATATAGTGTTAAGGGTTGATTGTCTCATTTGCTGTTGCTATGTGCAGACACACTAAGATGTCAATCTAAACATATTCCACACCTATCAAGTCTTAAGAAATTATCAGACTTCAAAATGACCTTCTTGGTTTTCTAAAGTGTAAGAGGGTTTATTCCACTCCGACTTTGTCCATGCATAATAAGACTTCCAACAATAACATAACACTTGTATTTTTACTTTTTTGGATCTGTCTTTTATATCATCCAGTCTGTCTGTTTCTGTGTCTCTGTCCTGCCCTCTCTCTCTATTCTAGAGTGGACTACCTGAGTCAGAAGCTATCGTCAGCAGGGGAGACGGACAGGCAGGAGCTCAGGAAGCAGATAGACAGTTTGGAGAGCGAAATCGACATGCTCAAGTACGTATTTGTAATGTTATATCTGTTAGGGAGTAAAGTGTGTTATAAACCTTTGTGGCTGGTTTTCACTTCTTCAAAGAACGTGTCAGACATGTGGTTCAGGCTACAGGTATTGTCTTTTGAATGTGTAATGCCTATGTTTGGTTGACTTATGTTATTTGTGTCTCCTTTGATTGGTCAGGAAGAAGAAGGAGCAGGAGCTAATTGGGGAACGATTTGATGAACATGACTGGCAAACAATCTCTAACGTTGATGTGGGTGCAAATATCAACCGTCTCAAGATTTATGCAATCGAAAAATCAGAAAGTCTGTAAGAACTCTTCTGCTCTTCTCCTTAGTTTGAAGGAACAAAGGAGGCAGAGGACATTAGAAGGTTTTGGCAGAACTTCCTCCACCCGTCCGTCAATAAGACTTGCTGGAGTCAGGAGGAGGTGCAGCAGCTGAGGAAGATCAGCGGGAGACACAAAGAGAGGGATTGGGAGAGAGTCGCCATAGAGCTGGATGTAAGGAGGGGGAGGGAAAGCTTTCCTCCTGTCTGTATCTCTCGACCTGTCAGTCTCTCAGATGGGCAGGATGTTTTTCTTTTTTGTTTTCAGTGTTCTATTGTTTTGTTTTCTATCCGTCTCTCTTTGTCATATATTGACCTTTCTCTCCATCATCACGTTTCTGTCTCTCAGACTGGGAGGACAGCATGTCTTTATTTTCAGATATTGCAGCTTTTTGTTTCCTCCCTCTCTCTCTATTCTTTATTCTGTCTCCCATCAACTGACTGTCTTTTAGACTGGGAGGACAGTATATATGTAGTCCTATAAAGACACAATATTTACGCCCTGTGATGTTTTGCCTTCAATCTGAATGTTGTGTTTTTAGATATCCCTGTGTTTTGTTTCTGACCTGTCTCTCTCTTTCTCTTATTCAAAGTCTCTCCTGCAGTCTCTCTTTTTTATGTGTCTTATCTCCTTCAGGCATGAAAGTCTCTCTGTCTTCAGATGATTTAGTGTTTTGTCTCTGACCTGTCTCTCTCTCTTTACCTGTCTGTCTCTTAGACGGGAAGGACAGCCTTTCTGTGTCTTCAGACGTTCCAGCGTTTCATCTCAAGCTCTTTGAAACGCAGAAGTTGGTCTCGTGCTGAAGACGCTACACTCAAAGAGCTGGTGGAAAAGATGAGGATTGGAAACTTCATCCCATACACCCAGAGTAATGACATCACAGAGTGACGATTGAAGATTTATGTTGGCTTAAGAAATTCACAGTCTGAGTCTTCTTATAAATTTGATGTTATCTATAAACCACACAACAATGAACAGCTGTCTTTCTGGCTGCCTGTTTTTCTGTCCAACAGTAAGTTACTTCATGGAGGGTCGTGACCCTACTCAGCTGATCTACAGGTGGACCCAGGTTTTGGACCCAACTCTGAGGAAAGGCCCATGGACCAAAGAGGAAGATGAGGTAGGCTCGGGGTGGGTTTCGACAGGGCACATCCATCACCTGCACAATAAATGCAGATATGGAATATTATACAATATATTCATCTTAGAGAAATAGACATAGCAGCTGTGACAACTGTTCTGTGCAGCTGGGAGAGAGGGTTATGATGGACTGATACGGTTTTGATTAGCCCCGTCTTTTCTGTCTTTCAGCTGCTGCTGAAAGCTGTGTCCTATTATGGAGAGAAGGACTGGTGGAAGATCAGGTTGGAGGTTCCTGGACGCACTGACGGTGCTTGCAGAGACAGGTGAGAGCTGATTGGATGACAGAAGGTGGTTGGGTTTATCCAGATCTGTCCAGACAGGAAGTTTGCCACAAGATGGCTGTTGTTGTTGAAGCATCAATGAAGCTCAAGATAACTGAAATGTTTGCTTAAATTTGTTGTGAGGTTTTTGTTTTTATACTCCTTGTAAAGCACTTTGTGAATGTCTTTTTTTGAAAGATGTTATATAAATAAACATTATTACTATTATTCAGCCATAGATTCAGGTTTCATCCTCAGATTTGAAAAGTTAAAAATTGTGACAAAAAGTATGTGTTACTAAGAAGAAAATCAAAATGTGTGTGTGTGTGTGTGTGTGTGTGTGTGTGTGTGTGTGTGTGTGTGTGTGTGTGTGTGTGTGTGTGTGTGTGTGTGTGTGTGTGTGTGTGTGTGTGTGTGTGTGTGTGTGTGTGTGTGTGTGTGTGTGTGTGTGTGTGTGTGTGTGTGTGTGTGTGTGTGTGTGTGTGTGTGTGTGTGTGTGTGTGTGTGTGTGTGTGTGTGTGTGTGTGTGTGTGTGTGCGCACAGGTATCTTGATTGTCTGAGGGTAGGCATAAAGAAAACACCTTTTGACAAACAGGAGAAAGAGCTGCTGCTAGAACTGGTGGAGAAACATGGAGTTGGTGAGTCACATGATCAGAGAGCACTGTTGCTGAGGCTGTAATATTGCACTGCTGATGACAATGTTTTCTCCCACTCACACTTCCAGCCAGTATGAGAAAAACTGTGATGTGCATATATGCTATAACTCAGTCTCTGCTTTTCTTAATGGTTTACAGAATACTGTTTGCAAAATGTCCCTCCTGATTCTTAAATTGATCCAAGAAGAAGCTCTTTCTTTCAGCACTAAATTGGCACCAATTCATCGGATGGTAGCTGGAAGCTTTTTTTGTTAGTTTTCCTTTTTTTTTTGCGCGGAGACACGGCGCTCCTCAATGTCAATTTTGGCCCAAGCAGCCAATCAAATCAAGTCGTCCATATAGAGCTCACTGAAAACATGGTGGAATTTACCATACTGTTTACTGTTTTTTATTAGTCATGTACCCCAAACCTCCTCTTTAGACTTTTTTTCCCATCCTCGTCTAGAAATTAAACAGTGAGAACTCTATGTATACTCAAATTTATTTTTCCCACTTATTTTATTTGGTCGCCCGTATGCGTGCACAGCTCCGCTCCACATACACTACCAATCGTTTTTTTTCCTTATATATGCCCAGGTGTAATCGGAGCGTCTAGCGTCTTTCGATCACCACTATTTGGTTCTTTTGATGGCCTTTAGCCCACTCCCCCATTAGTGCTGGTACTGCTAGCATGGAAATCTGTAATCTGATTATTCCACTCCCAGTGTGTCTTCATTTCCTCTTAAAATAAGAATACTTATGTGTGTTTGTATGTCAGGTCGCTGGGCAAAGATTGCTGCTGAGATACCTCATCGTATTGACTCTCAGTGTATGAGAGAGTGGAGGAAACTGAGCAGACTTCATAACCAGGTACACTTATCTGTTCTCTGTGAGAGTTGGTGTGTCAGTGTTTGAGTACAGGGTTGGCAAAGTCTTTTCACATACTTAACATAAATTCAGGAGAAAACAATTATGTTGATCAGTGCTGGTCTGGAATATCTAAGATATATTTGTGTAAACGAAATATGATTCGCTCTTAAAGAAACCTAAAAACTCTTCCAAATTCAGTATTACGTCTTTTTAATGTGGAAGACCACCGGCTACAACCAAAATGTTTTAGAACATCATCAGCATAATGTGAAATTGGGTGATATTTTTTCATTCAAGTTGTGTCCTATAGTTGGGGCTAATGAGTAATAGTTTTTTGTCCAACACCAAATGAATGCATGTACACGAAACACAAGACTGAAAAACACTCTCTCTGTCAATAGAAAGGAAGCAAAGCTACAAAAACACCAGACGGTAGAAGAGGACAACAGAAAAAGGTAGAAATGAATCAAGAGGAGGGAGAAGAGAGCTCCGAAGAAGAGAAAGAAGGTAAAGGTGAGGAGGAGGTGTTCATGGACAGTGATGAGGAGAAGAAGAAGAAAGAAGTGGAGAAAATGATTGAGGAGGTGGAGAAGGAAGAGGAGGAGTACACCTTCCCCTCCTTGCAAATGTGGGTTCCGGTAAAAAAAACACAATGTTCAACATTGCTGAGCCCACGGCCCGTGGAGTTACCTTCCTCTGGAGAAAATAACAATGAGAAAGTCCGGGCAACTATCCTCGGCCGATTTGGGCGCTCTGTAATTATTGGACCACGTCCCAGGGAGGTGCCATGGTGGAGCCGCCACAGCAGCCGCACCATGATGATGGTGTCAGCTGACCAGCTCCGAACCCACCTGTCACACCAGGCAGAAAAACACAACCACCGGTGCTCGGCTACCCGTGGAAAGCCTAAGACCAGCAAAAAGAATCAACTCAGCAGAGTGACAGATTCAGGGCTAGGATACCAGCTGCAGGCGGCAGTGATTCCCTGGATTGGTAACCTGCTGATCCCAGCAAAACACAGAATGACAGCAGCTGATGCTCTGAGGGAGCAAGGAGAGAAGAAGCAGCTGTCCTCGACTTCTATCTTCCTGCTCTTCCTCCAGACCATGAACGTGGACACTGTGGGCTGTAAAGAGGTGATAGAGCAGCGGAGGAAGATAGCGACGCTATCGCCACCAACCACTAACCGTTTCCCTGTCAAGTTGAAGAACCCAAAGACTGTTGCAGGAATCCTCCAGCAGAGGGCCATCAGAAAGGAGATGCAGGATTTGGATCAGAATCATAAACTGATTCTGGAGCATCTCCAGGCACTGCAGCAACAGAAACAGCAACAACTGATGCGAAAACAGCAAGCACCTACCCTAAATCAAGCCGGCATTCTTCTTCAGATGCAGCCTAACATGCATCCTCAGATGTCATTTCTTAAGGCTGTTTTCATTCCTCAACCTGTCAAACAACCCTGTGCAGCCTCCATCCAGTATGTGCCCCCCTCTTCCCCTACCACAAACCCCCTGGTTGTATGCAGTTCTCCCTCTGCTCCTCAGAGAATGAGTGTTCCTCCTCTCACTATGGTAACAATGCCCTCGAATGCCACATCTTCCTCCTCTGCCTCTTTCCACCAACCCTTGCCCCCTGGTCCAAATGCTCCTGTTGGTTTGAACTCCAGCTGCTCTGTCTCTGACTCCTGCCAGCCTTGTCCTTCCCCAAGTCCATCTAATTCCATCCTGACCCCATCCAAAGGGAGGAGGAAAGAAGAAGTTCAAGAGGTGGTTAGCAGAAGTCCAAGTGGGATGCACATTGAAGGGGAGGGAAATGTTTTAAGTGGAGCATGTACAGTTGGAGAAGGTGGAAGTTTGATAAAAGATAAGAGAAGGATTTGGAAGCCAAGTCAAAAAGACACAGCCCTTCAGAAAGCAGTTGAGGCCAAGGTAACTTTTTACAACTTATTTTTTTCTATTTTTAGGAATTATTTTCACAAGATTTCTTTTAAAAACATCTAACAGTGAAACAAACACATGTGCATCATTACGCTTCACAGATACACCTGAGAGTTTAACAGATAAACAACAGGATTCATCTTCACATGTCTGTTTGCAAAAGCTCTCCCTATATATTTATATTTGTAGGGCCTTACATCTTGACTAAAATGTATGATCTTGCAGTGTTTCACACAGAATGACGAGATACCTGGGCGGTGGAGTACGCATGCAGGCACGCGGGGGCCCGCCCAGGTTTTGTCTATGTGTGAGAAACACTGTATTGTGATTAAAAAGCTGTGACATCAATGTATAGATAAAGACAAACAAGGAAAAAATCGTTATTGCCTCAAATCTGAATCACTGAGAAGAGACAAAGACTGGTAAGTGGTCTTAGACGTACAGTCAGGATTCCTGTTGTTGAGTTGTGGAAACATCAATCACAACCAAAACGGCTGTCCTGTAAAGTGAACCATTTAACCCTAACGCTTTTCACATTTTTACAAAGGAAAGGGATAAACAACACCAACTTCTGCATCGATGCCTCGACTTTATAACATCAGGCTAGCAAACAACACTGCACAGATTTTATCTCAGGACTTTTAAATGAAAGCATTTTGTTTCCTGTCAACACCAAAATAACACCACATCATTAACACTATTAGGATGAAATAGAACATGTATCCATATACATGTTTAGAAATGTCTGTAAAAAAACACAAGTTAAAGGAGAATCCCCCTATAATATAAAAATCTGAATAATCAAAAGTTAAGACTAAATGACTTGAAGACGAATAGCCCTCCCCCTTCTAAATTCCAGTCCTTAGACTTCCATTTGAAAATTCTCTTGGAAGTACAAGGACCAGAAGTCTTGTATTTTAGGGTAACTCCATAACATATGAATCAATGTTGCTTCTCCATACTCCAGCATCTCCAGCACTCTAGTACAATGATTTAGCTTTTGAATTATATCTTTAAACAGACTTGTGCAAACAAGTAGTCTTATGTTACATCTTAGTCTTTCCACTTCAGCTCCTTTGGCCTGGATACCCCTTATCCCTTGAAAGCAGATACAAAGTGTGCTTCAGTTTTGCACATTTGTGACAAATAAGATCTCCAATTCAAGTCTGTAGACTTCTGTTAGATGACCCTCTACATGTTAAAATCGACCCATTCCTGTTATGATCGTCTGACTCGTCTTTGATTTTTCTCGTCTTTCTTTCAGGAGATCCTTCCTGTCTCTGGGAACTTGAGCCAGGATGCTTTCCATGAAGGTCCTGACAGGAGTGTGTCCTCCATTGAAAATATCGCTTTGACCCCTTCCAAACAGACCAATCAGCAGACTGCTTCTCCCACTGTTTCTATCCTTAACGAACATACCTACAGCTTGTTATATCCTGGCCCCACCCCCAGTCAACATGGCTCTAATGCAAGTAAACAAAGCCCCTCCCCTATCAAGTCAAAACCCAGGGACTCCAACCCGGAAAAACCTCCCAAAAAGAGAAAATGGGAGTGCATGGAGGAGAAACAGAGCGTGACAAGCAGTCAGGATGACCAAAATGTGAGCAGGAAGGTTGATGCTGTTGGCGGGAAGAGTGAGTCTTTGAGCGGGACAGGTTTAGGTGTTCTTCAGGAAGGAAAGAGGGTTCGGAAGCCAAGTCAGAGGGCCAAAGCTCTTCAGGAATCCAATCAAGCCAAGGTAATATCTGTCTTTTCATCACCCTTGATAGCCTTGATAAAACAAAAGCGAGTTAAGAAAAGGTATTGATAAATCAACAGCACAACAATTTAGACCACAGTCTATAACACAACCAGATCCTGCAATAAAACACCAACATTCCCCTGATTGTCTCCTTCATCAACTTCCTTTCCTGTTGTTATTTTTTTCCAGGTGGAAGCCAAAAAGAAAACTGCTTCTTCACCTCGTAAGAAGCGCCCTCGGAAGTCAAAATGTAAACAGGAAGCAGTTGAACAGAAGCTGTTGGTGACAACTATGGCAAAGCCCATTTTGAGCTTAAGCTCACCTCATCCCACCAATGTGTCTATTCCTGTAAACCTCCCTGGTCTGAACCAACTATGTCCCCCTTCTGCCCTGCCCAACTGTCCTTTGAAGCCCTTCCCTCCTGCCTTTATCCTGCAACATGCCTCAGACCCTGGCTCCTCCCCCCTACTCTATTTCCCCCCCCCACTGTTCCCCAAAACACGTCTTTCCATCGAAAGGCTTGTTAAGGAAAGATAAACAAGCACCACCTTCCCCCTAGAAAGGAATCCCTGCAGTTTGAGCCCTCCTTGATGTTCCTTGAGTCCCGGGCAGAGGTGCAGGATTGGCTTAGCGGTCAGGGAGGGGTGGTAGTACCTGGAGCGGGAACTCTTCCCTACCTGCCCCCATTTGTCAGTACTTTGAGTACACTCACTGGGCTACTCCAGGCCAAGAAGTCTCTGACCAAACGGTCTCTGCAGCTGTTGAATGAAGAGTCCAGACCTCAACCTAAACACCCTCAGACCACTGCCGAACCTGACAGCAGCACCGAGGGATCAACCAGTCAATCTCAAGACCTGCCAGACTCCACCTCTGACCTCAGACCAGGTGACACACAGATTTATTTTTCTGTTTATAGTAGTTTAGTTTAGTTTATTAGGATCCCCATTAGCTGCAGCATTGTAACAGCTATTCTTCGTGGGGTCCTCACAACTGACTTTACACAGTGTCAATCAGTGTTGCAACCATTGCACCACATCATAACACATAACAAAGTAGTCAAATAATTGACAAGGGGATCTCAGGTTTTATACACTGAACTAAGTCTAAACTCCTTGAACCCTGTATCACATTTTGATGAGGTCATGAACATAACATTAGTAGTAGTAGAAGATGTATCTTGTTTTAGTAGCTACACAGTTAATATAATATCATAATATATGTATAATTATATAAATATAATAATGAAACAATTCCTCCTTGTGAGCCTTTTTCAAGAACTCAATAACAAATCCTTTATAGTCCCTGTGCGATTACAAGTGTGTCGTTTGTTTGTGCCCAAGCTGCTCTCTCTGTGAGGTCTGAACCTCAAGAGGAGGAGGAGGAGGACGAGGATGAGGACGAGGAGGAGGAGGAGGAGGAGAAGGAGGAGGAACTTGTTGCAGCAGTACGTCAGCTCGTGGCCAAGCGTTTCTCAGAAAACCCGGCTTACCAGCTGCTAAAGGCTCGCTTCCTATCCTGCTTCACTGTCCCTGCCCTCCTGGCCACTTTCCCGCCTATGACTGTGAAGACAGTGGCTCCCTCAACCTCTGAGGAGGAGGAGGAGGAGGAGGAGGAGAAGGAAGACGAGGAGATGCTGAATAAGATCAAAGAGAGAGGAAGAAAGAGGAGAGATAAGGTGAGCTCAGTCCTTCAATCAGGCGGACTTTCAGCTATAATAATAACGTTCTATAAGAAATGACATGTGTTTTAAGATTTCTGAAAATGTTTCTCATTTAATATCTGTACTTTTATTTCTTTAGATTAATGTTAATATATATATTTACATACATATAAAACAACTCTTAACAAAGACATTCATCAGTTTTCTTTTTGTCCCCAGAAGTCTTCCCTGTCGTGTGACGGGACAGGACCTCCAGCCAATCACTTTTTAAGTATGGACACCCACACCGCCAACCACACTGGACCAGTCCAGACTGTTCAATGAAAACTGCGCATCTGAACGCTGAAGTAATGTTTTCTCATGAGTTATAATTTTACTTAAAAAATGTTCACCAGAGTAGTTCAGAACTCTGGTGCTCTCAGGTACCTGCATTTCAAGTTTGAAATGATGAATTTGCACTAAATTATATTTAGTTTGATGTTATCTAGCTGCTGTAAATAAAATGTAATTAACAATGAAATTATTGTTTATAATAAAGAGACATTTTGTGTTTAATGGTTTAATGAAGCTTTGTGTGTGTGTGTGTGTGTGTGTTGTGTGTGGTGTGTGTGTGGTGTGTGTGTGTGTTGTGTGTGTGTGTGTGGTGTGTGTGTGTGTGTGTGTGTGTGTGTGTGTGTGTGTGTGTGTTGTGTGTGTGTGTGTGTGTGTGTGTGTGTGTGTTGTGTGTGTGTGTGTGTGTGTGTGTGTGTGTGTGTGTGTGTGTGTGTGTGTGTGTGTTGTGTGTGTGTGTGTGTGTGTGTGTGTTTGTGTGTGTTGTGTGTGTGTTGTGTGTGTGTGTGTGTGTGTTGTGTGTGTGGTGTGTGTGTGTTGTGTGAGTGTGAGGATTGTTTCATTCAGTGTTTTTTTTTTTGTTTTTTTTTAAAGGTAGTTTGGGGCCTTTTTGCCTTTGTTTGATAGGACAGTGGCTAGATTAAGAAATTGGGAGAGAGAGTGGGGAATTGGGTACAAGGACGCAAAGGTCGGACTTGAACCCGGGCTGCACGCTGGAGGACTTTTGCCTCCACACATGGGACACGACCTAACTGCCAGGCCATCTGTGTCCCAGGATCTGCACTACAGGGATCCTGTTTGTGGGAGAGGGACTTGACTTTTTTTTAAGAAATGTATGTTAATCTCTGACTATCTGATTTGAACAACTTAAGAGCAGAGCCCAGATCTCAGGTTGGGAACTGTTGACAGACTTGAACTTTTTCATTGGTTAACATATTTAAACTTCTGAAATAAAAGAGACGGCAACAGCTGAAATGGCCCACTTGAGGCTCAAAATGTTATCCACAAAACAGATGTGTCATGTCAGTGTGCTTCCTCACTCCTGAATTCCAGGGTTTGGTTAAATTTCATAAACCTCTGGTTACTTTTATGAATTTGTTCTTACAATTAAACTTGTAACTTTGGACTTTTGTATCTGCAAATGAAAATCACTGCTGATCATATATCTACTTCTTGTTTCACCTTGATGATGTTTCCGGTTTCCTCTTACTTCATTCCTCCTCTGACTTCCCTATCCTTCACTTCTTCCTCTTTCTGTCACTTCAGTCCAAATCCTCTCAACTGACGGGAAATTTGTAAAAAATGAGAACTCGAACAGTACTTATTGTGCTGTCAGTTAAGTCATCAATACAGTACATCTTCATGTAGAAATCATGTATATTTTATATTATACTTATCTGCCAACCATAGGTGTCAAAAATATGTAGTGGAGTGATGGGAAAAATACAGTGCTGCCCTCTGAGTTGTAGTGGAGTCGTTTCAAATGGTACAAGCAGGCCTGTGTACATAAAAACCAAACGAATTACTCTACCTATAGTATTGAATGCAGTTTTGAGTGTGAAGTAGTTTCTGTATAGGTATAGAACTACAGTTGTAATTTTTCAGTTGATTTTTTTTACCTAGTTAACTTTACCAAGGTCGGATGTCACTGCGCTTGGTGATACAAACAAGTCAACAAACCTTCTTATAGTGACTGGCAACAGTTTAAATGTGTTTTCTTTACATGATAATGTATAGTATATAAAATAAATATGTGAGTTCAGTGTAATGTGACTGGTGGATATCGATTGGTTTCAATAAATCCAGTGCCAGTCACAGAGGGTGGGGTCAAAAACAGGAACTAGAGAAATGATCTCTTCCTCAGAAAAAAATAAGGAAACAAAAGTTCCAAAGAAAGAAAGAGATAAAAAGACACAGGCTGTGTAATTAAAACAGACGGGTACATCAGACTACAGGAGAGACTGTGCAGGTGTGTATTATGGTGTTGGTCTATGATGCGAGTATTAAGAGTGTGTTTTACTTGTAGGATTGAGGACTGATTAGAGGAAAGTATTTCTGAGCTTGTTATATCTGAGCATCACAGAGAAGTATGTCAAGGTGTTTGACATCTGAGTATTGTGTAGTCAGTGTTTGCTACATAAAAGCATAGTATTTCAAAGTGTGGCATATCAAAGTCGAGTGTATAAGTGTGGTAGCCTAAGTGCATTGTACTCAAAGTGAAGAATAATGCGAATAATATTTTGGTCTGTAGTGTATTTGAGCTTAGAAATGTTTTGAGTAATATAATGGCGTCTTGAGGATAGAAAAGTAGATCTGGTCAGTATATAATAAAATAGTGTATTTGAATAAAGTATACTGCAGTGTGATATATCTGAGTGTAGTTTGTCTCAAGGTTGTACGTCACATGCTAGTTTATTGGAGTGAAGTATATCAGAAAGTGTATCAGAGTGTAGTATATTGAAGGGTTGTATCTCAACGTAGTGCTTTAGAGTGCAGTACATCATAGGGTAGTGTGTCACAGTGTAGTATACATAAGATTTGTGGTTAGAATCAGAATCAGAATGTGGTTTATTGATGGTGCCTGAATGTGCTTCAGGGTGTAATAGATAAAAGTGTGTATTAGATCAGAGTGTAGTTAGTCAGAGAGGGGTTTATTAGAGTAGAAAGTATCTCATAGTAGTGCAAAGCAACTAATGATGGACGGAGTGTGTGAGGACGACCTCTGCTGGCTGCAGCTGGATGATTACAGGATGCTGCTCATTAAAAACGTTGATCCTTCAAGAATCACTCCATACCTCCGACAGTGCCAGGTAAGTACTCGTCTTTGTGAACCTTCTTGTTGTATTGTTCCTCCTTCTGCTCCCCTACTTATACATACTCGTATACATCTTCTTCCCACTACCTTACACCTCTCAGTGAAGCCCCTTTCACACATGAACTGAGATTATTAGATAGATTTAAGATATTCTTCTCAGTGGTGGCCAGGTCCAGGGCCACTGTAGAAATCTGATATGATTTGCTATTTGTGGCTTCCTCAGAGGTTGGACTTCCAGTAGCTGTCTTTACATTTCAATGTTGCACATGTCCTTTTGTTAGAGCTTTGGACAAACATCTTTTTGAGTCATTATTAATAAAGCTAGGAAGATGTCAATGTTGCCACTCTGTTTTTTTACTGTTTAAAGGTAAACTATGAAACACGTTAATATAATAATGGTTTGAAAGGCTATTTTAAGTGTCAAAAGTACTTCTTACTGGTGAAGACAGAAAGGGTAAATAAATGCCATGTATTGCTCTTTGTGCACACTTCTCCCAGGAGTTCTTGAGTGTCAAACACTTTATTTCCTGTATGCTGGTGTATTTTATGCACGTATTTGAATAGTAAAGGAAAAACTAAAAACTGATGGGTTATTTCATCCCAATAATACATTTCTCACTTGAACTTTGGTGCTATCATTCATTTGGAAGTCTTGCATGGGCACATAAAAGGTATTCTTCTTTGCTTTTGATCATCTAGATTTTGACATAATATGGGGTTCCATATTGGATTTCTATGTTATCATCCAGAATTTTAATAAATGGGGACATACTTTTTGTAGTTTCAGCCTAGTTGGAAATGTTTTTTTTTGTCAGTTGGTCCCGTAAAGAGCATGGTAGGTCCAGATAATAATCTGTGCATTGTTGTCGCTAGCTTGAAGTCAAGGTATCAGTGCAGAAGTTTGTGATGTTTACAGTTTTTGGTCATCTTTGACGCTTACACATAACAACAGGAATATAAAAACAGCAATCATGTGTGTGTATGAACTCTTACCTGTCTGAATTAAGCAGAGAAACTTTGCTCAACATGAACAATGTTATTACCCGCCCACTCACTTGCTATGAATGTTCCAGACTATTGGTGCTGGGTTCACATATCAACAACAAACACACTTTTAACTTGGAGACTAGCAGAAATAAGTCTGCAGAATGTTGGGGTGAACAGATTCAGTGTTTGTGTTCGAAAGGGGCTAAAGTTATATATACGCTCACTGAAACTCTTACTGCCACTCCAATGACTAAGAGTCAGACAGTGTCAATGTCCTAGACTGGCACCACATCGTATGCTCTCATACATCTATAATGCCCCACCTACTTCTAAAATGTGTCTGCCCCCCCCCTCCCTTCTGTAACTTCTCCTCTGTGATTACCTTATCCCAATTCTGTCCCTTTTTCATTGAGTTTGTACTCTTTGTTCTCCTCTGTGGCTTCATAGCACGCCACAGTTTCTCTCCCATCTGCTTTATACTTGTATGTTGATTAGGTGATAAGTGCTGAGGATGAGGAGCAGCTCTTCAACGACCCCGCCCTTGTTGTCAGGAGGAGAAAAGTTGGTAAGTTATTCACTCAACACCTGTGTCAAATGTTCTCTTGACCTGACACCATAAAGCCCCTTGAGCATTGCACACTGCAGTCAAAACGAAGTCAATGCCAAATCCCAGAGGTCGATCAAAGTGAGGTTGTATCAAAGTGGTCCATGTTAGTCATGACATGACAGAAATGTCAATATGAAATGAGCTTGCAGATTTTTTTGGCTAACCACTAGGCCAACTGTGCCCCATCATTACGTCATTTTTAAGTCACATTTTAAGCTCAGCAGAAAGTTTACATCAAGGTGACTTGTTGAGTCATGAAGGTCATGTCTGTGACACTACTTCAACCATGTCATTCCCCGCTCTCTCTCTCCCTGATTTCCGACTCTGTCCACTGTCTTATCGCTCAATTAAAGGCACAAAAAGCCCAAAAATAAATCTTGAAAAAAGGGTTTATCATGAAGTGTTGAAAGCACTCAAGCATCACTTGCTGACCGTACCATTATCTTGACTTTCACAGGAGCCCTGCTGGACATCCTGCAGAGGACCGGAGTCAAGGGTTACACAGCCTTCCTGGAGAGTCTGGAGCTGGATTACCCTCAACTATACAGCCGCATCACTGGGAAGGAGCCCAACAAGACCTTCAGCATCCTTATTGGTCTGTTTAACTGTTTGCTTGTTCACCTGCCTAAATGACCAGTTTAACTATCAATAATTCTGCTGTAAACATCACGTCTGTCTTTCTGTTTAGACACTGCTGGTGAATCTGGTCTTACTCAGTTCTTGATGTCAGAGCTCAGTCGTCTGCAGAGGGCACTGCAGGATGAGAGGAGGCGACGCCAGCAAGCTTGCGCTGTTGCCAATGAACAGGTCTATTTGATACTGAGGATGAGTCGTTGAAGATGTATATCACTGAGTTGTCTGAAGACAGATGGCAGTTAAAACACTGACGTTTTTTTGTTGTATGGGTTCGTTGGCATCTCCAGGAGGTGTGGTCTCGGCAGCAGAAGCTTAGGGACAGAGAGCTGAGGAAGCTTACTGAGCGGATTCATAAGGTTCGGGAGGAGCGGGAGAGGCTGAACGAGGAGGTGAAGCAGCTCAGAGATCACAACTACAGTCTGATGGCAGACATCAATACTCTGAGTCAGGAGAAGAGCAATGCCCAACTGGCCAACAGAGACCTGCAGATAGAGGTCAGCTAAATCCTACTCCACCTAAACACAGGGCTGCATGTAGAGCTGACCTCTGACCCCTGACCTCTGTACATTCTTGCAGGTGGAACGTCTAAAACACACAGTTGTGCGGGCTGAAAGTCAGACTCGACTGCTGAGACGACGAACACTGAGACCTCTGCAACAGGTAGAAAGACTCCTTCAGCTATAACATTACATGACTGGCCTTCAATATTTAAATCCAACTGTGGTAACACTTTCCAAGTGTTCAGAATTGTGCAAAGTTCCTGGGGAATTAATGAGGAACTAATTACAAGTTAATGAAGATATGATACAAAAGATTATTATTTTTTGCATTTGAATACATTATATGACATTTAAAGAGCATAACAAAACAGAGGAAAACTAACAAACAGACAAAAAGAAAACAAAGAGAAATAGAAAACAAGGGTTAAAGAAACCCATAGCTGATTACATAAATCTCAGATGCAGTAGCTGATCGATGTCTGATTCGATTTAGTGTATGAATGGCAACCAGGTACTGTAAATTCATTTGCCTGTATACATGCACATACATCTTAATTCATATTTAATTCATATGCACCTCTGTAAATATCGATGAGGGCAATTACTAACAGCTTATGTCATTTTTAGAGCAGGAGCCTGGCTCTTCCCCCGGAGACCTTCTTCCACCCAAACAGACCTGAGGAGCTTAAAGAGGAGAAACTGGAGGAAAAAACAGAGGAGAAGCAGGAAGTGAAAAAGGAGGAGAAGCAGGAGACACAGCAAGAGCAAACACAGCAGCAACAGCAGGAGAGTCCAGCTCTTCCTCAGATGAACCTCCTCACTACAGTGTTTAGGTTGAGAAAAGATCTCCACAGAGCAGAGGAGCAGAGAACAAGGGTACGAAAGAGGAGAGAGGGGTTGAGGTCAATATGACTCAGGACCAGTGTTAATTTGTACATTTTAAAACAGAAAAGAGGGAGGCTTATTGAGCAGGCTTTTGACTTAAGTTTTTCTTTACACTGACAATTCAGTTTTGTTTGTGCTAGAGGAATTTGTATTTGAAATCATCTCAACACATCATATCTGTCTCAAATGTTGAAATAAAACAAAATGTCTCTTGATGCAAGTTTATTCCTTTCGTGATTTGGACAATAATCGCCTCTGATATGTTGATTCAGCAGCAGTCCAGAGTACAAAATATTACAATAAGTTACATTTTAACACAATGAAAGAGCACAATCACAGCAAGTACTTAACATTTCAACACAGTTATTCAGCTTAGCATGAATATGTAAATTTCACCTGAATATTTACAGGTGTTTCAGAGTATCTGGTCCAACAGGTAGAATGCCAGACAGAGTCATTAACCCTGAAACCTATCAATATGATGGGGATCCGATCTGAAACTGGATTTCTTTGATTTCAGTATCTTGACGAAAAGGAGGAGCTGGAGCTGCGGTGTGCTCAGCTAAAGGGAGACATCAGGATGTACCGTCAACGCAACAAACAAACCCTCAGACAGCTGGAGGAGGTGATCAGAGAGAGAGACAAGGTGAGGAGGAGGGAAATCTGTGTTTTTATCTGTAATTTTGCTACCATCATTATCTTTATTTTAATTCTTATTGCGCTTCTTGGGGTTATTTTTGTTGTTTACCTTTCTATATGTAGTTTGTGTGTGTAGTTTACGTGTTCATGACGGTGGACTCTGATTTATATTCAAGGCTCTGTCATCACGGGCAGAGCAGCAGGAGGAGGCGCGGCAGCTCCTGCAGGAGAAAGACCAGTACAGAGAGCAGGTCAGACAGATTACTGAACAATCAGATAAACTAGAGCTTCTCCTGCTGAGGACACAGGGGGAGGAGCTACAGCTGAGGACACGCCTCCGCAGACTCACCTGCAACACACACCAGGTAACGCGGAAGAAGGTGATGAACGTGTCAATGGTAATGTAATAATGATGTAATGATGAAGGCTTTCTCATTCAGGGTGAGAGGAGTGTGAGCAGTGAGGAAGAAGAGGATCCCAATAAGAGCAATACAATAGGTAAAAGACATGTCTGACATGTGACCTACTGTTATATTAAAGCATCTCATGTGACCTAGTGTGATCATGTGACCTGCTGTATTCAGGAAGCAGTGAGGAGATCCGCAGTGGAACTTCAGGGGAGAATGAGGAGGCTGCAGCATTGCAGCAGCACAGCTCTCCTCTAGGAGGAGCCCCAGAACTGCAAGAGAAGGCAAGCAGTGCTGCATCATGGGTAATTTAACTAAAGGTCAAGTTTGTGTCTGATGCGTCACCCCACATTTGTGAAACGTCTGCAAGATTTCTACATCTTGTTTCCCTGAGCGAAATGTTCTACTCCATGCTGTTTTATAAGTAATACAGTAACTGATGAGGTGTCCATTAACAGGAATTTATTGACAACATGGAATCAGCTTCAGCAAAGGGCCAATAATCCGTCATTATGGTCACCTTGATGGCCTTTTTTTTGTGCTTACATAGTCTAATGCTGAAGAAAAACCAACAAGAGACGTACTGTGATCTACAAAATAACTTTTTTTGTCAATGGGGTCTTATGGCTTTGAATAGAAAATATTTTTCTATTTCTGTTAAAAATAAAAAGTTTGTATAGGGGATAAAAAGTGGATGCAGTCTGAAGCAACAGAGATGTTTCTCACTTTTCATTTAATTAAAGTTCACCTCTACCTGTCCTGATCTTTTTCTTCCTGTCTTTCTGCCTGCCTGCTTCGGTGTCCTTTTCTTTGTCTATCTGTCTGTCTGCAGGAGGAGGAGGAGACTGATGGCTCTGTGACCTCCAAGAGTCGACCAAACTTCTTTTATCGCAGGTTTGCCTTGATTAAATAACTCTGGCTTAAAATATTTCTGCAGTAATCAAAATGTCTTATTAAGCTTGTTCTCTTCTCTATATTGACAGGAAGCAGGCTCTCAGGTCAAAACCCATTTTTAAGGGGTACACAGTGGGTAACATTGAGGACAGCAGTGACATCACCGACTCTGACTGAACACAAGCTGGTGCTACACAAGATGCTGAATTCTTTTAACAAAAACAATCGTTTATTTTTTCTTTCGGAGCTTTTTTTACTCATTATTTTATTTTCAGCTTGATGTAATTTCATCTGTATTAAAAACCATGTCTATCTCTGTGTAACAAACCTCAGATAGGTGTGTTCAGTTCAGTAGCTTTCTAATTAAACTGTCCTGCAAGCTGAGATGATATTTTGTTATGTGTAAGATTGTGCTCATGTTTGTTATCAGCAAGAAATAAAAACAGAATGAAACAATAATGATAATAAATACTCAATCACCACTGTGCCCTTTAGATGTCATATATTATTTATAAAACGATCTGATATTATCTTTCACACCTTTAACATTTGCTTTGCTGAACGTGATTTCTGTCCAGGGCACAAACACGTTTTTTTCCACTCTACTCCTAGAGTGTGTGTGGCATTAAGTTTCACAGAGTTTGGTGTGGAAATTATCTTGTACAGTGATCGGTGACTGACAATTGTGATTACAATCTACATTGTTGTGTAGAAGCTCAAATTTGACAGATTGGCTCTTATTATCGAATGAAACAAATTAGCCTAATACACAACAAAACATACCAGACAAATACCAAATACAAACACTAAAGTGGTTCAACCTCAGAGGGATTTAAGTCTGCAAGTTATTATCAATCTTAAAAAAATAAGTTAGAAAAATTTAAAAAAGTGTCATCAAATTTACATCAGTAGTATGGAAGCCCATTTCTGCCAGTTAAAAAAATAAAAATGAAAATAATAAAGTCATAATGATGAGATAAAAAGTGGAAATTATAAGATATAAAGTCATAATAATGAGATATAAAGTCAGAATAATGAAATAACAAAGTCATAATGATGAGATGAAAAAAAGTCAAAATTATGAGATATAAAGTCATTATAATGAGATAAAAAGTCAAAATTATGAGATAAAAAGTCATAATAATGAGATAAAAAGTCAAAATTATGAGATATAAAGTCATAATAATGAGATAAAAAGTCAAAATTATGAGATAAAAAGTCATAATAATGAGATAAAAAGTCAAAATTATGAGATATAAAGTCATAATAATGAGATAAAAAGTCAAAATTATGAGATATAAAGTCATAATAATTAGATAAGTCAAAATAATGAGATAAAAAGTCAAAATTATGAGATAAAAAGTCAAAATTATGAGATATAAAGTCATAATAATTAGATAAGTCAAAATAATGAGATAAAAAGTCAAAATAATGAGATAAAAAGTCAAAATAATGAGATAAAAAGTTGAAATTATGCGACTTTATTATTTTCATTTATATTTTTTTTACTGGCGGAAATGGGCTTCCGTACAGTAGGCTACATTCAGGATGTACGATGTTCTCCGTAGACAGCATACGTCACAATGTTTCCGGAATGCTTGTCGCCATGGTGACAGAGAGACGCTTGGGCTTTCTGATTGAAGCTTAAACAGTTTGAGTCAAAACCAGCTGACTCATATTCACGAAATAAAAGAAAGAAATAAAAGAAAGTAACCGCGAAGAAAAAGATTACAGATTCAACTTGTATGCCACCCAACTGCCTCGTGAACTTTTCTCCGTCTCGGTGAACTCAAATCAGGGAAATAATAGATCCTGACTAGCGCTATCTATATGTGTGAGAGCAGAGCGGTTCCGAGCGGGAAGGTGTACCGTCAGCTGTTTGATGCTCAGGTGGGTCAGAGCCAGGTGACTGTCCCCAACTTGACTGAAGAACGTTTTGGACGTGGTTCCTTCTGGGTTTTTTTTTCTTCTATAATGTGGTGTTATTATGTTTTCTAGGTTCAGCTCTCCAGATCTCTGCTGGCCGGACGGAAAGACTCCAGGACAGACTGTCTCTCTGCTGAAGACAGCAACACACGCTGCAGTACAACCAGCAGGTACACAGACAGCCAAACACATAAAGAAATCAATCTCAGTGTGCTGAGAATTAAACATGTACCAGTATATCAGTGATTTGCATGTAGACTATGAAAAATCTCATTCAGTATTTGTGTCTGTCTCACTGTCTTTCCTCTTCACATGTCTATCTCTCTGTCTGTCTCTTTCTCCTGTCTGGCAGGTTGTTGTGCCCTCTTCCAATCAGGGGACAGAAAGGGGATGATGCTGATGAAGTTGACGATGTCAGCCAACTTCCTGACTCTGTGGGTTCGTATAGAGCTGAGATGTCACCTTGATCATGATAAACAAAGAAGATTACTACAAGAAAAGGAATAATTATAATATCCTTTTTATTGTAACTAATGAATAATAATTTATAAACCAATCATGACAACCCAAATCTATGCATGAAACTCCAACCATTTTTGAAGATGAGGGAAGTACACTTAGGGACAGGGATATTATTTTATTATCATGATAATATATTTTTTAAAATGAGTCCCCCTGTGAATATTCACCTGCCGTATGGAGTTCTGAGGTTATAGCTGTTTTATGTTCTGTCCTGTTGCTGTCCACCTCTCTCTTTCAGTGGTTGATCACCCCAGCTCTGACATCATTGAACGACTGACAGAGAAAAAAAGCAAAAAACATAAAGAAACTTTGAAACAGCTTGACATGGAGCTCATGAAAGTCACTCAGGTATAAAAAAAAACAGAGATAGTGAACACATAATTAGTACACCTCAAGAAGTATACACACACGTTGGTATAGCACATCTGAGGTAGTACAAACACAAATATACTGTTCCCCAGGCAGTACACTAATAGAGTATACCTGAGTTCATTAATACCCAGTTTTGTATGCCTGTGCTACACCTGAGGTAGCAGTCAAACTGATATATTTAACCTGTAGGTTTATTTCACATATATGTTATGTTGACTGATATAACACTAGAGGAAGTCAACACATGCTTATTTAGAACTGCTGAGGTAGTATACACCCTGATGTTGTATCCCTGTGGCAGTATACATGCTTGTATAAATCACCTCAGGTAGTTTACATGCTGATGTAAAGATGCTGTGGAATTCTACAAACTATGAAAGTAATAGTTTGAAGACTTCCCCAGCTACACATGAGGTAGTACACACCTCGCTGTTTAAGTACATCTAAGGTGGGATTCTCTGTGTTTCTGTAGATCTGAAGTAGAAGTAGAAGTAGTTGGTAGTCCGCACACTGGTGTAATAAACTTCCTGTTGTAATTTCACAATGTATTAAAGCCTAGGTGATTAAAATATACCTGTATGTTCTTTACTTTATCTAGTCTACATTTTGTGTTTCAGGTGTATGAAACTCAGGTGAGGACTGTAAGTGTGGAGTTTCTGTCCTCTCTGCAGGGATTGGACTTCCATTTAGACACCTTGAAGGACAGAATGAAATACCTGGAACATCAGAAACAAGCCCTGCAGGTACACATGAACACATAAGTCTGATGGTTCACATGAACAACTGAAACACAACACTTGAAATACATCAGTCCACATGTACACATGAACACCTTGGATCTGTCAGTCTTCATGAGTTTTTGGGTACACATGAACACCTGGGACACGTCAGTCTCCAGATTGTTGTTGTTTTTCGCTGATTAAAACGTTTCTGAGACTGTGGTTGGCTGGGCAATTTGGATTTTTGGACTTGTGACCTTAGTGTTTATCAAATCATGCATACGTTGTCATTCCTTGTATGTGTTTATATATTTGTGTGTCTCAAGGATGTGTGTGGTCTCTGGGAGGAGGTAGAGGAGGAAGTGAAGAAAAAGAAGCTTAGAATAAAGGGGCTAAACAAGAAACTGACTGAAGCTGAGAGTCAACGAACAGACCAGGTCAGACTACGTTAAAACATTTCAATGAGTGTTCAATGTACTTCTTTGACAAGGTGGTAAGATGGGTAGTGTTCATCTATAAAACAAAACACTTTTATTTGTTCCAAACATTTATCAATTAAAAACAAAAGATACAATACTTTTTGTTTGCATATAAAGTTTTTATTGAGCTAAAATGTTGATTATATTGAGTTATTACCAACATGATCATTACAAAGCTGTGCCATGGGCTACTATTAATTCAAGGCCAGTGTCATTAAAAATGGCAGTTTGTGTTTATATGTATGTCAGTATACATGAAAGTATCTATAGCTATAGTATGCATTTTATATGTCTACCTGTATGAAGTACACAACACTGTTATTAAGAACTAAAGAACAAAATGAAAAGTAGACACTTGGATTAAAATAATAATTAAGAAATAAATCATGTTGACCTTCTTTGTAGATCAGAGTTGTCCTGCAGAAGTATTCCCCATTGCTGGAGAAGATAAGCTTTCTGCCTCCATCTGATGTCTACAGACTGATCCACAATGAAGCCACAGTAACTTACAGTACTAAAGCCTTTCAACGTATTTCCTATAACAACTAAAAAATAATAGTTTCATATGTTCTCTGCTTGTGTCTAAGATGTTAAATCAGTCTTTGCTGGCGAATCGTCGTAGCGTGGCTCGACTGCTGCTGCTCCTCCGAGAGGAGACCCTGCAGCAGGAGTCACTCCTCCGTCTGCACTGGGAGGACTGTCTGAGCCGCTGGAGGAGCAACACAGTCAGTGAGGTTATAGGCCAATACAGGTGAGATACTCAGATTCAGACAATTTTTTTTATTTAGTCAAACAGGTTATAAGAAAGGTTTAAACAGATTTTTGCTTTTTTAAGCTGGTTTCAAAATTGAGTTTGGACTGATTCATACTATTTCAAGTGGTTCAGACCTAATAAGATTGGTTTTAACACATTTTTAGACATTTTTAAACATTTCATTTGTAGTAGATTTTAAATAGTATCAAATGGGCTAAAACTGTTGATTAATCTGGTTCAAACAGGTTTCAAACTGTTAAAACATGGTTTAAGCAGATTTCAAACTGGTTCAATTTGGATTTGTGATAGATTTAGGCATGTTTTGACGAGAATAAGAAATCAATTCTTGATTGGTTTTGAATTTGGTAAAACACTTATCAATGGGCTTTAGATTGGTTTGAACAGGTTTTAGACAAGTTTAAATTGGTTGCAGTTATCAAACTATAACTTAGGTCGATACAGCTTTATATGAGTTCAAGATCGCATCAAGCATTTATTAGAGAGCTTTCAATGAATAACTTAAAACAGGCTTTACAAAGTACAAATTGGTTCTTTGCTGTTAAGTTTTTTGAACTGGTTTTAGACTTTTTCATACTAATAACTGGAGAAATAACATCATCAGCAACAACTGTAAGACCCTTATTTCAACAGGTGATGTATTTCTAGTTTGTTTGTGTTCTAGGAGTCTCTGCTGCAGTGATATGGATCAGGAGCCACTCTTGGTCAGGCAGGCGGTTCAGAAGATGAAACAAACTCAACAAGAACTGACAGCAAAACGCTGTGACATCATCAACAGCATCTGGTAGTATTGTTGAAGTTAACAGCCTCTGCTGTTCATCTTTTGGTTGTTACTGTTTGGTTGTAACAGTCGCTCTATATCAAAATGTCTACGCTACTCTGTCCTTTACAATATAAATCATCGGGCAGAAAAGTTACAGGCACATTTTGTTCCTGAAGTAAAGCCCATGTCAAGAAGAAAGATGTTTTTGCATAGAGCTGGTCCTTTGGCCCTGACTGTATATCCCGCACTGTTGTCTTCTTTCTGTTCAATGAGACAATTTGACTTGTTTCTTCCCGATGACCTCTATATGTTGCAAGTTTCTTCTAGGGTAGTTACACCAGTTTGACAACAGTGTCTTGCAAACTGCAACTGTGAGAGAATCAATACAAGTAATAAAGCTTGTAGGCAATTCTCATAGATCTGCAGTATGCCACTGTCTATTAAACATTACATTTGTCTGTTTCAGCACCCTGGTCCCGCCCTCCTGCTCCATTTCTCTGGTCTCTGATTGGTTCAATCATCTGACAGCTGTCAATCAACAGATTGGTAAGCCTCTTGACTTTTTTGTCTGTGTTTCTGTCTGACTCAAAAGGTTAGTTTCCATTCACCTGTTTTGGAGCGGAAACACCTATAAAACAAACAAAAAAAAAATCAGTTTAAAAAGTTTTTCAGGTGTGTGAGGCAAAAAAGTCATAATCACATGACGCCAAAAACATATGACATATTTAGATCCTATTTACTACATGCTTCACCATTTTTAAAGCGATGATTGGATATCTTTCAATGACCCCATCTTCTTAAAGAATGGTTTAATGGCACCAACTGGAGCTTTATTTAACACCATCTGTTCATTTTCACTACCCAATAAACTAATAATTACACATTGGGAGGGAATTCAGTCACTCAATGTGTCTATGATCATTTGTGTGTTCAGAGCGGTTTAATACTGACTTCCTCCATGAGCTACGTTGTTGTTATGACCAGACTCAGCAGGATCGACTGGCTGACGTGGAGCGCTGTAAGGTAAAAACACAAAAATCCACGCTGAAATCTCTCAAAATGTTATAGTCATATTTACAACAACAGGGTTAGACAGAAACAAACATTTATTTATATCTTATTAATTTTGTAACCTGTGTTTCACATGTTGTCCTGCAGCTGTCTCCTGTCTCCTTTCAGCTGTCAGAGGAGGAAGTGAATGATCTTGTAAGCTCTCAACTGCTCCCTCTAATTGGTCAAAGCCAGAGTCAGTATGAAGAACGACTTGCTGCTTATGATGTGAGTAACACAATCGTCTCTTGTTTCTGAAGACTGGTTCTTAATGCCCCCCTTTACCAAAATATTTGTCTAACTTTCTTCCTGTCTGTCTGACTGCAGGTATGTTGTGAGCTTGTGTCCAATCATGCTCACATTCTCAGCAAGTGTGTGTTTGTTCTGATGAGGGGAGCAGCATTGCTATGGGAGGCACACAGCAGCAGGTTGAAGACAAGAGAAGACGAACTACAGCAACACTTGGATGACCTCAGAGAGTCACAGCAGCATTACATACAGGTAAGACTTCAGTCAATCAGTCCTGTATTTAAAAACCTGCAGGACACGCCTTCAACTTAGATGGGGTGAGTGTCTGTCAGGTTCTCTGATGCTTTGCTGTTGTATTGTCAGAAGAAGAAGGTGCGTCTGGATGTCCTGCTGGGTGTACTACGTCAGGAGGGCAATGAAGACTCTTTGAAGGCGTCTCTTGCCAAAGCTGTCTTCTACCTGAAGGAAGTCCAAGAGAGGTACCAAATGCTAATGCTCATACAGAGTCATACATACTCTACAGTTGTATTTACCTACAGCATTTTTTCTCCTTATGAAAATGTAGGTTTGATGTTGTGGTCATTGATTGGTTTATATAATATATGCTAACTGCACAAATCCATCTTATCAATCATCTTCCAAATAGCTCTCTCTCTCTCTCTCTCTCTCTCTCTCTCTCTCTCTCTCTCTCTCTCTCTCTCTCTCTCTATATATATATATATATATATATACATCTCTCTATATATAAGAAGAAATAACCCATGTGACCTCAATGACAGTTAATGGATTGGAAACAAAAAAATGATCTGTTTTCTCCTTTAATTTTTAATTAAATCCATCTGAACACAAACGTTCAATTTGCTGATCAGGGGCATGATAAGTGTTCTGCCTTGAGATCAAACAGCTCTTGTGTGATGGTTTAGAGCTGTAACATTCTTTGTGTTTGTTCACGTGAAGCTGCAGAGACTGGGTCTCAGATCAGTGTCAGCTGTTGGATCGTCTCCCTTCTCTCCTCCTGGAGGAGCTATACTCCTATAGCTCCAGCCTCAGCTTATTCTACCACCTCAACCACACCTACAGACCGGTAACCATGGCAATTACATCTCACACACACCTACACCTTCTGCTAACTAAAGCAACACTCAATGCTTTCTCAAAACTGTAAGACAGCCTTTTGACTTCTTCATCACTGTGGTTTAAGACTTGCTTACAGTAAACAAGTGAAACATTAGCTGAGTTTATTGTATTGTTCAGACAACACACTACCAGATGTTGGCAACTTTTAGTCATAATCCAGCTCATTAATAAAAGTACATTATGAATGTTCAAAATTCCTGCAAATATAGAGTCAGAAAACAGAAATTCTCAGACTTGAAATCAATACCACGTTCATCTTAAAGTATTGGCTTAGTTTTTTAGGGCTTCATAAGTATTATAAACCATAGCGTATATTGAAACCAGGTAAAGGGACTCAAGTCCAAAGCTAGAGCAATAACATGTTAAGCTTCATAAAAGATGTGATCTTCCTGCTCAGAGTCCAGAAGAGCTGCACGAACTCCACCCATCATTAACCAACCCAGCTGGTCAGTGTGTATTTGTTTCTGTTCACAGCTTAATAAACTGTTTATTTTGTTGAGAACGTTGGGGTCCTGTCTTGACTGATTTTGCTTTTTTTTTGGCAGAATATAGTCAGGGTGCTGAAATACAAAAACCAAATGAGATGATAAAGAATCGTCCAATCAGCTGTCAGATTGACACAGATCCTGACCAGTCGTCTCAGTATATGCTGCCAGAGGTGAAGCTCTTGTAAATTAATGAAAGACAAAAAACAACTTGTTATTATGCAGATATGTCTAAATGCTGTGTGTTTGCTTATGTGTAGGATGAGTCCTGTCTGGAGGATCTCTGTGACATGAGCAATGTTGTCACATTTGCATCATCAAGGGGTGTATCCTATAGTGGACCCACCTTCATATGTCCCGCCCCTGATCTTTCAGAATACCTGCAGCAGGAAACACACCTGCCCATGTTTCCTGTAGAGCTACTCACACACACACTTCACAGGTACAATTACACACACACAACACGATAACAGAAGAGTGCCATCTTGTGCTGACTGTATACGTTTTCAATGCCCAGGATGCGGATTCTCTTCTTGGAAAACCTGGAGCAGCATTTTCATGATGTCCTAAGCTCAGCATTACCATGGTTACACACAGGAAGGAGGTGTTGCATTGTGAGCAGGAGTTCCAACTGCAGCAGCTGAATTGCCAACATATCCAGACCCACATATACCAACCACGCCTGGGTAAAACAGAGTTTGTGCTTTCACATTCATTTTAATAGTCAGAATTTGATCAAGGCACCATATGGTGGACAAGGTGCTCCTCTAATCTTAAAACAGTAGTTCACCAACCAATGACTTCTTTTCTTTAATACAGACACAGTGGTCGCAGCACTAGTCTGACTGATAGGATGTAGGCTTTGTATTTCTGCTGTTGGTAGCCTATATCATATGGAGTTTTCTTCCCATTTTAGTAACTCTGTATTCATGTTTTTTAATTTCCCTTACTAACCTGAACCTCTACAATCCAATGGCTAAATTCATTAGCACTTGAGTGGCTAATCGGATGTAAGACTGTGTTTAAGCCTGCAGTTTATAGACTGTATCAGATCAGAGTCATCCTCCCCTTTGGGTAAATGTGTGTTAGATGTGTGTGTGAGATAACAAAGCAACCAACATAAAGATGGACACACAGCTCATTTATGTGGTCCACACTGATGGTATCAGAAGTTCTTGACAACAAACATAACAGTGTCTTTCTGTGTGTGTGTGTGTGTGTTTTAGCTGAGCTGCAGCTACACAGACACATGTGGATGTTCACTGTGAGGAGGTGTCTGACATGTTGGCCTCCTGCAGGATGGAGCTGCATGACCTGCAAACTTCCATTAACAGGAAGAACAAGGAGTTCACTACCACAGTGTCCAACATGGAGGACGACATCATGACAGCTGAGAGCAGCCAACGGTAACAACTGATCTGTGGTCAACTCACACTGGTAGAATCAGATTCAGAATAAACTTTATTGTCACCATACTAAGGTACAATGAAAAAACATATGGCATCTTGCCTGATTAGCAAAGCAATGATAAAACAAGTAAATGTATACAACTAATAAGGTAGAAAGATAAAGACTTGTTTCTAAAGCAAATGAAATGTGTTTTTCATAAATAACAGTCTCTCTCTGTCTGTCTTTAGTCTGGATGCTGTGAGCTCTGCCCTGCAGGACTGTCTGGATCAACATATTAAAGACACCCAGCACTGTCAGACCACATTCAGAAAGACTGTTGAGATAAGACTGGAGGAGGTCAGGCAAAAAATAACACAACTACTCAACTCTTTCAGGTACCACATGGAGCACCTGAAAGTTTTTAAATACACACACTCTCTCTCACACACACACACACACACACACACACACACACACACACACACACATTCTTCAACAACTTCTCCTGTTGCAGGTTGTTCAGTGAGGGAGGTGATTTTGCTCCTGAAGAGGTGAAGTTGTTTCAGCAGAGACTGACGGGGGAAACCAAAAAGATTACTTTGGCTGAGGAGTCCATCCACTCTGAACTGGAGGGGTTTGAGTCCAAGAGTTTACTACAGGTTTGAGATTTTATAAATATGAATTTGTTGGTGTTTGCCTCTATCAGATAGGACAACTGCAGATGGACTGGAAATATGAGGAAGAGAGTGGTGGTGATGTTCATCAAAGAGCAGGGGGCTGGAGGACTCAGCCTCTTCAGATGGGGTGTGCTAACTATCAACTGAGCTAAGTGGCGGCCTGCAGATATGACCTTAACCTGTCTGTTCATTCAGAGTGACTGCAAGTTCAAATAGAACACAGGGTTTCCCCCCACTTTGTATTCACAATAACATTTTACTGTTCAAAAAATGTGAAATAGAGGCTGGAAGTTTGGACAGTTGGTTTGGTTTGGGTCAGCAGGAATGAAAATAATTCTGGTAACAGAATCATGACAGGAGAGAGCTCAGTCTGCTGAAAAACAGGCCACTTGAAAAAGGATCATGAGAAGTCCATGTTTGTGTTTGTGGTCTTAAAGAGAAAATTAACAACTCTGTTGTTAAAGGGTGCAATTAAACATAAAGGTCGTCTTTACCTTCAGAATAATTCATGTTGCAGCAACAAATGTCAAATAAACTGTCTGAGGCTAAAGTCTGTTTCCCCCAAGGTAAAGGATGTGTCTGGTCGTTTTGAGGAGATACTCTCCCTCCTGAAGTCTGAGGTGATGTTCATGGAGAAGATCAAGAAAATTATCAGCAGCACACAAGTTAACATCAAGGCAGAGGTACCTGTCTTCTGACTGTCTACTTAGTATGTGTATGTCTGTCACAGCTGATTGAAATTCTTTGCTCAGCATGTTAAAAGAGATTTGAACCACACAGGCAGCCAGCAGTAACCAGCAGCAAGCAGCCATACTCAGCAGGATGGAAGATCTGAGGAGGATGGTGGAGAACACACAGGTACACAGTCACACAGTAATACTGCTGTAGCATCACTTTACGTTATTTTAGTTCTGTGACTTAACCAAACAAAAAGAACATGTTGAAAATGTAAGTTTTAAGTTGAAATCTGTCTGTCTGTCTGTCAGCAGGTGTCTCCAGATAAGGTGTGTTCGTTCCTGTCATCAGTCAGTGAAGAATTCAGGAAGCGCTGTCAGTACCTGGACTTTTCACTGGTATGCTACACACTGAATACTATGACATCCTTCTTGTTTATGCAGACTACTTTCTTACTTACTGCTCTACCACGTGTGCTTGGACTAGCTGGACTACCTATTGTATCCAGGGCTGGACTTGTTTATATGGACAATCACTTTCCACATGGACCTCCACTTGCTGACCTGGACTATCTGTTGTATTCCACGACTGCATCTTTACTGCCATTAGTATATCTGGACCAGCACTTGTCTACCTGGACTGGACTACTACACATTTTGCTCTTGGACTGCCTCTTGTATCCCCCCTTTTTTTAAGTTATATTTTGGACTATTTTAGCCTTTATTGGATAGGACAACTGCAGAAAGACAGGAAACGTTGGGTGTAGAGAGTTGGGGATGCCATGCAGCAAAGGGACAGGGTTGGATTCGAACCCAAAGCCACTTCAACGAGGACTATACCTATGTACATTGGGTGCACAATATAACCGCTAGCCCATCCGGCACCCCAGTTCATTCTTTTTCGTTAGGTCTGCTTTATGTTCATGTTGATTACACTGAATACGTTTGTCATTGGTGTGTTTAGGATCACACCTGGGAGAGTCTCCCAACTCGGCCCAAGTCCACGAAGCAGGTTTGCTCAGCCCAACCTTCTGGTTTACTGCAGCCGAGCAGGAAAGCTGTTGACATTCTCAATGACCCTGTTGTAGGCATCATCAAATCCTTAAATAGGTATATATACTCCACTTAACCACTGAGTTGCCAAAAAAGTACTCTTTGGTATCTGGCGATGAAGAAGATTAGTAGTTTTCTTTTCTCTTATTCCTTTTCCTTTCTTTCTTCTGCCCAATCATCCTTACATATCAGGTTGTATATAAATCAGGATCTTCCAGCAGAAGCAGCAGAGAGAGAGGAGGGAGGAAGAGCAGCTTCTGGTAAGAACTCTGTAATTCTTTCTCTTTTCCAAATTGAAAGGCATCACATAATTTAAAAAAGCTGTGAGGTACAGAATATTTATATGAAACATGTAGTCTTTAAGTAAGGTAGTGAAAAACATTGCTATGATGTAAGCATGGAGCTTGTAGATTGCCATTTGCACATTAAGATTTTACCATATTTACAACCCAGACATTTTTCCCTGAAAATTTGCCAAGATTAGAAAGCTCTGTGATCTTTCCTTTTCAGAAAGTCGAGCCACCTTTCAAGTTAAAACATTCTTAAGACTAAAGCTAAGGTTTGCTTTACGACACTTCCTAACTTACAGTAACATAAGCTAGTACATTTTGAGTGTTATACGATAGGCTAGAAAAAAATGTACTTTCTTCGCTAACAGTTTTGTGAGCTAGTAAGTGTTGGATGATTACACTACAGTTCAATGGACCCCTTTTGCTGTTGACTATTGTAGCTTATTGGTTGCAAAATATCCTGTTTCAATAAAAAAAAAGTGAACAATCGTCCTTCAAGTTTTTTACAATACATCGTCTCTTTTTTAGTAGCTATCAGGAAGAGGTGAAATGATAATGATTGGGAAATTGTGTACACTAAAATGATATGGGTCCTTGAATAAGTCTTTAAATTGACAACTGCAGCCGAGAAATCCATTCTGAATATGACAAAAAGGGAAAGGTTGTGTAAACAGACAAATTTTGAACACTTTTGTTGTAAAAAGAGAAGACAAGTCATTGATCAATCCCAGATGTTCTCTTCAGGTGATAGAACGTTTTAATCACAATACTGTTTCAACTATGAATACATCTCAGCATTCAATCTAGCCTTGTTGTCAGCCTTCAGTCTGATTGAACTAAACACAACTAACAGCTGACAGCTCTTTGTTTATTTCAGGTCAGAGTTCTGTCCAACGTCTACAACAGAAATGTACTGGGTCCGTTAGCAACCTAAGGTAAACACATACACACACACACACACACACACACACACCATAATATTTCATAAAAGTTTCACATGAATGTATGCACGTGCATTGTGGAATTTGTGCTTTAGTTGGTACACACAGAGTCTGTTGTGCTGCTCACATACAATAAAACTTTATTTTATTCTTCATGTTGGTTTATAACCTGTGTGTGTGTTTGTGTGTGTTAAGTGTGGGGAGAGGCTGCAGGCCCATCAGGTCTGACAGGAGGCTTCAGGTTTTTGGACCAAAACCAGATCCAGAACAGACCACACAGTGAGTTTGATCTGCTAGTTTGATTGGATCCTGATGGAGGGTCTCAGGTTTTGATCACCCTGTTATTATGTTTCAGCTCTTTCAGCTCTGCAGTTAACTCTGTGCTATGGAAAGCCAACAATGTCATCCTGCTGGTTGCTGAGGTAACAGACACACTCTGCGCATGTGCAGATTAAATAATGTTCTTCAAAGTTGAACATACTGCTAAAATGTTTATATTTAATCATTTATAAAACTCTGTCAGGACTTCTACCAGAGCAAGCGGGGCAGCAGATTTCTCCTGGTTCCTGAAAGTTTTGATCAATGGGCTGAGAGTATGCAGCAGAGGCTGCTGGGATACCAGGAACAGGCCAGGAAGCTTATCAGCACAAGCAGAGAGGGTAGACACTATGCATGTTCAACTGTGACAGACTCTCTGTCTGTCTGTCTGTGGTCTGGCTCTTTTGTCTGTCTCTCAGAGTTGATGAACACATTGCTGTATGTTTCTCTGTCTGTGTTCCAGCTGTGAACTCTTTTGTCTGTACCACTGTGTGTCTCTGTCTGTCTGCCTGTCTGTTTCTCTGCTGTATGTCATAATTAGCAAATCAGCTGACCCTCTGCCTGTCTGTCTCTCAGAGTTGGTGAACCAGCTCTCTATGTTGGAAGAGATTCTCAATTTGTTATCCAACGTTTTGATCAGCAACCATGTGCAACAGCACGAGGCAGGGCTTAGAAACGAAGTGGGAAGAGTCAGAATAAAGCTGGAGCAGACCCTGTTAGCCAGTGAAAAGGAAAAGGTTTGAACATTAAAACAGTATTGCCTCAAAGCTCATCACGTTATCTGTATGTAACAAACTGCAGGTTAGACCTGACTGTTTATTCTCTCTGGTTCTCAGCGTGAAAACGTCCGTCACCTGAGAGTTTCTCTGAGAGACGATGAGCTTCAGACTCTGAACCGCAGTGAGGACCTCAGACAGCAGCAGCTCCAAAGCGCCGTTTGTTCAGCACACCTTCAACTACAGGTAGGGCGAGGGAAGGATCACCGTGACACCTGTTAGCCCTGCAAATAGAGAAGTGGCTCATTCACACTTCATTAGTCACCAATTCATATAAAGAGGAGCTGTATCTGGAGTCTCCAGGTCTGTTTAGACCTTAAGAGCTCAGCCAAGGGCTGCACAATAGAAAGCAATTTTATTGTTATTATAATATGAGCATCCACAATAAACACATTATAAAACTCTGAATTTATCAAAAATAAATAGTTCAAATTATAAAAGTAAGCAATGTTCTTCCTCAGCATGTGTACATTGTATCTGTTGGATGAAAGCCTGGGTGTCCATTCATTACTAATAAGGAGGATAAACTATCAAGACATTGAGAATCAGTGTAACAATGCTTCTGGCTGCACCCAGAATGAATTTAGAGGTTTTTTTGGGGCCTGCAGTTGGAGCCAGAGATCAGTTTTCTGCACAACACAACTCACAATGCAACACAACATTCATACACTTGTAAACAACTGTACATTGTTGTGTATTTTCTGTGTTTAGGAGTGTGTAAGAGCCAGAGGGGAGGAGTTTGTGAAATCACTGGCTTCTCTGACAGACAATCTGCTCCATCAGCTGGACAACCTGTTTACAGCTGCAGGTAGCTTTCACCTCTAACTGGCCTATGTTTACATTCTGTGACTATAATAACAACTTTATACATGTCTGTGCTAGAGAAGAAGAACAAATTGTTTCAAGAAAAGCTGACGTTTGCAAGGGACACGGCTCTTAACATAGACTGTGGAGGAGGCTATGACAGAGACATCTGCAAAACTCAAGATGGCAAATTAACTTAACATGCAACAGAACGTGGTGTAAGATGGTGTTGCAAAAGAAAACGTTTTTTTTATTACTGATTTTCGAACTAAGTAGCAGTTTAATTAAGCAGAGAAATGAAAAGTGAGTGGGTTGTTATCGCAGAGGAACCCCTTCAGTGTTAGTCAGGACCCCTCCGCCCTGTGTCTTGGTCGCGCTCCCTTGTTGGGGTTTTTATTCCTTGATTAACAACCCACTCACAATACATTATTATTTACATACATGTTTGATTACCTGGACACACAAACATCTCTCTTCCCTTCACTAATTTTAAATAACCATTAAGTTGTTTCCTGTTTCTGTTTCCATAGATACTGAGGCAGCGCTGATACACGAGCACTCTGAAGAAAGCAATGTAACCTTGGAGACAGGAGATGAAACAGGACAGAAACTTTGCTCAGAGAGCAGGTAACACGTCAGAGGACTATGACATCAGAACATAGCTGGTGTGTTTAAAATGACAAAGTTGGTAAACAACTGTAGCACTGCAGCTCCTTTCAAAAGCTCCTTCACAGTAAAAGCCCTCCCTCAACTTCAAATTCAAGCTCTTTCAAAGTGAAAGTCCAACAGTTCACCTGCATTTAAACTCTTCAAGTAAAAGTCTCCAGGCCCTTCAGACTATTTAACAGAGATCAGAGATTTTAAGATCTTCTCAGTAAAAGCACTTAAAGGAGCAATATGTAACTCTGACACGAAGTGTTTAAAATGGGTACTATGGTCCAAACTCAAAACACTGGAGAGAGCTGTCTCCCCCCGTCCCCTCCTCTCTAGATTCGAGGTGCACACATGTAGGGGACAGGAAGCTTCAGTGTTTAACCAGCTTTGCATCGGTCTTCTGACTTCTATCGATTTTCAAAAGCATATCCAAAGTTTTACTGGTGTATGTTTCTGGCCATCGCTGTAACACCTGCGGTTTGTCGTTTGCCTGGCAAACCGAGGGGCGTCCAAGATGGCCATTTGGGGGGGCCTTAAAACTGCCTCCCTTCTCTGGTCAAAACAAAAATCACTCCACACTGGAATCAAAACTTAGAAGGGGGACATAAGGTACTTGCTGCATTGTTGTCAGAAAACACTTCAACCAGCTCTTCAACATAGCATGTTTCCTTAATGCCTGATGAATAATAGTAAGGCCATTATGATTTAATTCAGTAGATATCTTACACATTGGTCCCTAGCAGTAAAAAGCTGAACATGCAACACTCTGAATGTGTGTGTGTGTGTGTCTCAGGACTGTCTCTGGTACCCCATACCTGATGCCTCCTACTGACAGCACAGCTGACCCGCCAAGTGCTACCATAGCAACAACAGCATCCATCAGCACAACCAGGTGCACCTCCGTGCATGTGGCTGTTATTGAACGGAGAGATGCTGCTGTGAAGGTATACACACACCTTTAACCTACACACCCAAGATTAAACAGACATAGAGACGAAAGGGAATGACATGTGTTGTTAATGTGTGTGTGTGTGTGTGTGTTTTGTCAGAGGCTTGAGCAGCTGTTAAAGTCGGAGTCATCATGTTCAGACGACGACAAAGGAAGACAACTGAGTGAACTACAGAGGTGGAGCACACAATGGAAACAGCAGATACACAGTCTAAAACACACACATTGATACACACACTGGCACACACTGACACTTGGAAGCAGACATAAGAACATCTGAACTCCACTATACACACAAACTTCTCTTAATGATTAAACACATCAGCCACACGTCTGCTGAAAATGTGGATGTCTTCTTATTCCTCACTGTTTTAGTAACTTGTGATAAAACACAAGTAACTTTAATAGAGAGTATACATGCAGGATGTGGAGGAGGAAGCTGGAGAAGTTGGTTGAGGAATAATTTAGTGTTTCAATGTTGAAGATTTACACTGTGAACACATCAACATAGTAAACATGAAAGGATGTCTCCCGCGAGGCTGTTTATGTGGAACTTCATCACTTGATACCTTTGCATCAGCTACTCCATGTGTCTACTCTTTTCTCTTGAAGATGTTTCCTTAACCGGTGGCCTGGTAGTTAGTAGTTCACCCCATGTTTTCGGAGGCTGTGGTCCTCCAAGCGGGCGGCCCGAGTTCAGGTCCCGCCTGTGTCTCCTTTCCCACATGTTGTTCCCCACTCAAGCTTTCACTAATTTCCGTCTCTGTCCACTTTCCTCTCTAAATAAAGGCTTAAGGCTTTAAAATAAAAAAGCAGAGATGTGTATTTCAGTGAAGTACTGTACTGTAGTATAAATTCAAGTAGTTCCATTTTGATTGACCTTCATGCTTTATGTTTCTTTATTACAGGTTTTCATACCGTTTCAGTCCAGGGCTTGACTGACTCTTGATTAACTCTTTTAACGAAATAACATGGCTGTTTTGATAAGAGTATAAACATTCCTTAACTTATTAAAATACTTGGATTTTACGCGACTGAGATGCTACAAACTCAAAATGATCTTAACTATGATGCATTGCTTACAGACCTACATCATTAAGGAAGATAAGCACGACCGAAATCTTAGACATCCCTAATTAAAAAACTCATTTAGCACATTTTCAACTGATTGAACTGAAAACTATTACCTTGAGAGATTTTAAATATTTATTATTGTTTAAATTCTTTTGAACTAATTCATTTCTTAATGATTGTGCAGTATTGTTGTTTCCGTTCTGCTAATTGTGTTTCTGGTTTATTGAAAACTGGAGATGAATTTAAGCCTTCTGGAATAAAATACAGAAAGCATATTTTTCATTACATTGTGTTCTAAAAACATTTGACTCAAATGATACCTTTATTTCCCTAAAGGTTCATTTGTAGCCACAAACAACACTTTTCACAGCTGACACAAGAACCCTTGTCTCAAGCCTCAAAATTCAGAATAAAAGTTGGTCTTTGGTGGTAAACAGCAATTATTTATTGAAATGAAATTAAAAAGAATAAGTACCAGATCTATTGCGTTATGTAACATTTGTTTCCGTACGAGGGCGGGGGTTCTCTACTGTTTTTTTTTCTCTCGTAGGATGTAGTGAACACAAATATACAAGGAACATTCAGCTATCACAGATTGCACACCAGATACTGTAGTAATGCAGTCTAATACAAGACCACCAAAAGAATCCAGGATTTTCTTTTTCCTTCTTCTCTTATTTGTCCATCATTTCTTTTTTTTTTTCAATTAAGAGTACAAAAGTCCACCCAGAGTGTGGGGACATGATTTCTTGCACTGTACACAAACCCATCAGTCAGTCACTTGGGGACAACGTATCAGAAAATGCCTAAAAAAAACAAAAACAAAAAGTAAAACCAACAAAATGAAACAAAAATATAATGCCGAGAACATGTACAATGTACAATGCACTGACACAGAAAGTCAGCTGTGTTAATAGACATGCAACAAGTAACAAAACTTGCTGAAATCGCAACAATCATTAAAAAAAAAAATCTAAAACCATTTATAATTGCATAAATACTTTGTACAGTTCATTTATCCTTTCTGTTAAACAACAAAGTAAAACTGCATTCAATAAAAACTTTTCTGGTTTGTTTTTGTAGACATGAAGGTGCAAAGGAACTCTTGATTGATAGAAGCCGACGGGCCTTTTCAGCTAGATGGCATGATTGCACGCTAATTTACAGTACATTAATGCAGAATGATATAAGGAGGACAATATCGAGAGTGCATGTTATTATTAGAACATCAGAGAGCTGTGGGGATGAAGATTAAAGAACGTTCTGGGAAGTGTTTCTGCATTTTCTTACATGTGTTAGACTCTGTGGATACTAGTGGGAAACCAAAAGTGAGAAAGTTCTCTCCTGGGGAAAAAAAAGAAAGCAGCATTTGAATGCACAGTTGTTGCCCACAAAACCACAAACACATCATAAACACATGCAAGAAGAGTGGGGGAGGGGAAGGGGCTAACATGAAGTAACAAACAAGAACACTCTGGCACACTGTGTAGCTATTGAACCAAGTGGCAGCAGCAATCCAACGGGATCAATGGGTGTTTAAGTCATATGTTAGCTTGTCTCTAGAGATAAACTGTTGAGCATTTGACGTCAAACAAACGGGAAACATCAGAGGTCATCCGATATTTCAGTATTAACACTGCAGCCTTGTATGGAGTTCAATCCATGCCAAAACAGTATTCTTTTTGTTTCCTGGGTTTAAGTTTTAATTTCATTTCTAAATGCTAATTGATTCAGTGACTCTTTGTGACAGAAAAAATACATACTTTTTAAAGATGCTATAAAAATGTACTTTCTACATGAGTCCTTACTTTATGTTTTTTTTTCATGCTCTGACAACAATGAAGGCAACAATGTGCAATTGCTGCGTCTCTGTTTAGTCATTATCGCTGCATTGTGTCTTTTGTTGCACTTGGAGACCACTCTTGATATTCTGAGCACTGAGCAGTGTTTTATTTCTATCAGTCCTCTGGTTTGAATTTATTGGACAACTTAAAATTGAAATTCAACTGCAGAGACAAAGACCAGGCAATAAACAAAATCCTATGTTTGGCATAAATTCAACTTCAAGGTTTACCCACGTCAAGTCTAAATATGGCTGATCTCTTTTTTCACTTTCAACTCCTTAAAAAAAACCTTCACACAACAAATCCGTCTCTAGCCACACAAATAGAACGACTTCACTAAATCTAAACATTTATAATTCATCTATAAAGCAGTCAATTCTTAACATGAGAGAATCATTCATGTATTTGCATTAGAGCCACTCATTTCAACTTACTGTAGACATAATAGGTATTCATTATGAAATAGAAAATGTTGTTGTTGATTTAGTGGTTGTTACTCCAGCATTTGGGAGGGAAAAAGGGATGTGTGTTTGTGTGTGTGGGGCTATCATAACCATCTACACGTCTCTGTCCTTTAAAAACAAGCCATATTTCTTATTTCAGGAAATGTCATGATTATTTTTTTTTTACATCTTTCCTGATGTCTAAAGACATCATTTCAAAATAAATAAAGTCTTTAAAATGTTCTCGGCTGCTGCTCTTGCAGTTTAACATCTTCTACAGGGACTGAGGATAAAGTGTGAGGAGTGCAACATCAGCTGGTCTGCTGTAATAATGCCACAGGGTCAGAGTCAAGTCTGCAAACAGAAACCCACAAGAAACTAAAATCCACTATACAAAATCATTCCCTTTTAGTGTGCATTCAAAAAGCTGCTTAGAGGCTTTAGCAGGAACTAAACACGACTACACGAGACATGAAATAAATGTGTCCCATTATTACATACGTGTTATACTTTACCTTAATTTATAGTTTTTCACAGACAATGGATTCTTTCAGGACAAAAGAAATCTCAACATACATTGGAGTGATATGTCTAAAAAAAAAAAAAAAAAAAATCTGAAATGATAATTTGTCCAGTTTTCTAACAGCAGCAACAACAAATAACATGTGAAATTCACATGAAGGACAGAGTAGATGACAGATTAATAAACATACATGATACATCAGAGCAATTTGGCAAAAAGAATAAAGAAAAGAGAGCGTGATAATAAATCTCTCTGTGGTGGCGATGGCTTGACACTGCGGGGCAACACTCGCACAATAAATCACATTTTTGTAAACAATTAAAAAAAAAATGATCATAAAGTTAAAAAAAGAAAATAAGTCATTTTGCATAACTAGACCCACTAGTAAAGTCGACCCACAGACATTAATTATTGACATTCATATCCCTTCCTTGGTGGTTTTCCCCCTGGACTCGCTGTGACTGGTGACGAAGACTACACACAATCGTTTTGTTTTTTAAAGCCAGGAGTGGTTAGTTACAATGCTATGTTACAGGCAAAATGTTTTTTTCTTTTCTTATTGACCTTTATTTTTGTTTTGTGTTTCTTCCTCTTTGTGTTAAAAAGGCCATGGTTAATATTCACAATATAGACAAGTTTCTTATTTTTGTTGGTGATTGATACAAGCGTGCCGCATCAATGTGGGTTGCTTTTTTTTTTTTTTTTTCCCTCCTCCAGATGTTGAGTGCAGGTGGGGACAGTGATGATCAAGTGTTTTTTTTTTCTCCTTTTGATCCTCGTGCACCTCTGTGTTGATAATACAGCTTCCCTCCTGTTACAGTCTGTCAGTGTGTTACAGTCATGTGGTTACTGGATGAGTGAGGGGGATAAAGGGGGGGGGGTGTTGAGGGATTTGTAGGAGCTTTGGAGGGAAAATGAAGGCAGGCAGAGGAACGAAACGCCCCCTCATGTCGGAGTCCTCGGGAGGAGGTGTTTCTCTGGTGGAGGTGGTGCTCAGTTTCTGCAGCCGTCCTCAACGCTTCGCTCGTGTTGAAGGTTGTAGTAACAGTTCTGACACACTCGCACCGGTGACGAGATCTTCAGCCTTTTGATCTCCGACTGGAAGCGACTGCACCTGAAAAGCGAGGAGAGGAAAAGATTTGGATGTTTTTTAATTGTTAGACTGTAATTACAGGTTCTCACAGATCAAATCTTTTTTTAACATCAATACTTTCCAGTCTATGAGGAATTATGTACAAACTCATCTTACAAAATCAAAAGAACTCAAGTATGAGGCTGCAGTTTTGTTACTAATGGTCAAAGTTAAAAGCTGCTGAGGAGGAGAAGAATCTTCACGTTAGTTAATAATACAGAAAAAATGAGTTTGTAATTCCTCTTAAATTTGAGAAGTCAAAGCAGATACATATTGGGCATGTAAGAATCCTGAAAAAGAGATAAAACAATCTGTCAGTAAAACTAGAATAAACTGTGGAAATATATGGGAGCTGCATGTTCGATGAAGGTTTGCAAAGTTGTTTTCATTCAGAATTTTCCTGCACAAACTTTTTGTCCCGCCACTTGATCCCATGTAATGATACCCTGAACTTACAGCAGCACATGAAAGTGTAAATGAAACGTGTGAAAAAGCAAAAGACCTCTCTGCCGTGTTATTTTCTTACTTTTGGCAGAAGAGCTGCCCACAGTTCCTGCAGTGATGGCGTCGCTCTGTGAGTGAGAAGCGGACCATGCAGCCGGAGCAGCTGTCAACCACCTCGTCCTTCACCCAGTGGTCAGCGGCAGAGCGACCAGGCTGATCACTGACCGACCAGCTGAAGACTCTACCGCGTCCATCACCCACCAGGATCTTACTGTGGTCCCTGCAGAGAGGATGTTAAAGGGGAACAAGTGGCGGATGGGAGAAATGAGTAGTTTGTTAAACAGAGGGCGACGGGATGAGGAAAGACATTTCTCCACTATGACACAAACTATTCCAAACACTTAAATCAGAGTGGTTTTTTTGTAATGGTGCAACCATACCATTTTGCTATAAAAAAAACATAAAACACATCTGATGGTGTATTTGAGTTGACTGGATTTAAAGGGCTTTGTTTCAGGGTCTGACACTCTCAGCTCTCTTACTTTGAGATGGCCAGAGATGTGATCTCTGCTGGATGAGCATTGTCCTTTCGATCAAAAGCTGTGTGCATGGTGAGTTTGCTCCGGAAGACCAGCTGGCGCTCCCATCTGTAGCCTGCGAGCAAACAAAAATAAACACTTAAACGTTGAGCCACACACACACACACACACATGCAACAATCACAGAGGGACAAATCTATTAGGTTTAATTTATATTAAAAAAAAGTCTGATTACTTCTCCATTAATGTGATTTCTTCATTAGCAAAATGACTTAAAATGTTTGACTATATACATCATTTCAAACAAAATAATGACAATCGTTCAACACCGACCTGCCCTGAGCTGGTTATAAGTCCGTGCGTCCATGGCGTTGGGCTGGAGAGGCTGTGGCATGGAGGCGTGGCCATGATGAGTCAAATGAGGGTGGGGGACCTTAGCTTGACCCTCAGAGTAGTTGACAAAGACGAAGCCGTCCTTTTCATCGATGCTGAGAGTATCTGACCAGCGGTGAGAATCGTCAGAGCTGCTGTCCATCGACCACGAGGCTCCCGGTCGGGCTGAAGGACCTTAAAGGTGTTTTAATGTCAGAAATGTCAGCATGGAGATGGATTGTCAAGGTGAAAATGTGTTTTAAACAGTGGTTTCAGAATGTCTGGCTACTTAAATTTAGTTAACACAGCTTCTTGGACAGATGAATATATCTCTGAATAAACGTAACAATAATGACTGTAAGTGATTCTGTACAGATGAGTCTTGGCTGAGTACCTCTGGGTCTGTGGACCGTGCTGCCCGGCTGGCTGCCTCCACCTGTTGAGGGATTTCTTGGTGCTTTGGGCTCCTGACTCAGACTGGGCTCATCCCCGTCTGACTCGCTGCTGTCGTCATCGGCGTTGTGATTCTCACCTCCCTCTGTGAGACAAAGTATTATTATTTACAAGACACGTTTTTTGATGTATAGTCTTTTTAATATAACACATTTGAATGGAGGATGCACTTTTGCAGAGTTGTTTGGTCTGTATGACCTGAAATCGAACAAAAATAAATACAGTTCAGCTGTCACTTAGTCCAGCAGCTCTATCATGAAGACTCACCGAGCTTCTCCTCAACACAGCAATCAGGCACATCTGGCTCTACTGGCTCTAGAGCAGGGGTTTCTGGGACTTGTAGGAACTCCATTCTCCAAAACTGCAAGAAACATATTTCAACTGATTAACAGTTTAGTTTAAGTCATAGCACAATTAGAAAAAGAAACTTTAATCTTGCAAATTTCTGACAAGACTTTGGAGATGTTATATTATTTGTCATTTCATTTGTGTGTTAAGTTTTCCTTTTTTGCACATAGAAAGAACTGAAGAACTTAATTGTTACCCTGACAACACCGTCTGAGTGTCCCGTGACGATGACGTTCTGCGTGTCCCACTCGTTCATCTCGGACACGCAGCAGCACAGGATCTGTTGACTCCGCCCTGTGAAGGTGTTGGCACTGGCGATGGGGCTGCCGTTAATGCTCCACACGTGTATGTATGTGCCTGCACAGGACACAATATCCCCCTACACACACAAACACACACACACAACACACACACACACATATTCTCTTTATCCTTGTATCAGCTGAACAGTTTGTATGGATCAAGATGTAAATGTCCTCTCTGTTGTTCCAGGTAAAAGAGTGTGTGTTGTTTTTTTTTAATCTACAGGGACAGAGGTGAGGTGTTTGTTTGAACTCACCGTCAGTTCGTTGATACACAGAGCTGAGACGGGCGCTCGGTGTCCCCTGAGCTGTGTGACGAAGGAAAGGTTGTTGAGGTCCCAAATGATGCAGGTTCGATCCCGCGAGCCGCTAACAACTATGTGGTACGCTGATGAAGCTGTCAGACATGTGACAGCGTCCGTGTGACCCAGTAACGCCTACAATGAAGCACAACAGACAAAGATTCAGAACAACTTAGAATATAGATGACGGAGTTACTTTCATGATCATAGTCTTTACCAAAGTAATCTGGGTTTCATTTGAATCATTCTTTTTCTTATTTTTAAGACATTAGTAGAACTTCTTCCACAGTGTCTTGTTCTCTGATCCCTCATAACGTGTTTGTGTTTTTACCTGTTTGAGAGTGAGCGACTTGGCCCTCTCCTTGGAGGTTCCTGTTTCCCACACACAGATGGATGTGCTGGTACCACCAGTGATGACCAGTTTAGGGTTTGGACAGATGGCACAGAGGATCTGACCCCACTCTGACAGACACTCGTACACCACCAACGCCTGAAATAAGATTGAACATTAGGATTAAAGATTGGTTACAGCATCAGCGGTCATGAATTTTGTCCATAACCTTTTAAACACTCATGAAACAGGTTACTTTTCCGTAGGCGGCTTTTGTGAGTCCTGAGACGTTTCTGAAGGGTAGTGAGAGTACAAAAAAAATAAATCCAGTATCATCTCCTCCACCAAACATCTAAATCATTTACGGACATTTTAAAATGCAGCAGCCAGATTACTAACAAGAACCAGCCACTTCTCCTCTCTCTCTCCTCTGATCTTGTATCTCTTCATTGGCTTCTTGTAAAATTTTGAATAAACTAAAAGGATCCTCAACACCAGTTTTATATATAAAAAATGTCGGCCTTCTCTCCATTTCACGCTCGAATCGCAATTAAATGACTCCTCTACAGTAGATGAATACAGCTGCTAAAAAATAAGTACCACGTATACATTTATTTTTGTATTGCCATTTTATTGGAGGGTAATTAGTAATTGGCTAATATTCAGATCTATGCATTTGAATTCATGTCTTTGGGAAGATATCATTATTTTGGTAGATCTCTGGCTTTCGTGCAAGAACCTGTTGAAGCGCACGCTTGCTTAAAACTTGTTGCACCCGCCAAAAATTAAGAATTTTCAACAGGGCGTTCTGGTTGTAGGTCTTTTAGCAGCGATGTCGGACAGCTAAGAAATTAAGATTTTTCTTGTACAATGCTCAAATTACAGTTTTCTCTGTCAACTGAACCTGATTTAAGAAGTGCACTAAAAGTGTTGGTTGTGGCTGCTGCTGTAAAACCAGTGGGGTCATGAAGCACCAGCAGGGGGAGACATTGTCTTTAGCAGTGTCTTCACATTCACATGTCACTGTTCAAGGTCAAATAAGCAGCAATGTACAGAAAAGCAGTCATTTAAATGTCATTTTATTTTATTTTAGTTGAAACACTTTAACAATAGTCCTACATAGCATCATTAAACAAGAGATAAGAACTATTTCATGACATCACCACATGGGACAGAGCATGCCTGTGGAGTCATGAGGAGCACGCTTTAAAGCTATGGCTTTTAGAATAACTGTTACTGACCTTATCAGATTCATAGTTAGCCAGCCGGCAGCTGAGGTCAGCGTAGCCCCAGGCAAAGGTCTTACTCCAGTTGAGAGGAACGAGAACTTTGTTTTGCTCCACAGCGAGTATTCCCTTATCGGTGCACACGATCTGTCCCACAGGCTCCTTGAGTTCTGTAGAGGCGTCATACAGGGAGACATATGAACACTGAGACTGAAGGGATTCAACCCACATTCAGGAATCTATCATGGACATTCACGTTTTCAAACAGACTGTGTAGAGTGAGAGAGCATCATCTGACCTGTATCGTGTGTACTTCATAAGACAAAAACTCTTCATGTATTTGTGCTTGTGTGCAGGTGTGTGTACCTTTCACAGGAGCTAGAGAAGGTCTGAGATTGTCCAGATGGTGGAAGAAGATTTTGTCGCTGTTTGAGCTCGGAGGAATGCTCGCTACGTCACCGTTAGCTTTACTGCGAACCCGTTTAGGAGGATGGGGCTTCTTGAACAGCTGAAACACACACAAACACACACACACAATAACACGTCAACAATCAGTTACTAAAGAGAAGGAATACAGGTCAGTCTCTTATTCTACTAGATTTAAAATAATGTAATAAACGGTAAACAAAGGATTCATGAAGCCTGGTCTGTTATCAACACAGCTTCTGATGAAAAGGACATTTACGTATGTACATGTTAAGTATTCTGGGAAATGTTAGTAGTTAGAAATATCATATATGTATCAAATATATAATGCACCTTTCAAAACCAAAGTTACAAGGTGCCAAGATTTTATTTTGTTGAACAATAATTAAAATCTAGATGAATAAACCAGTAGAACCTTAATAGTAACACAGGTTCAATGAGAATCAGATTGCAGAAAGAGCAGATTCAGACATCATCCAGTGTCTGACCTGTTTGGGGATTTGTCCAAAGTTGTTGATGAAGCCGATGGTGGCGGTCTCCTTCAGCGGGTCGTTGATGTTGTAGATGTCCACCTGACCTTCATAGAACAGGTGATGGAAGACGTTCACTGCCTCCACAGCGGGCGGACCTTGCTGCTTGTAGCCAAAGATCAGGTCAATCCATTCATGGAGGTGGGCCGATACGTAGTCACACTCCAACGCCTGCAGCCGCGGGAAAAGATTACGTTTAGAGTTCACTCAACGACATTCTGACATAAATTGCCGCTACTCTTTTAATGTCTCACCTCTCTGTGGACTCTGATGAACTCCCGGGGGTCGCCCTTTGCCCATGGTGGCAGAATCACGTCACCCAGCTTGGTGCCGTTCTGTTTGGCTCCTGATGCATCAAACAACAGAGGGCAAACACAACGTTACATTTCATGCACTCACTTTTCACAGTCAGTTTGAGTTATTGAGTATGTGTTCTGATACGGACCCAGGTCAAAGTTGTTGGAGTTGAGCAAGAACTCTGGTAGATAGAAGAACTCTGGGATGAGCTCCTTTACGTCAGCCATGTTGTGTTTGGAGGCAGAGAGCCAGGCTTCACGTATGCTGTGGAACATCCTGTCAGCCAAGTCGAAATGACCTCCCTAGTAATCACAAAAACACACACGTAGAAAAACGTTTATCTTATGGGCTCTCATGGATGTTGAATATATTCTTATAGGAGGAAAAAAGGATAATAACTAATCGAGCTATACAGTCTGCCAAAAGAATTCAGATGTTACTTATCAAGTTGGAAAACATAGATGACAAGCAGATTATTTAGTGGACACAGGAAGTTCAGGTCAAACCTGAAGTCTGAGGAAAATCTGTGTGAAGGGCTCCATCCGGACCAGATAGGAGGCTACAATCATGGCTGAGGAGTAGTGGGTGCCGTAGTGGTATGCTGGAGTTTCACCTGGTAAAACAATGAAACAAAAGCTTTCACTTAAACAAATACAGCTAAATATAAAGCGTAAACACAGAAAAGCACAGTCTGTGGACTCGGAGAGCATACCGGTGGGGTCTTCCCAGTCTTTGTATCTCTTCTTGTACTGCGTCAGTCTGTCGTCAGTCTGGGCGCCCATCGGCTTGGCGAGGTTACGGAAAGTCTTAGGGTTGTTCAGGTCTAGCTCCTGGTGAATATTAGCAAAAAAAAACACACATCGTTACAAAGTGTACATCAATCTATTTTTCTCTCATGTTTAGCACTTTTTATTCCACTGATGTATTCAATCTTGCAATCACCTCAGAGTCAAAGTCAGCAAGGATCCAAGGGAAGACGGGGTACTGCATGAGGTCGTTGTAGGATCGTCCTGCCAGCGTGTTCAGATGCATCAGGTACTGGAAGTTACTGATCTCTCCTCGCTGGAAAACAAATCAGTCAACACATCAATTGGAGTTATAATATGACTCCTCTTTGTATTTCTGAACTGAACAGTGAGCTTGGATCAATGAAGGGCCTTACCTCCCATCTCTGAGTCACCGACTTCTCACCGACCAGCGTGCTGAGGATTCCAGATCTAATGATCACCAGGACGGAGAGAGAGTTCTGTTAAAACCACTCAGCTTTTACTCACTTTAATAGCATATGCGAGAATCTTTAAGTCACATAGCAATCGTTGTCTGGTTGGGATGAAATACCAAAAGAGACCTTTCCTTGACATTCTCCTTTAGGACATTATTTAAATTGATTACAACAGAAACATGGACCCACAACTTGGGAAAAATGTTTTCAAGACAAATTTTAAAAATGTGTCAAAAACTATGAATCCATAGCTTCACAAGCCACAAAGCATCTCACCACTTAAACGTTATGTAGAAGAGAAAATCATGGTCATGTTGAATGTAACAAAGAGGAAGTCGTACCCTTGTTCCACGCTGGTGTTGGGTCTCTGTCCTGACACCGACTCTGAGCTGTCAGCCAGTGAAGGCACAACCGCCAAGAACCTGCAGGGAATAAAAAATATAATAATATTATCTGGCTACATTAATGTTGGACATTCACATGTGTGACCTGACAAAACTGAAAATATTGTTGAAGAAAACTAGAGTCTGACTGATGAGCGTGACTGACAGTACAGACTGATATCTATCACAAACATCGTGGTGTAACATGTTCCAAAACTGAATGTTTTTGAAGACCATAATGAAAATTTAAAAAATGCTTAGGGGTGGTTAGGAATAGTGTCAGAATGAATGAATATAAAGAATGCTCTTACTCAACAGTTGACAGAGCATCTGGATCAACAGTTAATGTGGGCGAGGTATTCTGCACTAGAATTGTTCGATCGTGAATGCTGATGTTGAATAATCTTAATAACTGTATATTTATTACCTTTGGTAAACTTTGTTGCGGACTCCTTTCTGGAATGCTAACAAGTAGTTTCTCCCGTCAGCTGAAAAGACTTCCACGGCCATGGGCTGAAAGGTGATGATAAAAAGCACATTTATTAATCACTCTAGAACTATAAGAGGTGGTGAGAAGCAACTTAATAAGTCTACTAAATGTTTAAACCTGGATTTTACAGGTTTGACTGGCTTCTTTAAATGGTTTTATACAATCTAACTGTACTTTTATCTTCAGCTCTGGTTCTACGATCAATATTTTACCTGACTGTTTGCATTTAAAAGGTGCTATATAAATAAATAAAATATGTGCATACTGACCTGCAGCAGGTAGCGTCTCTTGTGCACCTCCTTGATGTCTTCGTAGGCGAAGATGCTGCAGGTTCTCTTCAGCTGGCTCTGTCCTTGTCTTGCTCCTCTGGGGATGATCGCCTCATGCAAACTGCACATAGAGAAAATCAGCTGTAATGCTTTTATCAACACTTTGATTCCTATACAACTTTTATCGAGCAAGGTTTAAGCTCAGACATTATAGCTTACCCCAACCTGAAGAATAATCTCTTCCCCCCCCGTACTATAAACCCTCATCTTATCTCTCAATATGTGACTGAGGTTTAAAGTCTGAAACTCCTACAGGATCTCTGAGGGTCTGTAAGTCATGCGGGTAAAGCTGCAAAATCATTTCTTCTTTTCCTGAACTTTAACTTGACATGGGAACATTTGACTTTTAATGGCTGATATTGATATTCAAAACAGAGCATACTGTCAAAGAAAAGTGGTGAAGCAAGGCAAAAGCTTTGGCTGCTTGTATTCTTAATTTGCAATGCATTCTGGGCTCTACTTGCAGCAAAAATTTTTAAATAAAGCACAAACTGAGGTATTTATTTATTTATTTATTGCTTCAACCGAAGAGATTTATCAGAAAACATTTGGTACATGCACAAAAAACAACAACATTGTGATCTCTATCTAAACCCAACAGCCGATCAATGAGTTAGAGAAGTAGAAAAAATAAGTAGAATTATGTATTAATAAACTGTACAATGATATTTAACTTTGGGGTTTTGTACTTTTGTATTCAATGTATACTTTTATGTACAAAATCTAGTATCTAAAATGACCACATTCTGAAGTGTCTTTGAAAGTGGCTGATTTGATCTCGAAAAGTTATACTACTACTATACTACTTTAATTTAAATGCATTGTTGACAACTGTTACAGTCAGAAGTTTGATATTTATTATTGAATGAATGACCACTAATGTTTTATTAAAAAATGCTGGTATGGATTTTTCCTCTTTATTAATCAGGATGCTTCCTTATATCGGCTCTCTCACAGACCGGGTTGTGATTGTGTGGCAGCTGATGAGAGTGTGAAACAGTGAAACACCTGAGGGGGGGAACAAGATGAAGTCACAGAAGTAGCTTTTGGTTATTTTCACGTTAAGCCTCAAAGGAAAAGACTGAGCGAGTTCCCTAAAAAAAGATAAATATGTAATGTCTCTGCTGACTTTTAACGCATGCTCCTTCAGCAGCATTACATCACTCTGTCAGCAGAAAACTCCCTCTGCAGCGTTAGACCAATGAGGTCATCTTTAACTCACGAAGGAGTGTACACTTTGTGTGTCGTCTCATCTGCAGGCTTCAAAATGAATTCAGGCTTCATGATGCAGCCAGGGTTCTCTTCCCTGTGTGCAGACCTGGATGTAAAGTTTCAGAAACAGAAGCCTTGACTTACTTTGGAGGCAGTGTGTCGATGTCTCGGATCTCTCGGGACACGGTCATGGTGTAGCCGTCGATTACATAAAAGTGCTCTTTCCCAAACAACAGCAGGCCCTCGCTGGTGTCCAGACCCTGAACCCTGGCACAGCGGTACATGTGCTGGATCTGGGATAGAGAACGTCAGAAACAAGAGAGCATTGATGAGTTTAAGTTAAAAGCAATTCGCTTTTCAACAAGAAGTCACATGTGATTTACTCCAGGACAACATTAGTCTGTGGATATGCCTTTTCTTACTGACCTTCTCTCCCTCCTCTAGGAGGCGCAGCAGCGACGTGTTGTCGGTCTTCTGCTCCTCCTCGGGGCCTCCTGACTCTAACAGCTGATCCTGAAGCTGCTCCTGACTGTCCTCGTCTGCTCCGTCCGCTGTGGAGCGAGATCTTTTCAGAGGAGCCTTCACCAGTCCTAAAAGAACAGAGGACATAAACATGTTATGAGGAACTCATAGGAGAGATGACTTTCTTTCTAAACAACCCCTGGTGTAGTCTTTTTGTACCTTTGACCCTTGCGATGGTGTCCTCTCCGTGCTCGGGCTCATGCTGAGTGGTCTCTCCCTCTGTGTTGTGCTCCACAGAGTGCTGGTACATACCAGGGTTCCCCGACAGCAAACGCACGTAGTACTCTTTGCTGTCGTAGCTGATGGCTCGCCGGTATCGCAGAGGTTTCTAAAAAAGAAAGTAAAGAAAAGTTTGTGTAGTTTAAATACCAGTTTTCCATGTTCCTATGTAACAACTGATTCCATTTCTATAGTACGAGGAACATTCTTCAGGAAATTCATTTCATTTTCTCTGAGTGATATAACCCGCTATACAGAGTTTGTGTTTCGGGCTTCAAGTGGCTCAGCCCAGGTCAAGTTGGTGAATAACTTGAACTGATCATTGAAAGCTCACATTTTATGTGAAATACACTTCATCATAATTTTCTAACACCAATATGTGTCCCTAATCTGTCTACAAACCCCCCAATTATAAAAATTCCACCCTCTCCGTCTTTTTCCTGCTCCACTTTTCAGAAAATGTGTGCTCAAACAGGCCGTTTGGAGATTTTCCCTTCATGACATCACAAAGGGCAGTAACCCCTCCCCCAGGTGGGTGACACTCCCACAGCTAGGTGTTTGTTCTGCCCTCTGAGTCTGCCTTCTCACTGGAACAATACTGCATGATGCATTAAATACCTGTGCAGGGTTGGTGTTTGGCTCCGCCTCTGGGAAGTAAGGGTAGTGGATATAGAACATGTCGTTTCGGACCATCTTCTTCCTCATCCGGCAGGGACCCTCCGTCATCTCCAACACAAATTTGTCCAGGTGTGACCCGATGGGCGGTCCCCAGAGGCCCCGCTCACGCAGCAGCTCGTACTCAATGGCTGCCCACTCCTCTGTGACGTACTTCAGGGCGTTCTGCTGCCGCTGGGAGACGGAGGGGTGGATGAAGTGTGAGTCACTCATAACATGCAGCTTTAAATGACCCATGCTGTCACAACTGCTAAACATGAGTGAAAAATAAAAATCTGTCTAAATCTGTTTTCTGTCCTGCTGAAACCTCCTGCCTACACTGTTCACACAACGTTCTGTTGTTGTGTCCTGCAGCTGTTTCTATCAGTATCGACGTGTTATAACAAATAAACCAGTTTGGATTCTGTGTATGTAAACTTTACCCCAATAAGCTGTATTTATAAGGCATCTTGACCTTACCTTGGTCACCTGACCTTGATTCTTCAGCATTCTCTTGATTTTAAACATTTATCTTTTTGCATTTTAATGAGGTAACATCGAGATTCATAACCTTCTTTTTATGAGCTCCAAAAGATAACTGATCCTTTGTTTTCAGTCGGTTTATGTCACTTTACAAAAGAGGATTGTCATGCAGACGGCAGGATCAGCACTTTCATTTAAAACTACCATAAATGTTGCATCTGACAAACTGAACTTTTACTAAAGCCTACAAACTTCTAATGATGCAAACATGTAAACACCTCTGTAGAGATTAAGATATTTCTAACAATGAAACATGAACAAAAAGATGAGTACCATCAGTATCTGCGTACACAAAGTTTGCGATAATAACCCTCGTCTTTTGTCTTTTTCCCTACTCCCCCATCACACCGCATAAATAAATACAACACAGAAAGAAAATAAGAGCTAAATCTCCAGAAAAGAATATAATTTACATCAAACATTGAAACACTGAAAAAAAAAAAAAAATCAAGGACTTAATCTGTACAAAGTAAAATAAGATATAAATAAACAGAGGATAAGAATGATGGTAAATCATTGTAAACTTGTAAAAAATGAAAGGAAAAGGCTATTTGCTTCAGCTTACCCCTCAGGTAAAGATAAATGTTTTACCTCTTGATATTCTTTGTACTGCATGGCCACCAGGTCTCGCACTACAGCAATGTGCGTGAACATCCACTGAAAAGTCTCCTGTAAGACATAAATACAGGATTTGAATGAAAAATGAATGTTGTGTAAATCTCTGGTGTGCAATGACTGTCGGGAGTATTTATGTCATACCTGTGCTGACATGCTGTTCTTGTTCAGGCTGTTCTCTTTCTTGTTGCGGCGAACGCCCGTCAGCTTGGAGAGGCCGAAGCCGCTGCTGACTCGGGACAGTTTAGACTGTGTCGCAGGAGCCACCGCCTCGCCGCGACTGATGCACTTCTTCTCATGCACTGAACAGCAGAGAGGAGAAAAGAGAGGAGTCAACCTCAGATATATAGTCAACTCACAGTTTATATCCATTACAGTTTCCTATGATAGCAATGGACAGTTTACATATTGATAATATTTAAAACAGTTCATTACTCATTTTCCTTCAAATCAAAACAACACCATAAGTAGTCCGACATGTTTCAAGAGAGGTCATACTAAACGATTTAGAGGGGCAACAAAGGAACAGAGAATCTCTCTCGATCTCTGTTTCTCTGCAGATCATGTGTTTGTCAGTAAACAACGTACAGAGAGGAGAGATTTACCCCTATTAGATTATGTATGTCAAGCTGAAGAACTGAAGGAGTTCCTGAGATATTGCATTAACAACAATGGAACATATGTTTGGAAATAACAATGTCTCTTGCCATATCTGCTGCCCGTACAGAGGAATTAAAAACGCCCCACAGAAACTCTCACAATACCTGGTTATCTGCCAAACTGTCTGCTGCAGCAGACTGAGACAAAACTTTGGCAAGAGGCTGAAATGAATTCACCGCTCTACTTGCATAAGCAAAAGTACAGTACGGAAGAAGTGTGTGTGTGTGTGTGAGAGAGAGAGAGAGAGAGAGAGAGAGAGAGAGAGAGAGAGAGAGAGAGAGAGAGAGAGAGAGAGAGAGAGAGAGAGAGAGAGAGCAGTTCAGCATTAATGGGTCCTGTTGGCTGGAATTTCACAGTGAAGTTTTTTCTTTACAAAATAACACGAGGAGTTTCCATATAGTTGGTAAAGTTATGTAATTCTGGATAAGCCATCAAAACTGAGGCAAAAAATTCCAACACAGACATATATCAGGAGATGATTAGTCAGTGAACAGAACAAAAAACTACAAGGTTACATCAAAGAGTCACTGTCATAAAGATAAAAACCTACTTAATTGGAAATTAATGGTGGTAATTCACTGTTTTCTGAGTGAGGTTGTTCTCTCTTCCCCCTACAAAATCACTGTATTAGATATAATAATTATAGCATTTTTAGAAAAAGTTTTAATTTTTTAATAATAATTTGTGTTTTCATGTTTGGATCCCTTGAAATATGATACATGTATTTGTAAAGAAATGTCAGGAGTGACAGTTTGTTGCTTGGACTCAGACGTGTCCAAAATAAAGATAATTGTATTTTCATGTATCCTTCTGAAAAATATCATCTTATTGTCAGGACCTTCAAAGACAGGCTTGTAAAGTAAAAGACTTGATCCACGCTCACACACATAGCTCAATATGCCTCCCCTCCTTTCTGAATCAACTTCAGTGAGTACAACAATCAGTGTCTGTGAGTGTTTCCCTCACCCAGGTGGTTCTGCCAGCTCTTCAGAGCCGGCTCCTCCAGGGCGGGCCGTGCCGTGGCAATGTCCACGTGTCCTCTGTCATTGCAGGGCAGAGACACTTTAAAGATGTCCTCCAGCATCTGACGCTTGCTGTGCATCAGCTCTGTCCACACTCGATTCACTGCCTTCAGCAGCAGCTGCCGGCCTGCAAATGACAACAATCGTCTTTTCTCTTTAACATGTCAGTGCACAGTGCTGTTATGTGGCTGTTTTTGTTACTGAAGTAGCTGTCTGTCAATTTTAACTGATCTACACATATATATATACTGTATATATATGATCATGTATTCCAACACTAGAGTTAAATAAACATTAACAAACATAGATTCTCTCCTGTCTGTTCTTTTATTATTCTCTGTGTGCGAGTCCTTTCCTGCTACCTGACTACCTCACCACAGAAGAAGATAAAGTTAGGACAGTTTTATAAGGCATAGCCTAACAGCTGTAAACATATGAAAGAGGTTTAAAATAATGAATACACCCTTCAGTAGTCCATCCAGTCAGTCTGCTATTAAACTCTAGATGACTGGTAAACACTGTTTGAAAAAGGCACTACATTTTTTTTTTAAATTTTCAACACACACACACACACACACACACACACACAGCCTCACCCTCTCCGACATCGTGGTTGTGCATAGCGTCAGCCTCGTTCTCTGTGGGCATCATGACATGCCAGGTCGTCATCCTGGCCTCCGCCTCCAGACCGAAGCCCTCCACGCTGCTGCAGAAACAAACACACACAAGTCTTTCAGCAACCTGCCACCTGAGGGGGGCGTCACAGGGAGAACTAGACTGTTTGGCTTCTCTGCTGCAGATAGGTCTGCTCTCTGCAGTCCTATGGCGTGACATTGCGTTGAGGTTAAGCATATCGTTTCCTCAGCAGGATAGGAAACACAGTCTCTCCCCACCTGCTGCCATTTTGGAAGCTATAAAGAGTTCTGGCAGGACATGAACAAGCACAATAAAAAAAAGACAATTTCCCTCCTGTGGAATCACAGGGTCATCCTGGGTCACAGGGACAAAAACAACAAGAGAGCAAGACCTCTTTGAACCGATGCTTTAGCTGCACACAATACTCAGACTTGACATCGATGGAACTGAACTACAGTAACTATTGACTCGATTTAACCAAATACATGTCACAGAAATCCAAACAATGATCCCTCCTCCACTCAGACTAACATGCTAAACTCTTGATAAATAGCAAATACATATATCATTTTGCATTATTGCAATATATTGGAAATCTAATTCTTAAGCATCCAGGATATCTATACAAAGAAGCTCTGCTATCAATCAATTTTTATTTGTATAGCGTCAACTCATAACAAGTGTTATCTCGAGACACTTTACAAAAACCAGGTAAAAGACCTTACTCATTGTTATGTTACAAAAACCAGGTAAAAGACCTTACTTAGTGCTAAACATCTGTCTCCTTTTTTGTGGACAACATGCTGGTTCTTAGGTTTCTTCAAAGCCCCCCTGAAAATACCTCATAGTGGTCATGTGTAATTAACATGGGACTCATTTTCTTTACAGTTCTGTCATCGCACCAGGCTTGAGAAGGAAATCGTTACTTCCACAAATATTGGGTAGTAAAGCAAACAGACACAGCCAAAGCCACCATAGGTGAAGAATAGCAGCGCCCCTAGAGTATTTTCAAGCACTCCTAATTGGACCTCTTCAGAGCATCACCTGCTGTTTAGCTGGTAAAAAGAATTGTATTAAAATACAACATTTAAAAAAAATACTTAACCATGTTGGATACTGCAAACCAGTACAGTCCATTACTCTTTGTTTATCAAACTAGTAATATATATATATATATATATATATATATATAAAAATACACAGACCACACATGCTCTACTAAACAAAGCCATATGTCTCCTTACCTCCCACTGTGCAGGCAGATGAAGCAGTGAGCCAGACAGGCCACAAAGTCCTGGTCGTGGTTCCCTGGGCCGAGCACCAGATTGCGGTTGACGGTCAGGACCCTCAGTGCATCCAGCAAGGCCACCTGCTGAGCCACCGTCTTGTGGGGTCGGCAGAGTTGATAGAGAACGGTCCGATTCAAACAGTGGTAGATGGTGTCGAGAGAAAGACCCTGAGAACGTCTTTTGGACTGGAGGAGGACAAGAACATGTAACGGTTACTTTCAAATCTGAAAGTTGAAAAACTGAAGACAGGTGTCAAACACAAGATGGAAAAAAAAAAGGAGTAGCTTGTCGTTGGCTGAGCTAAGGCAACACGTGTATGAGGGAGAAATGCTGGTGGAAGTTACACAGAATAGTGTAAGAAAATAGAGCCAGTCTCAATTTTGAAGTCTGCATCCTCTCCTTTTAAGAAAGATTTTCTTTTGATGCTACTGAAGATGGACCAGTTCTAAATGTTAGAGGGGTGCGGTTTTAAAAGGCGAGGGAAGTTTAGGCCTTTTTATTAACAACCAAGATGGCTGCTGCTACTAGAAAACATTTTGAATTTATTTTCTTGTCAGTATTAAATGAATTGGGTGGTAGATCACAGTCAGTGTTTGCCACTACTTGATCTCAATCCAAATCTGTTAATGTTAAATTTAAAGCAATATAAATTAGATGTAAGGACTTTATCCATGCCTAGCAGCATACTGCTTTGTCCCATGACTTATTGCTCTGATTGGTTGTAAGTCAGCCACATTTTATGTGAAGGCATTTTGGACTGATGATAACATCTCCTTGCATATTCCTGATAAATTGAAAGTTTACAGCCTTATTTGAATATACAAAATCCTCTGGTGGTGTTCGGTTGGCAGTAACTGTCAGCTCAGATAAACTGAAATGATTGAAGAGGAAATGTCTCAGTGTTGTTCCTTTAAACAGCAGTGTGTAGAAAAGAATGAATGTCAACAGATATGACTTCACTTTAAATAATTATCTACACTCAAGATCATCTTCTTACTAACTTTACTCTGGCATTCACACATAAATGATCATCCACTTTATATATGTCCTGTGATTTGATGCCTGCAGTAAGCCCATGTAATCCCCGGTCAACCTGTCTCACACGGCATGGCCTTGTTCCAAGTTAAAAACTTTGAAACTATAAATTGTGCTTATGGTTGCCCTTTAAATCTGTCAGCCATCTTTCTTTCCTGACGCTGGGCTTTTTGACTTAACTGCCCAATAAACAAGAAGAGTGATGAAACACCCACACGGTCTTTCTCTTTACTCCCTCTCTGTTGACTTTATGATTTCTCCTCTTTTTGTCCTCTATCTGTAACTGCTTCAGCTACATGTAGATTGGTGACAATGGGTGCAGCTGGCTTTGGTGATGTACTGTATAAAATACATCAATGAAAAGATAGAAACTAAAACATCATGATGAAATATTAATGAAATAATCTCATATCCTTTTTATTCAGTAAAATAGACTACCTATTTTAGTCAGTGAAAGATCAAACACCCAAAACTTGGCCTGTGAGTTTGAAAAAAAGTGGTGTGCACAACAAAACTGTTGACTCAGTATTGCAATCATTGAAAGAAGACTCTCAGATGGAAACATTTTATTTCCCCACTAAACGTCTGCAACACACAGACACTGTTTGTCTGTTTTTGTCTTCTCTGGAGAAAAATATAAAGCGTGGTAACACCGTCTGTTTAGAAGAAGCACCTAGGCAGATAAAAGCTGGTGCACTTGGGCGAGTGATAAGTAATAATCTCACTCTGACACACAGAAAAACATTAGCTCTAATGTCAATGTAGTCTGGATCCTGAATGTCCTCTGTCTCAATATTCACTCTGCAGATACACAAGGTCTAATGTTACATGGCCCTGCAAAAAATCAGGCAATACCACTTTCATTTCTGCTCAATTAAGTCCTCCCAGTCATCATCCCGAGAATGATTATTCAGCTTAAATAGTGACGTAACATCAGTATTTTGCTGCCCTGTCAAGTTTAAAGTAAGTAACCACATTGACAGGTGAGGTCAGATTTGGTCGGAGTTGTGCTATTTTGAACCTGTGACCAAATCCAAAAGTGATGTCACTCCTCGAACTTGACCTGAACGTAAAGCTAAGAAATTAAACAACTGGAGGTCGGCAGAGAAAGATTATGAGGAGGGAGAAGTTCAGTCACCATTAAGAGGGACCTCAGGCTTTCTGAGATTAATTTTTATGTCTTATTTTGAGCAATGTATAAACTATGAACAAACTCAACACTAAATAAACTGTTTTTAATCAGCTAACACTCTATAGGTCATTTTACAAATACTAAACTTTTTCTGAGCATCCTAACTTGACCATGAAAGATTGCATCCATACGCTAGACATTGTCCAACTATTTGACAACTCAATGAAGCACTGTCTTAAGAAGTGAGTTGAAAAATGATTTGATCCCAGAGACGACGATGTTATTATCAGGGAAATAGTTATATTCTTCATGTAAACAATAAAAACTCTTTTTTTTTTGTACCTGTCCAATGAGCTGTACGATGAAGTCCACCACCAGCTTGGAGTCCTTGTTGAACATGCCCTGCCACAGCTTGTCCACCACCCGCTGGGTGAAGTAGAAACGTTGTTGACCAGAATCTGATAACTGCCCCCGCTGCTGAGGGGCAGAGAGGCGTCTTCACCTGAACCGAGAGGAGACACAACAGAGGAGGTTACATGTATTAGCCAAAATACTGTCTTTTCTTAACGGGTGTGCTTTGCTGCATGTCAACCCCCCACTCTCTCTTCAGCTGTTAACATAAACATTATATTCTTTCACACATGCACTGGATAAACTGATATCATATTGTTACACGTGTGTTAGTCATAGGTTCTCACTTTGATTTATTCTAAGGTCATGTTGTAGGTTTTATCCAATAAAACAAGTTTAAATGTTGATCACTAGATTAGATACATGCTAAGTGGTGTTGTATTGAAAAGATGAAAAATAATTTCAGCATATAATTTGTGTGTTTTCTTAAAGTATGCATCATTATCACATATCAACCGACTAAACTGCCAACATGCACTTTTAAAGTTGCAGACTTTGATTTGCTGACTAATAATGCAACAATTAGAGAAATCCCATGTGAGCAGCCACTGACCAAATGATGCTGTATCAAAGTGACAGGTCTAATAACAAATCAGTTTGTTAGATGAGAAAATTATTTGGATGTTTGAAGTTAGACACTGTGGCAGGTTAACAACAACGTAAACAGACAGAAAGAAGATATTTGAGGATGGAGGACTTTGTTCTGACCTAAAAGGACATCAGCAGCCAGAAGATGCTCCATGACGCCGTCCAGGATGTTGGACTGAAACTCTTTTTGCTGAGTTCTAGTGGAGCGCTCCGGGGAGGCCTTAAAGTTAATGAGACACATTTACAGTTGTACCATCATTTAGGACAACACATATTGATCAATTAAAGCATTTTTATTATTAAATGAGAAAGAAAAATACACTTTTAAAACATTCGTCCTTACAAAGGCTACATCCACACTTTTACTTTAATTTTACAGCACATAGCATTCGCTGTGTTTTAGCCTGTTGTCTACAATAATTTAGTGACTTTTGGAAAATAAGACAGACACACTAACATTTCCTTGTGGAAAGTGTAATTCCCAGATGCCTCATGAAACCATTAAATTATTGTTTCTAAATAAAAAATGTAAAAGGACAAGATTAGCCTTAACTTGCAAACTTAACTCAACATGAACATCTATTGACAGTCTCTGCTGAAATTGCCCATGTTAGCTGCTGCAGTGAATTTAATTTGGCATTGTGATATGCAGTGATTGAATCTATTCTCATGTTGAACAGGTTATCAGCCCTACACTGAGTGGGCCTGTTTACTCCTGCATGCAGAAGCCCTGTGTACATAAACAATCATGGGATCATTGTTTTCAGTTTTTAAAACACTGATATGAGGGTCTAGTAGGAGATAGAAATTGTAATTAAATGCTGATTTAAAATAAAAATGTATAGTATTGACATATCTTAACATTATCATCATTTCAGTCAGACCGGGAAACCTCCCCATCCCAATCGATCTCCTCACCTCCAGCAGCAGGTCGATGATGGGCGTCTGCTTGCTGGCCGGCGTCATGCAGAGGTTGTCCATGATCAGGACCCTCATGAAGTCAAACACATACTTCTTGGCTGGGTGGTTGGTCAGGGAGGTCTTGGATCCCACGTTACAGTACTCAGACTGACTGCGGTTCATTCCCGAGTCTGCAGCGAAGGCTTTGAACTCCTCTGTGGGAGAACCCGCCTCGTCGTCCAAATCACTGACCTGGAGGTGAGTGAGACAAATGTATCAATAGTTATAATCTCTTACAGCTAAACGATCAATTTGAAAAAGAAGGTAAAGGCTGAAAATAGTGAAAATTCATTACAGAAAAAAAAATTAATTAGAGAGACTTTACTTCCCACCAGGAGCAACTGTCTTATTAAACGGTCTCAGAACACCTTTTCTTCAGTGAAAAAGTGGAGTGGATACAGTGACCATGCCTTCAGAGAGGCAATAAGTTTATGTTTTTATTGCCCAGTAACTGAGAATAACACTACATATCTGCAGTGGGTGCAGAGACAACCACATAATTAATGTGATTTGTTACTCTTGTAATGAGACTTTTTGCAAATTCCAGACTCGTCCCTGCAGTCTTAACAATCCTACATTTCCATTAAGTGGCCGGTAAAGGCCAACAATTTTCTATTGCTTCATCTCTTGTCTATGAACTTAATATAGCATCTTTTAGGACAAATTCACAGCCTTACCATCTCAGAGTATGGCCTGATGTTAAAGGGGAAAACAGTCGCTGCCAGGGCACAGAGGAACTCAGGACTGTGCCACATCGGTCCCAGATCAGGCACATTGTGGTAAAGGTACCGAAAGAACTGCATGAGGGTGACAGGGTACTCCCTCAGCCAGGAACCTTCCTCCTCAGACTGCCACGGCTGGAAAAGACACACAACAAATCAAATGAAGTACCGACTTTACTGAAACTTTTTCAATCTAGTGCAGAGCAAATACCGTACGGGTTTTTTTGGGTGAAAGGAAAAAAAATGGAACTGGCTTAGCACCATCCTGTGCTTTCTGAGTGAGGCCTTTTTTTCCCCCAGGAGGTTGAGTGAAGCTTGTCAGAAAGCAGCAGCAGCACAGTGTGAACCCCTGGCTAACTCCGGGGTGTGAGTGTGAGGATGAGGATGAAAACAGCATGAGTGTAGTGTAAAGTCACTTCTGTTGGTTTAATGGAGCTTAAAAAAAGACAGCATAAAAGAATCTGTGGGGAAATTCGACATAAAGCAGCTGCTGATGAACATGAGAAACCTCTCACATGTGGGACTTAAGACATAAGCTCTCTGAGTGGGAGTGTTAAAAGGTAATCTTCTTTTTGGGAGAAGGTGCTTGATTAAATTAGTCAAATTATGGATTAAGACTTTTCACTTAAGCCAAAAACTCTTGTACTTCTCCAGCAGCTAAAAGCTCAAGAAGGTGCAGCAGACACCACTGAGACACCAACATGACACTGTGTCGTCTTCCAGTTCCGCTTATTCTCACCAAGTTGAGCATGCTGCGCAGCATGGCCAGAAGCAGGAAGGCAGCCTCGGTGTAAACATTGTGGATGGAGCCCACCACTGTCGAACTGGAGGCCGGTATACCGAAGATGAACGTCCAGATGGAGTCCAAGTCAAACTGAAAAGAGAAACACAAAACTAGGGTAGTATACACATCAGTGGTGCAGTACTCGAAACCGGTCTTTTTGAAGGTCTCGGTCTCCTCTTGGAATCAAAAGCATTTTTACTTGATCTTGGCTCAGTCTCAGGGCAGACTCAGGGTTATAAAACAAGACCTGTCAAGACCACCACTGAAAGGCTATTTTTCCAAGTCATTACTGTGATTAGAAGGAAAACACACTTTCTAAATGAACATAAACGAATATTGAGACATCTCTAATACATTTAGTTCATTTATAGTTAGATTTTTACCCCTGGTTACAGCAGCAACCTTCCAGGTATTAAATGAGTGACACGCCCACTGCGAACAAGATGATGATTTTTCAGTGATATTTATGGTCTTTGTCTTTGTCTTGGTCTTGGTCTCAATCCCTATATGTCTCGGTCTTGTCTCGGTGTCGGAGCACTCTGGTCTCAGCATGTCTTGGTCTTGGTTAGTGTGGTCTTGACTACAACACTAATACACATTATAAAGAACTATATGTTAGTGTATTGACCATGCTGCTTGTGAGTTATTCTTTCTATGACTTGTTTTTACAGCCAATATCTTGTCCAGAATCTAGGATTAGGTTTTTACTATCAAGCTGTCAGAGATCGTAATGCTGGAACTTCTGAATCACTATTTAGTTAAATGTTTGGAGATCAGTTCATTACAAGTATGAAATGCATTTTCATACTCATTTTCTCTGCTTCATTTGGAGAAGTACTTTTCATTTTAGGAAGAAAGAAGTGAAGTCTTTGTTAAACACATTGAAGCTGTCAGTTATTAAAAGTTATTCGTCAGTTGAACATGTAGTACACTATATACTGATCTATGTTTAAAGCAGCATTCATTTGTTCAGTAAAATGCAGATTAAAAGCAAACACACAAGACATTTTAGTGATATTAAAAGAAGAAAAAGGTTGGGTATACTAACATGTACCTGCAGGCTGTCTGGCAGCTCGGTCACAGGCTGCTGCAGAAACAGCGCCATGAGTAGGAAGTAGAGCTCGGGGACATTGGTGTGTTTGGGCAGCAGCGTCTGCATAACCGGGAGTCCTGGGAAGTGGCAAGCATCCCGGTTGATTTCTCGCAGTGTGGAGCGCCCACCAGCACTGCGGCCCACGTTAAAGCCTAAAGGCGGGTTATAGAGTTAAGGAAGGAGTTTCAGTTCACAGAAATTTTGCTTGAAGGTAGACAGGAGGCAACTACAGCCAGCTCTAAATACAGCTTTAAACAGCGGGGAGAGGAATACCAGTATGTTTGACCTGGGCCCCACTTTTACATAGTCTGGGGTCTAAATGACTAATTGTACAACATATTCTGAAATAGATCCTGCAGATTGCTTCAGCCATCAGCTGTGAAACAGACTGTGAAGGCTACAACGTGCAGAAAGTTTTAAGTCTCAAGTACATCCACAAAAAGTGCTTGTTCTGTCACTGACAGGCTAATATTGGCATCTGAAATGTCCATAAAAAAGGTATGTATACCTATAGGAAGTCCAGTGAGGATGTGAAGACAAAAACAGTAGTTTTAGGTCGAAGAGCACAGGGATTGCGCGGTCACACTGGTCATCTGTACCGTGCTGTACTCAAGCATAATTGCCCCCCCCCCCGCTGCGCCATCCCCACGCTGGTCGGCACGGCCCGTGGTCATACTGGCCAGGACCAACCATGCCTAAAAGCACGATTACCTCTTGTACATAAAGTCGTAATACAACACATGCACGCTTTATGTTATTATGAAGCGTGCTCAGTTTACAAACAGGTGGACGAGAGAGAGAGAGAGAGCGAGCGAGAGAGAGAGAGTGAGAGAGAGAGGGAGAGAAAAAGAGACGTGCAGTCGAGTTTGCGTCTGCACATCAGAGAAAAACACAGAGAGCATGACAGCTACTTTACTGACGTTGCAGCTTATTTTAAGCCATTTTAATCAGACACAGCCATAAATAAACAAAAATATAAAATAGACGCGCGCCCGAGTCCACAGGCGAGTCTGTGGCCGCACATCGTAGAACAACACAGAGAACATGACAGCTACTTTGTGGCTTATATTGTGTCATTTTAGTCAGATACAGACATGAAACTCTGGATTTCTCCATAATGAAGGCTGTCAGCGTTGTGTACCCACGTGCATGTGCTCGTGCATGAAGTGTACCGTGCTGAAACACACCTCTCCGAAGTGTGCCAAAGCCAAGGAAGTGTACCGTGCCTGAGCACTATACGGAGGGGTCACACTGGCCAAACAAACTGGACTTTAGCGTTGAAGCATGCATGGGCACGGTACGGATGGCCAGTGAGACCGCGCCCTTACTGTTTGTTTTTTGTGTTATTGGTTGACTTGGGTGTTTGCGATGGCAAGGCAGGTTTATTTCTATCATACATTTCAGCAACAAGGCAATTCAAAGAGTTCACACAGGACATCAAAAGAAACATTAAAAGAAGACAATTCAAAATCACTAAAACAACCAATCACAGAGAAGATGAAATGTAAAATGTAAAAAAAAAAAAAAAGAAGATCCGAAAGAAATACAGTTATGAATTTTAGAGGCAATAAAACATTAAAATACAAAATATATAAATAAGCTGAAGTTTGTAATGTAATGATGTTATCTGCTCTGTGCACCTTCCAATGTTATAGAGCTCTGGAGTCCTTGACTGGATGCTTCATACGGGACCTCCTAAACAAAGAGGCCTGACCCTGTAGGAATGAGTCCCCTCATTTTAGACACTCAGAGTTACAATCTAAGCCTGTCATTTACATGAAACGGTTAAACTTGCTGGACAATATTTCATCAGGGGCATTTGAGGACTACGCTGCAGGCAATCAACTGAGCAAACTGAAGCTATTTGTATTTGTAATTTAGACCCCGAGCTATGTAGAAAACAAGGGCCAGTTTTAAAATACTGAAGTTCCATTGATTGGGCAGGTCTATGCTAGAGCTGTTTACAGGAATATCTCAGGACTGGAATCTACTAACTGAACTAATTAAACAGGATTTAATATGTAATGGAGCTCTCACTAAAAAACTTAAACCATAAGAGACTTGGTTGAGCTTGATTACAAAAACAACTTATTAATCAAAGTATGGGATTCAACATGATAGCACGTATTCTAACGCTACAGCAACTCTGTTGGACGACTCCACTACTAAGCAGATTTTCAGAAGCAAGGTCAATGGTTGTCAACCCGGAGGTAGAAGGATAATGGTATGGTTGTAGTCTGAGGAAGTGAAAAATGTATGGAAACGTGGTAGTGGAGTTTAAATGGGTCAGCAAAGACACAATTTGTCCAACACGGAGAAACATGCAACATGTTTATGCATGGAGACACCTGATGAGGTTAAAAACCATTGAGCTCAGGAGGGCCTGGGTTGTAGCAGCAGGTGGAGCATTTAGGCAAAAAATTTGAAAACAAACCCTTGGCCGTTCGGCGCACAAACTGCGCAGCTTTCTGTTTACTGAAGGAAGGCCAACTCCGGCGGAAAGCGATGCCAGAGTGAGGAGAAGCGTCTGCTGGGCCATTTTTACAACAAACACCATACACACTTTACAGGATTACCCAGGCTTCTTTTCTCTCATTGCAGGAACCATCTACATTCATACTGTATTTCAGATGTAGTTTGAGTAGTTGTGTCACTGTAATGATTATAAAGCCTTCAGCAGGCTTTGTGCACTCACCCAGCACTGTGCCGATCTTATTGGTCAGGACGGAGTCGGTGTGGTCCAGCCAGCCTCCTCCGCACAGGCCCTCTTTGAAGCGGTTCAGGATGGACTGGTTGGAGAGCAGAACCACCAGGATCCACAGAGCTGCTGTTACCGTGCTTGAGTGAAGGTGTTCCTCCATGAACATCAGGAGCCAATCAAAGCCCAGTGTCCGCACCAGCTCCTCACAAGCCCTTCAGGAGGCGATGCAGAGCAAACTTTTGGTCAGTGATTGCTCTAAAATTAGGTCAAATACCTATTTCAGAATATATTTCATCACCCAAACAACTATCAAAGATTTGCTCAGCTATTCAAACATGAAGCAAATTCACATTAGACTTGAGTTCTAACATTTTTGCAAGAAAACGAATGGATACGCTGGGAGTTTTATTTTTGTGAGCTTAAGGTTTTAGGGCTATGCAAAGAGGGACCAGTCCTTGTCTTACTGAGCATTGACAGAGCATTTCTCTTTGTTGGTGAAGAGCAGTCTGCGCAGGTTGTCCAGCAGCCGGTTTCTCAACAGAATAAGGTTTGCTGACAGGAGACCTCCAAAATCATCATCATTACCTGGAGACACCACAAAAGTTCCACAATCAGTCAGTCAGGGGGAATTAAATATTTTTTTTAAATCTGCAACCAATTTATAAAAGCACAGTTTCAACTACATGTGTCGCTACCTCCATCGATCTTCTCCTCGTTATTGATTTCCATGACAACAAACTTCTCACACACGGCAAATGTGGGAAGAGTTGACGAGATGAACTGGCCAAACCTGTGAGGTGAAAAACAAAGAGGGAAATTCCAGTTTGGGTTTCCTTACGTCTGTCTGTGTTGAGAAACAGAACCTGAGTAACCAAAGCATGAGTGAACATGTGTTTACCGGAGCAGGTCGTATGGGTTGGGGAAGCCCTGCAGAAGGAGACTGAGCACATTGCTGATGGCAGCCACTGTTGGCTGGGAGAGCGAGGTGTCTCTGAGGGTCAGCAGCAGCCTGGGGATCAGTTGAAACTCCCGCAGCAGTTTGGCATTTTTAGCCGCCTCGCTGTTTGATATAAACACAGTCACATACAGTTAGATATCCTAAATGATAGATTCAAAAAGTCACATATAGTTTCAAAAGCCTTTTCAGTACGGTTGTATTTAATGAATCTGTAGTTTTATTGAAGGAAACATTTCAAGGAGAGTAAGGTTTTGTGATACTTGCCTGGATTCAGTCAGCAGTTCGATGAAATGCTCAAACAGAGACAGATGGAGCTCGTAGGGAGCGTGGAGCCACACCTGAGGAGTAGAAGCAGACAGAGACCTCTGTGTCACACGATGTGTATTTGGCAAGACAAACTGCTGGCAGGGAGAGTTCACATCTTGGCACAGAGCAGCTAAGTTTTCTAACAAAACATGTGAGAAACTTTGTTCTAATGCCACCACAGTACATCCCAAAAATACTCCACCTGTTCATCAGGCAGGCAGAGTTTAAGTAGAGCAGGATGCTGGTCAGCTGCCAATGTAGCAGACTTGAGTTCTTTCAACTGCAGAATATGATTACCTAATTTTATATAATGTTTCCTGGGACCTTGGTTTAATTTTGCACCCATCATTCCCTCACCTCAAAGTCACACAGCAGGTCCTGGAAGGCGGTGGAGTTTGGAATAATGGAGGTCTCGTGTCCGCTGTCGACTGTTCCCACCAGAGAGAAGGTGAGGTGGAGGATGTGGCTGTTGAGCAGCGAGCGCTTCTTCTTCAGCAGCATGGCCAGCAGCTGAGAGGGACAACCATGAGAGTATGTCTCAAACCTTTATAGGACACTGCTCTATTGGTTACATAATGTTTTCGTTTAATCATGCTAGATGTTGTTTTTCAGCTACAGCGAGAGTCCAAAAGTATCACAGCTGTTGTTGAAAGCTGTAGGCCTGTTTCTCACCTGGTATCCTTTGATACGCTCCATCTCTTTACTGGCCAGTGGGTTGCTCTTTACGACACACACCAAAGCTTTGACGGCTGCATACAGCCCCTCCACGTCCGACGCCATCGCAACCAGACCCAAGATGGCCGCCGCACCACCCGTGTACTGCAGGTTTGTGGCAACAGGCTTAGCCACAAAGGCACGGACCCCTTGAGGGAGAAGAGAGAAACGTTAGTTTGGATTAAACATGAAGCTGCAGGATAGATACAAACATTTCCAGATAGACTCGTGAACTTCTCTTGAGGTAAGTGTTGTACAAAGAATCAACAGGTTTCATTACAGGATATATTTACTCAAGGGGAAAATAGCTCTTTCCTATTTGGATATTTTAACAATTAAATGGATAAGTTAAGCAAAGGAATAAGCAAAGGAATAAACAAAGAATGAACAGAATGAAATCCTAGCTCATTTAAATTTAAGGACCCGTGCTCGGGCAGAGTACAGAACAAAAACAGTTAAAAAAACAATAATCTAAAACAACAATGCTGACTTTAACTATGATGATTTTATGGTCCATTTTAGAGACTTTGTTTACCTAAATATCCAATGACTCCAGCTCCCACGGTTCGAGCTGGCCCGTTGAGATGGCCGGCTGCGTTATGAATCAGCTTGACCGGAGTGGCATTTTCATGAGACGACACAGCGAGCTGAAGAGGGAGGCAAAATGTTCAGTTAACAAACCCAGAACAAAAAACACCCCCATATGCATGTTTTACTGATTTAAGTTCACCATTACGCTACATGTTTTTTTTTTTGTTTTTCAATTTGTGAAGAGTTTGAATGCTGCTAGTTGCTGATGTGGTTGTTTGTTGCATCAGAATTAAGTTTTGGAAGCTATACTCTTGTATTGAGGTCTGGACTTTCTCAAAGGACAATACTCAGCCAGTTAGAGTGAGATGTGGGACCAAATAAGCATGAGGAAGAAAACAAAACGTCTGCATGACCTGCTGCTTCTTAAAACAATATAACTGTACTTATGGAGCTTTATTAATAGCAAGAGTTCGTTAAACATACTGCAACAGATTTTGAGTGTCAATTTCCTCGTTTTAAAAAAGAGATTATGTTTCTTACATTCTTACTGAACACGTACACTCGTATACTCTCTTTACTGCTGGGATTATAAATATACACATTTAGTTGGATTGCTTTTTTGTGCTGTTTTTTCCCCTCCCTCTTTTTTTATTCTTCAGCCTTTATTTAATACCATGTTGTTCATTGATATTGTATGTCTGTTGTTGTTAATGAAATATTGTTCTTTTTGTCCAAATGTGTCATAAAGGGAGGAGTGGAGGAAGGGGGACATCTAAGACTGAAAGGCATATTTACATACAGGCTAATGATTAGCTGTCATACACAATTTCACCTCCATTATATCATTTTATTAAAAAAAAAAAAAAAACCTCTCTTCCTGTCCTACAGCACAAATGCTGCTTCTGCACTTCTTTCCCATGAGTCAGGGAGAGCAGGGCAGGCTGGGTAATAAGCTGACAGGTGGGGGGAGAGATAAGGGTGGAAACTCACTGATACAGTAGAAATACTGGACGGTGTTTTAGCTACTTTAAATGTGTGAATGAGCTCATGCAGAAGTCAACTGACCAATATCTAGTATCCTTGCTCACATTTATAAATAGAGAGTGAGAAAAGAAACCTGAACAAACTTTTTTGTGCTTCTAGTTATTTATTATTAAAGAAGTAAATCTTTCTTTACTGCAAACATTTCATTTTTTCTAAGAAGGTCCGGACTGAAAAAGCTCTGCACTGTGGCTGAGAGGGAGGAGATGTTTCTTTTCTTTCCATTTGCATCAGACAGACATGATGTCATGAGAGTCAGTAAAAAGCTCACTCCCCTCAGTCAGACTCCAGCCTTCTCCACACCAGACTCAGTCAGTAAATGTAAATGTAAAAATGTCAACTAACGAGTGAAAACAAGTTGAAAAGAAGTTCTAATAGTTCTGCATTGTGAATTACCTTACACTCATCTTTCTAATGTAACTAAAAGAATATGCATAAAACTCATATGATCTGACAATAAACTGACAACTTTCTATGAAGATAAAAACTCAAATAAGGATAACAGTTCCGACTGAACAAAATGTGTTTTTCCAATAACTGTATCAGAAGTTTGCATTCAAACAGAGCTGTTTCATGAGTTAATAATAGAAGCTAACAATGTTCTTTTTGTCATTGGTGTAGATACTTGAAATCCTGTTAAGAAGAATCTGGTGAAATGTGCTCCATTTCACATTATGCTTCTGGTTAATGCCTCATACTGCGATCATTGCTTCTAACAGGATTATTCTGTTATCCCGGCTCAAACTGAACTGAGCCTGTCACAGCCGGGCTGAGAGGAATTCTTCAGAGATTACAATGGAAATGGCAAAACACGAATAATCTGAAGAATGAAAAGCTTGGTAGTGCCATTCTTTACATCAGACTGTTTCTTTGCCATCCTGGAGGTGTTACGTTTCTGATGTCTAACATCCTTTTTTGTAATGTAGGAAAAGAACAAAACTCTTTAGAGGTGCTCTGGATTTATGACACATGAATAGTATTTTGCAAAATGCGTCATGTACCTTAATCATCATAACAAATAAAAGGAAAATACAATGGATTTATCAATCATCATATTTCAGCCCCTTCATCTCGCTCTTCTCCGTGGATTACTTTTTAACCTCCCTGACTTACAGTAGTTACAAAAGGAGTTCATTATAATACAATCCCAGCGTGGTGAATTTAATCATGTTGCAGTGGTTTGTCTGACCTGTTTGGCGATGGCTTTGCTGTCCAGCTTGTTGTAGACTTTTCTGATCTTGGCCACAGTGAGAGTAGAGACTGACAACGCATAGAGACTGAAGGACACCTTCTCCTCTGGTACCAACGCCACTGGAGTGGCAGGCGCTACCTCTGTCTTTGAGTCTTTACCTGAGACAGACAGAGGACAGAGATATTATGATCAAATACAAAGAAGGTATTTAACTGTGTGTGTGTGTGTGGGGGGGCAGGGGGCTGTGAAAGAAGGAAAGAAGAGGCGAGTGCTGGAAGATGAACACTCACAGGGCAGGTAGACGGCCTGGAAGCTGCCCACATAGATGGGTCCCAGCTCATAGATGGTGGCAACACTGGTGGCGGGCAGGACCTCCTCCAGGAAATGGCTGGGTCCCAGACGCCACACCAGGCTGGAGAGCTGGCGCTGGGCTGGTGGCGTCCCGATGTATCCATACACGGTGCTCAACACGGGAGGGTTGGTGGAGCTGGAGCCGCCCGGTGCACTATGGATGTAATGAAGCTGGAGGAGAGGAGAGATACAGATGAGTGATATATCACATTGAGAAATTAAAAAAAACACAAAGACTGAGCTGAAGCTTCCAGTATAGTACAGTGCTGTACAGTACAGTTTACTTTCATATTATAGTTAATAATAAAGCAGAAATAAATACAACATCAAGACCTCTTAGTTATAAAAACAAACAGGTAATTCAGACTGTAATTCACGATAGGATAGGATCGGTGATGTGTCCCATGATAACAATAATATCACGACGCAGCAATTCCCAGATAATTGATCATGTAATGACGCATCACAAAATCTGATGAGCTGAAACAAATAAAAATGCACCCAAAAAGGTAAAGTGCAGGAGTATCATTTACTGCAATCTGATGTCAGTTATCCTGCTGCCTGCTTCATTTTCTTTGATCTCACTGTTTGCTTCTTTTTTGGCCAATGAACTTCTGTTCATGTTACCTTCATTAAAGTCATAAGTGCCACCGTGAGGAGTAGTAACGCAGTGGGGACATATTGCTAGGGAAAACTGTTTGGAGAGCCGTTTTTCATTTTCTTAAATCAAAATATGGTAAATTGGCATCAGTGATTTGATAATTGTGCTGTTTGTGAAAGGGAAGCTACTTTTCCATTTTGCCATTAAGAGTCCACAAAATCATGAGAGAAATTTGAGCCTGTAAGAGATGAATTGTGTTTTACATGCGACCAATCACAGGGAACGAAAAACAACAACCCACAAGCACCCTCTCACACACACACACACAGACACAGACACACGAGATACACATGACTAGCTTGCTGTTTCCTGTTTGACGACCTCAATGGGAAATGCAGCCGTTGATATCAGTGGTGCGGAGAGGAAGCTGAGACTTGTGGTCTGTCGGGTGGCACACTGCTCTGTAATCTCAGGAGGAATCTAAAGTCACCAAAACCACAGGCCACACACTCGTCTGCTGACTGCTGGGCTGGGCTGCAACGCTGCACTTTCCTGTCTTTGTCAAAACTATGGCCAGCGTTCGTAACATTTCAGCCAGCAGTCTGATGTTTGTATTCCCGATCAGAGCAAGACAAACTAAGGTTGCACTCTGACAACGATTGTAACTTAGTGCTTTGTTCTATAACATCAGCATTGTGCCACTAAGTCAGACATTATAGTCTATAAACTATGCTTATAAATCAAGATTATTTTTGATTGTTAAGTGTTGATCAGACAAGTGTTAAGTCATCCTCTTACTTTTTAGAAATTATTTCATGAATGGGAAACATTTTCACTATTCTTTACAGCATAAAGTAAGATTTGTTTTAAAGAATGCTTATCTTACTTTCTTTTTGTATACGTATAATTTGGCACCACCAGAATGAGAGTGTTGCAGTCCAGTACAATCAGGACATGCTGCCTAGATCTTATGTCACAACATGTATACATTTATATAAGTATAGTTTGTAATTATTTTGTCATTCTTTAAAAGGAGGAACAGTATTTATTCTTAAGAAATGAAGCAAACAAGAAACATTGCAATCACAGTTATGTGATGACACACTACATCTGAAAAGAACAAAGAAGGCTCATTTTGATCTTTTGGAAATACATTGTTTTCTTTTGGAGTGATATTAATTGAAAAGTTGAAACCCTCCTACACCCCAGTGTACTGTATACCCTCAACACAGAAAACTGCTTAATAAGACATATTTCTTCCTGCTTTATATGAATGTGTGACACAATACAGTCAGAACTTTACCTTTACAGTGTTGATGAGCTGTCCATCGAGGTACAGCGTGGCCATGCTGTTCTTCAGCATGCCTTTGCTCATGACCAGCACCAGGTGGTGCCACTGGCCCTCAGCGATCAGCTCGCCGCAGCGGAAGCGAGCGCAGCAGGGCAGGATCTCATAGAAGGAGGCTTCTTCACTCGACTCGTCCGCTGCTTTAAGGGGGGAGAGAGAAGGAAGCAGAGGGGACACATTGGTGAGTCAGCGGGTTTGGATGGAGATAAAAAAAACAAAAAACCCAAATATCTGGGTAATGACTGAAATCCTATTAGGCGAGGTTTATAAGGTGTTACTGATGTGCAGATTTCCCTGACTTTATACCTTCTCTCTTTTATGGTCTGACCTTTACTTTAACCTCAAACCATTGATAGAAATACAGACTTAAACATGTGAACATCCAAACAAACAACTAAGGACAGTTTCTTCTCCGAAATACAATCTGAAGCGATAATGTCATTGGTCTATAATACACCTTGTTATACTATCATCAATGTCTAACAACAGAAGGTTTAAATTGACTAAATTAACTCGGCCATTTTTCTTTTTTTTGCTGCATTTGGTGTTACAACAACAACAAACACCCCGTGATGCCATGAACGAATTGAGTTGTTAAGTTGTAACTGCAGGACTCACAGTAGGTCTGCAGCAGCTCCTCCTTGGTGGACACAGTGAGCGAGCGGTCTTTGGCAGACAGAACAACTGACAGGCAGACGTAGTGCTGCTCAGAGGACGTGGCTCGCCGGACGATGGTCAGCAGTCTCACTGGGTGGGCATGAGGAGCTGAGCTGAAACGCTCCACGCAGAACCAGGTGGAGTAGCTGAGGCCGGACGGAGGAGGAAACAAGCGCTCCCCTGGAGGTGAGACATTGTAACATATTATTTTAAAAGATCTGACAATTACATGTTACGTGTGAAGGCAAACATGGTGCAGCCTGTTGATGATGGTTCTAATGTAATTTCATACAATGATAAAAAAAAAAAGGTTCAAGTTTTCCAGAACAAAAACAGCCAGCAATACATCCTAACCCCACATAGCAAGAAGATTTGGGATATTTTGGGTCCTGATAACTGCTATTTTAAAAATGTTTTGCAATTTTCTTGTAGTTTTTGACCACAATATAACCTGTTAAGGCTTCAGGGTAATACCATCAGGAAACTCTGCTCAATCACAGTACATTACATAAAAATGTTTGGCTCTATAATGGCTCTAAATATGTATCAAGTGTCTGAACATGTTACAAGAAGAATCCTTTCAGAAATACAACTCTGAGTTGAGATGCTTCATTTTTGACAAAAATGTATTCTATGGAGTACGCAGACTCCTTTGACAAAACAAGTATTTCACTTTAAGGAAAACAGGAGTTGTTCTACCTCGGCCTCTAGTTAACCAATAAATAGAGAAGAAGCAATCTACTCATCCAGTTCCAAAACATTCCATGTCTGACCATTCATTTAGACCTTTTGAAAAGGTTCAGATCAATTAAAGGAAAATATGAACACCTTCCATATCTATTGAAGCCCTTGATGTCTAAACATTGCTGTTTAATCTTCATGATCATGGGGTAGCTTGGGAGGATTTGGCACGTTGTATGTGTAGTCTGTTTCTTGTGTTTGTGTTCTCATCTTTGTATGTTGCCATGGCTCATCATGTCAGGGGTTAGACGGTGGGGGTTATGTGGGTCTGAGAGATGAAAACTGAGGGGCAATGAGATGATATGAGGGGCAAAGAAACTGTCGCATTATACTCTGCCCTGTGATTGTATCAGGGCATGAACAATTACTTGTTGTTCACAAGAAAACTGGAAATACATCTAAATACTGCGCAACTGAAAGAGTAAAATAGGACACAGGTATTCTTTCTCTTCACAAATTTGACTTCTAAGATAAGTGTCATTCTACAGGAGTTTTAACCAGTAAGAGCTCGCTCTCTCGCTCTCATTTACTTGGTGAGTGTCACAGATATCGTCATTTCTGGGCAGACTAGATGTTTACTCTCGTGTTGTTGCTGCAGGCAACAACATTACAGTTAAAATGGAGTTGGAATCGCCTCTCTACTTTTGACAACACGGTTCACTGATAATGCCAAAGCAGAAATATTGAGTGTAATGTGAATTTCATTCATGTCTTTCAGCTGCATTGTATTTTATTTATGACTGCCACTCTCTCCTTCTCTCTTAATGTCATCTATGATTGTTGTTTGAGGTGAAATACATCAGTGAGCCCGCAGGTCATCTTATCTCCCCTGTGCAAATGAGTTTTCTCCTTTCATTCATCATTTTTCTGGTTCATCTAGAATATTTCCCGAGTTTGTAATCAATTCATGTCACAGTTTTTCTGGCAACTAAATCAAACAAAACTACAGCAGGCTAAATTATACAGTGAGTTTTCTTATCAGACTAAACTAAAATATAATAAAGGTATACAAAAGAAAAGTGGAATTAAACCTTCAGGGTAGATGTCAGCTGATAAAGAGGTGTTCCTGTTCAATCATATTAAAGTTAAATTTATTAAGCCACATCAAAACATGATGTTCCAACAAACCTGAAGGCAGAAAAGCGACCGTGAACTAACAACTCATATTATTGCAAACTCACCGTGCCTGAGGTCCAGGCTGTCACTCAATAGTTTATTAAAACCAAATTAGAATTTGTCCAGAATACAATAGTTCACTGTCTGCTGGAATACTAGCGTCTGCTCTGAGCCACATGAGTGAGGATTGATTTTAGTATTAGCTCTTTCTGGTGGACAGGCCAAACTACAAGCTAAGTGCCTGTTCAGAGTACCATTATAATACTTGTACTTCTTAAATGTGGAGTAGACTGAGGACTATTGGGCTTTCAATTACTGAAAATAAAAATGTTCTTCTTTTTCTGGAGGAACAAAGAGGCAGAGAGAAGAAGGGAATACTTTTTCTCAGAGGTGCACTGGTTACCTGAGCAGAATGAAAACATTTTGATGAATGAGCAGTGGATGATGTCATCCACAGATATGGGTCAGATATGAGCGGAATAGGACACAAGGAAAAATGAAGGAAGAAATGTTCGGACCCAATTGAGAGAGTGATTGAGGGAAGGAAAGAAATAATGAAAGAGCAAGGAAAGGGGGGGAGTGATGGTTGGGGAGTGAGAAGCAGAGAGTAAAGAAAAATGTGAGTGACAGAAAGAAATAAGGAAGAAAAAAAAGTGAGGTAGGTCTATAAATAGAGTTGGCTGACAAGAGGAAAGGGATAAAGTGGGGGGTGAATGAGTGCAGAGGGAGTGGATGAATAGGTAAACAGATGGAGAAAGGAAAGTAATGTACATGAGTGGAGGAGGAGGAGAAAGAGTCGATTAATACAGGAGATAAGATATAAGAAAAAGGGAAGGGTGAGAAAGAGGGAAAGGACAGGAAGACAAAAAAAGGGAGAGGAGAGGAGAGGAAAAAGACAGATAAAGGAATCGAGTAGGTGGAAGTAGGGGAGGAGAAGAAATGAAATGCAAAGGGAGGGAGGGAAAGGATGGAGAAAGAAAAGGATCAGGGAGGAAAGGAGAGATTACAGGAAAAGAAAAGAAAAAAGTGGAGGATGAGAAGAGAGAAAATGAAGAGAAAGGAGGAAAAGAGAGATGGCATGCAGTGTGGAGGCCGGAAGAAAAGGTAAGGAAGGTTAAGAGAGGAGAGGAGAAGAGAGGGAATGAGAGGGGAGAAAAGGTAGAGCACAGAAGAAGAAGAAGGCAATAAGAGGAAAAGAGTGGAGCAAAGAAGAAGGCAAAGGCGAGAATTGTAAATGGGGATGGGGAGGAGAGAAAGAGGAGTGAAAGAAAGGGAGAGAAATAAAATAGGGGAGAGGAGGGGATCAAAAGGGTTTGGAGGGGGAGACAGAGGAGAGGTGAAAAAGGGGAGGAGAAGAGGTGAGAAAAGAAGAAAGTACAAATGAAGAAAAGAAGACAAAGAAGGAACAGGGGGAGAAGAGATGAGAGGAAATGAGGAGAGCAGAGAAGGAGACAAGAGTAGAGTCTGGCTGTGCTTTATAAATACTAAATGAATCTCAGACTAGAAAATCCACCACAGCGTCATAGATTCATTTTATTTCTACTCTCAAGTCATTGGTGTGTTAGAATTTCAGGTGTTGTCGTTTTTTTTCAGCATAAACATGATGGAAACATCGGAGAACAATTATGAACTCTTTGTGCGTTTAAAAATAAACAAGAAGAAAAGAACGTGAGATCAAGATGACAAACAGAAGCCTACATGAAGGTGTGCATCCTGTGTGTGTTTAAGTGGATATGACTATGTGGGATATGGAGCAACTTGTATCTTGGGTGAAAGGAGACTGGAAAGGCCACATTTTCACCCAAGATCAGAAGTGGAGCATTATGGTGCAGCAAATTGTTCTGTATCTGTAAAGACATCACGGTAATCAATGGGGACAACTGCCCACTGGTTTGATTTAAAATGTATTTTAATTTCAGAGTATGACATCATTGGTCCCCAACGCTGGGGTAAGCCAGTTATCTTGCCATGCTTCTGTGGCTGGATACTGCTAGTCAGTTTCCTGCTAGTTTACATGTTCTTTGATAGTTCACCAACTTATACTGTAATGTATGTACTGTATGTAAAACAAATGGCTGTATATTTCTGCTTGCATTTTGTAGGCTTAGTTGGTAACCATAGTACTACTGCTAAATGCCCCAGTACATTAAGTTCACTCATAAAATCAAGCTTGTTTTTCTTTTTTACCTGTACCCATCCCGCTCAGCACCGCTCCGTCGCTGACACCTGAGGCGTTGGTGTTGTTGGTGGGGGCGTTGTGGGGCGCCAGACTGGGCAGAAACAAACACCTGCACAGGACAAGAAAAAAGACAGAATAATTACTATTAGTTGAGGAAACAGCAGTAACAGACACAAAAACTGTTGTCAGGTTTACAGTCCTGCTCCATACAAAGGGGCTGTTAAAAAAGCCCTTCCTTTAGTTGCCAAAAACATTCAAGGAGACAAAGAACCTTTTTTTTTTTTAATATAAAATGTGAAAGTCTCAACTGTTTCATAACTCAAGGATTAATTATGTATGAGAGCAGGATAGAGGTGGGATGAAAGCGTAGATTTAGGCTGTTCTTTTCAAAAGGAACCCACTTGTACTCTTGCTTTTTTTTTAAACTAAAAGAAACAGGGTGGAGATTTGTATTGGTTTTTAAATCTAAAGGGGTTTTAAAGTGTCCAGTAAGCGTCTTTCCCACATGATGTTCCTTTATTGTGTTTCATAAATATTTCAGTTTGATGCCTTTAAGTCCTGTCTTCCAGTCCGTGAAAAACTCCTGCAGCAGACGAGGACCAATGATCTCTCGACAAAAGTCGACGTTTAAGTTGTGAGAGTTTGCTTCATGTTCTGCTGACTCACTGCCCCTCAGTTTAGGTGTTATTGTCTCCTCACTAATCATCCTGAACCAGCATTGAAGACACTGACACGTACTGTTTGAAACATGGCTTCAGACAAAAAAAACAACATATTTATTAAATGTTGGCTGCTATTCAAGAACAAACCCGACATCCCCGGGCTGAACCATACATGAACTAATGGGTTGCTTTACTCTTCATTGTTTCAGCTCATCAAACCTAAGACCTTTCTGCTTTTCTCCATTTCATATAATTGCAAATGGTATAGAAATACTTTAATTGTGGACTATCGGTTGGCTCAACACTCCTAATATGAAGACACACCCAGGATAGATAAGGAATGGAATAATTGTTAGAGGATTGACTAAATGAATATAAAATAAGATACATTCTTGTTGCAGCACTTCATATAATCTATTTATTCCCCTTGTATTTGCTCTCTTATAATGACACATTTGAAAAGATACATTGAATGACCTTTAAAATGACCCAATTTCTTCTCTTTTCTCCCCACCTGGACAGGAGGGTCATGGTTAGCGAGCGCACGGCGTCCTTTATCTGGCATTAATTCAACAACTAATTCAAGGACGCTTCTCAAGGGCAGTAGCTGTTTAATGGACAGTCTGCATAACTAACAAAAACACCAGCCTGCTGCCTCAGAATGCATGTACGTTGTCTCCTTTGTTCCCCATTAGTCATCCCTGTGATTAGATTAAAAGAAGCACGTCAGATTCCACCAGCTCAATATGCTAATTTCCCCCCCCAGTTAGAAATAGAAGATATACAGTTTTTGTATTCTTGAAAAAATAAAGATAGAAGAGTTTTTTTTCTCCATCCCCAGCCACCTACACTGATAGCATCATCCCAGCCCCTTGCAAGATGCAAAGCTGTGTGTGTGGCTGTGTGTGTCTTTCAGTGTGTGTTAGCATGTTGTGCATGACAGAGAGCGAGGGTGTGCATGTGTGTGGGATTCCTAATAGCAGAGGCGGCATCAATATTTCATGGTGACAGATGGGAGAGGAAGGAGGGGTTCCTCTGTGGTGTGTGTGTGTGTGTGTGTGTGTGTGTGGTGTCCTCTGTTTATGCTGAGCAGAAAGTGGGGCAGTGCCTCGCTGCCTGTGTGCTGCTGCATCTCCGTGTTTTCAGGAGAAACTCCATGTTCTATTCTGAGGTGGCTGCTGCATGAGTTGAACAGGTTCATATGGGAAAATGAAATCTGGGAATTATGGACCAAGGAATATGTTCACTGGGTGGATGAGGGGAGTTTAATAAGTATTAAGTTAAAGACATCAGAACTTGGCTGTTTGGTCAATTTTGATTTGAAGATTGATGCCTCATTAAGTCTAGATTAACTGATTCAGTCTTTGGAGTTCACAGATTTTAAATTTTTTCCCACAGAAGGAGTTCTGTTCACTATCAGAGAAGACAAATATATATGATTATCATTAAATACACAACATGGTGATTAGAGCACAGTGATGCTGCTCTAGAACAGAAATGTTTTTTTAATCAGTACAACTGAGCTTATCCAGGTTAATGAACCTTATCAACATCATCTGTCTGGAAGACAAATCTGGTGTGTGTGCACAGGTGTCATATGTGGCCCATGACACTGTGCAAAGCTATAGCTACATGCGTTTCCTCAGAATGCCTATTTCAAGAAAAACATGCACAAAATAGATTTTTTTTTTAATTTTGGAGATCAAAGGTCTTACAAAAAAGATTAATTCAACTGTGTGATTCAACCATTTGATGGCTTAGTCTACTACAGCAGACACAAAGACAGCATTCCAATTAAACTGATTCTGTGTAGTAATTTATTTGCTGGTCAGGTAATCAGAGAAAATAACCTCTGGCATTCTGCTCCTTAACTTGAAATGTCAGAAATGACCTTAAACAGACATCCTTATGAATATTAATGAAGAATGTAATAAATCATCGTCTTAAGTCTCGACAAAGTTGTTTACTGTGTGTTAGCGCGCATGTGTCATGTATCTGTGGGCCAATTGCCAAGGTCACATCCCACCCCTCATGACTACTGACCCCGACACTCACTGTGCTTCTAACATACAACACAAAGCACACAGAGCAGCAGAGCCTGGCAGCACCCACAATGCACTGCGATGGGAGTGTTTGACATAAAAAGCGGAAAATCAGCCAATTTGTATGCGTGGCTCCACAACTGGAGGCGAATAACGGCCTCCTGCCGAGACATAGACAGGTGCTGCTGAGAGGTGAAAAAAGCACACGCGACCTGTTTAATTGAACGGAAAAATAACATTTTGCACCCTGAGGTGGGTGTCACGGGTGAAAAGAAATGGATCTACAAAGAGAAAAATAGAGAAAAGTAGTTTATAGAAGACTAGCATCAGCTGTTGCTGCAAGGACATTTATAAAAAAAAAAGGATCCAGTCCTGATAAACAGCAACAAATCATTACAAAGGGGGGCTTTAGGGGGAGTTAAAAAAAAACAGTTCTCTTCAAATTATCAGACATTCTGTAAGCATTTGTTCCTTGATCATTTCCTGTCTTAACCATGGTCCTAGATACTAAAAAACCATAAGGAATAAAAAATGAAAGATTCCCCTACAGGTGACAAAACCCTGAGAATCCCTCAACACAGCAGCACTTACTCATCTGAACAAAGACTTTTAACCCTGAAATCAGCTCATTGATTCAGTTTGAATCATTTCTGTTGAAGTCTCAGGTCACTCATCAACACCATTTTCAATATCAAAGCGTAGCTTTTCTCAATAACAAGGTTAATAACCAGCCAGTAGAGAAAATGAAACCGCTAGCTGACAGAACACAAGACATTTTTTCCGAGTGGAGAACAAATCTGCACAAGCACAAAACAGCTAGACAGAAAAAAGATCTTATGATACATTTATTAAAGCTGATTTCAATCGTTGTCTCTCTCCTGTTTATTATTTATTGGCACTTGAAATATATATTTTTCCCCCAATCAGGGGCAGTTGGGAGACACATATTAGCATTCACCAATATTTTGTTAAAAATTCCAATAAATGTGTTGTTAATAATGTTCCTAACAAGAACCTTTGTCTGATTCATGGCATGTTCTTAAACAGCTGAATTGTTCTCAGCTTTGGTAGATGTAAGAATCAAATAACAAACTGCCTGAGTGGGTTTTAAAAATAAATGTCTTCTTAAGAAAGATTGGTGAATGAGGTCCAAGGGTCTTAACAAAATGAATGTTTCCACTAGATTTGTAAGGAGAAACATATAAGCCAAACATATAAGCTAAATAAATAGGAATGTTTGCATTTTTCGACATTTTTCTGTCTCAAGTGGCCTGAAACAAAATCCACTAATGTAACTTTAAAGTTTATATAACAATGACAAATCTGTAAGACGCAACATTTCTCAAGAATATGCTGTTATGTGTAAGTTCTGTCAGTGGAATTAAGAGCTTTGGTTGTTCTTTAAGGGTTGGTAATAATTTAATTAAAAGGATGTAGAGTTTCAGAAACCACAGGAAGGCCATGATGCCTGCAGCACTTTACAGCACTTAAACTCCACAGATATCCAGAGGAAGTTTACACAGTAGTCATACAGTGCAGCCTGTAGGGGGGAACGATCCGTCAACATGTTATTATTACATTATTATGGAGTGTTATGCACATTATGATCAGTTTATAGGGCATGTGACTCACCCTCTTTTCTTGGGTTAAAAAAAGGCTAAAAGAGGAAAACAAACAGTTTTGTAAAGACTAGAACTTTTATGAGCATGCTGACTAACCCGAAACCCTCCAACGACGTGTCAAACTCCACAAACGCAGGCGTGACAGCAGATCCATGCAGGCGTATATCATGAGGCGTTGTCATGGACACCAGGCACTTGACTCGGGTGAGGGGTACAGTGCTGCCCTCAGCAGAGCGGACCAGGCTACGGCTGATGCGATACTGGCCGTTGTCTTCTGCAGGCGTAGCAAAGACGCTGTCTGGACCAAAGCCCTCCATGGACATAGTCATGCTGTCTGTGAAGTCAGGAAGGACACATTCAGTAATGAGGTGTAACCAGCGTGCTAACATTATAACCCAGATCGCAGTGTGAGGTCTTTATGTTACTGAGTAAAAGATCGCTCTGGAAGATCACTTCAGCTGAACCAGAAAAGGCTGCTATCATACAAATATAATAAGACACGTAGTCATTTCACTTGGAAGAAGAGATGCTTTTCTACTGCTGACTCAATTTGCAGTATTTCAGTATGTTGTGCTATTGTGTGTTTTCAGTGTTTTCATTTTAATCAAAAACAACAACAATGAAAGAAAAAAGAAATCCTGGCAGAATTTGTCCAATGGTTGTGAGTGAAACTAAGTAATGTTGTCAAAGTTTGGTGGTATTGACCAGATTCATGTAAAGGCTGTTTCTGGTTTTCAAAGAAAGCCTCTTACCTCAGCTGTTTAAATCTGAAGAGATCATTCCCATTTTGTTGGCAGACTCTTCAAATAAAAATGGCTCTTTAGCAGACATACTTTGAGCAGATGTGTTTGCCATAAGGTTTATGTTTCAGTGATTCAGAGCCTTTAATCACAGCTGATTCAAGATGTGAAAATGTACCTTTTAGACTACTAGACCCTAAAATAAGTCAGAAGTAAGGTCATGTTCAAATGAATGATTCAACAGAGAGGTTCGTCACCAGCTGTTTACACACTCCAGCATGTAGATTTGTTTCTTCACATTCCACAATTAATTTCCTGCTTGTTTTACATCTTCCTGTGCTTAAACACTATAAACAACGATTTCAATTATAGCTACATTATCTGAACAGCAGACACATCATTTAATAATCGTTTTTGTTTCTTGTCACTAAGACTAAACATTGAAGAAAACTGACAAACAGACTTGGTCCCAGCACATCTTTAGAAGGAGGAATCAAAGTAAAGCAGCAAACCCTGCTGGATGATCTCCTCACTGACAGAGAGAGATGGCTCTGTGTTCTCACAGTGGCTGGTTAACAGCAGTAATTAGTGAGGACTTAATCTACGTTCTCAGCTGGGAGGAGACACAATAAGCAATTAGAGACATGCTGAGGAGACCGAAAAATTACAAACATTAACAGCTGCTTATAGAAAACAAAAAGTTTGTATAAGATTCACAGAGGCACAACAATCTGTGATTAAACATTGAGTTTACACATCAAATGTTTAATCATAAGAAGCCTTAAGGACCACTTTCTCACATCTGACAACTGGCACATTTGCTTTAAAATGTACACAGCCTGATTCTGATCGACATGTGAATTTACGGTAGAGTATTGAAACATTAAAGCCAATAATAGCTACATATTTGAAAGTGATACATTGTGGTTAGGAAAATAAAAACTAAAGCTCACTCAGCTGTTATACTAACTTCGCAATCATCTGAACTTTATGAAAACCTTCAGAACCTTCGCTTCCCATCACCCAGACAGTGAAAGTCATTTCCACAGCAATTAAATGGTGACAGGAAGCTCATCCTCTGAGCTATAGCTCTGGAATTGTCAAAGGGGTTGCAGGAAGAGCCAGTGAAGAAAAAAAAAAAACAGGATAGCTAGAAGATTGATGGGCTTTTTTTTTTTTGTTCAAGCTTTTAGTACAGAACAAGGCTGGTATCACTGTGGCAGATGGGAAAAGCTCCTGAATGACATTATCATATTTCATAACTGTACTGATGGACTGTGCTGGAATTCAACCTCCATTCTCAGCTTTAAAAAAAACTGATGGCTTCACTTGAAAAGTGGCAAAGTCATTTTTGCTGAAGAATTGAAGTAATATTTAAGAGCGACACGGAGCCAGGCGTATGTTACTTTTATTTGATGTTTGTCCCCTCATCTATTGCTTTTATAGAATTTATACAGCTTTATTTAGGAAGTCAAATTTAAACGTTTTGACCCAAGCAGATGGATTCAACTTGTTTGACCTGAATGCTTTAACATTGATTGTACCTCCATCTAACTATGTTAAAAGTAGGTAATCAAGCTACATAATAGATTTTTAAAAAAAGCTTATCTACATTAGTGCATGCTAATTCATACACAATCCAGCCACACACTTACTGAATACTAAGGTTACGATACAAAAGTTTATCACAGTGGTCTTTAAGTGTCATTGAGTTAGTGTGTTGGCCTGTGTTCTTCAGGGAGTGTGAGTCACACTCCAGCTTAGAATCCATCCAGACCCCAGGCAACTAGGAATCATATGATTAAAAGCAAAGAAGAGATATGTTATCGTCTTACTTCTGGTGTCGGTGTCATAGCTGAGAGAGCTCGGTTTGTGAACCCGGTACTGTTTCAGGAGCTTTTTGTCCCAGGCGCCACAGTTCAGAGGGTTCCCGAGACGTAAGAACTCCCTACAGAGAAAGAAGAAGGATGATGATATTATTTAAAATATACCAAAAGGATCCATTAAAGGAGCATATGTGACTCTGACAGTGTTTAAAAATGGGCTACTGCAGTACAAATTCAAAACAGTGGAGACAGCCGCCCCCCCCCCCGCCCTCCCCCTGGAGTCGATGCGCAAGCAGGTTGCCAATTCATGGACACTGAAGCTTCAGTGTTTAGCCAACTCTGCATCAGTCTTGAAACCTTACTGTGTTCTAACCTTTCTCCATTTTTAAAAGCATCTCCAATATCTATCCTAGTTTTACCACGTTTCAGCCCGTGGAGCTTATTAAAAGAATTTAGAGGGCTTTTAGGTCGGGAAGAACAATTTTATTGGTGTAACACCTGTTTGATTACCTTGATAACTGGTCTTATATCTGGCAAACCGAGGGGTGTCCAAAAATGGCCATGTGTGGGGGTGCCTTAATGTATGGTTTATGATTATTATTTATGATAATTTAAGTTTTTTTAAGACCTGCAGGCCTGTATTCTCATAAGAGACCACAGATACAAAAAAACCCATAAATTTGTTCTCATGAAACTGTAAAGCATTCTTGATAAAAACAGCAAATAAATGTTCAGCATTTGAATGCAGCAGTTATGTCGCAGGTACTCTACATCTTAACAGCTGTGGCTAAATGCATGTTTTAAAGTCAATGATAAGGTTGACAGGAATGGAAGTGCCTTAAATGCAAAGTGTCCGGAGAGGAGAGGAGAGGAGAGGAGGAGAGGAGAGGAGACTGCCTGACAGTTACAGATACATTTACCCTCAGCACAATTAGGACGGTGAAAGGAATATAAGCCATGGAGGGAGCATTAACATATAAAAAGAACCCATGTGTATGTCAAATACCCCCCTTCCCCATTCCTCAAACCAGCATCCCATCTCACTTAACTAGCCAAGCGGGAAATGAGAGTCAATGTTTTGTCTGCATACAGCCATCCTTCAACAGGAAGCTGTCAAAGCAGATTAGTCTTCCAAGGTCATTTGTGTCAGCTCACTCTGAGCCCAACGGAAGGAGTCAAAGTGCGTGTTACCAAACTGAATGTTGCGGGTCTCATGCTGATATTTGCTAAATATGTTTAGATTTAATCTCTCACAGGTTTTTCCGATGCAGCAAAACCCTGTCTTCTGCCGGCTCTGGCAGAGAATCTAACCTATTATAGGTTCAACTATGTGAATCTTTGTCGGGACATCCCTTATAGTTATAAGAAATGACTAACATAAGGAGATAAACAGTAGTATATTATGAAACTTAACAAAAAGAGAGTGTCCAGTACTGAGTGCCATGGGCTGCAGTGCCTGAGAAGCAGCTCTCAAACATCCTCTGCAGAGGGGGGTGCAGCGGGTGGTCTTCATCACCAGAGCCTGACTGCAGCGCTGCAACAGCCGCTGGTGGAGAGAGGCTTCACACAGAACTGCTGGTTCCTCTCACTGTTCACCAGTAGCTGCAGGATGTTGGCCACTGCCAGCTGCAGGTCAAGAGCGTGCTGGGGGCAAACAGAGTTCAGTATGATATTGATTCACAGTATTGTAGAATCAGTTTGTTGAATTTTATTGTATTAACTTGATTTGAAAGAAATGGGCCCTTGTTCATTGATTAGTTAATAATCGTTTAATAATAGTTTCAGATACATGCACGCGTGGTACAACTGTCTGGTTCCCTCTAACGTACTTTGAGACAACTTTCTGCATACAACCTTTTCACACTTTAAAGAGGAAGTGCATGTGAGCACATTTCCTCTCTGTGTTCCCTCACCTCGGGCTGGCTGTCGGAGGAGACGGAGGGCAGCAGGTCAGATGGCGAGGACGGCCCCTGGGTGGATGACCACCATGTCAGACAAAGAGGACGAGGAACAGGGTGGGAGCGTTGGCAAGGTGCAGTTTGAGGTCAGTCAGGGCCTTGACTGGGGCAGGAGGGCCCGACGTGCCGTAGTAACCTTGTCTGGATAAGAAAGCAAGAAAGTCATATTTAGCAAAGTCCTGTTGTCTAAACCTGGTACTTTTATTTATATGTGTCGGGTTCTAAGTGACTATTTGAATACAGCTTAAGACACATGAAATGATCATGATGCATTTCAATCCAAAGTGGTATCACTTGTCAATTACCATAAAAGTATAATGAAATATGGATTGTATTAACTAAATCTGCTATCCCACAGAGCTTCGACCTAATCTTCTGTAAAATATGTAACTTGCTGTTAAATATCCAGATTTAAATTCACCTCTTCTTCCAGAAGAAAGCTTTGTTTCACAGCTCAGTAGAAAGGTTTTATAATGAGGAGACTAATTAGATCACTGAATCAATGGGAGCTCTGTATTTAACACTTTTACTCGAACTTCATTTAACATGAGTCAGCAGTCCACACACTTAAGAGATCATGGTGTCAGTTCCATCTAAAGCACATAGCCCCCCTCATGTGAGGGAGCACAGAGCAGAGGAGCTGCAGTTGGGTAATTAAACAATGAGGAGTGTTGCTGCGATGCAAATTACAGAGTACAAATCCCCCACAGGAGAGACACAGGACTGAAAAAGACTGGAGTCAGCAGAAAGTGCTGGAAACCCTATGAAACTTTTTTCCAGAGTATTTCAATTTTAACTGCTTTATTTTAGGAAAAGAAACGACAGGGTTACAGCCACAGACAACATGATTGGTAGGTGGTGGCAATAGTCAAACTCCATGCTGAATCAGGGGAGACTACCTGCATACTGTAGGTAGAATTCACACTTCACACATGTCTCTGTTATATGTAATAGTTGTTTAAGTATACAATGTTTACAGATAGTAAAATAAGTGGCTGTTTTATTACAAGATTTGATAACACACATGCATAAACAGTCTGTAGTAGAACAAATGATGTCTACAAAAAACTGCTTTAAGTGAAGTGCACAAACAAGAAGAGGATACTTATCACCTCTATATGTCACATTAGTTCATCTCATAAATATGCAGTCTGGTCTGGGTTGCTAAGAGGACAGTTATTGTTGCTCATTAAGGCAGAGTACGTTTCTCTTCTTGTTAATGAAATTCAAAGAGCCAAGAATGGAACAGGAGGAGGAGGAGGAGTCTGATGAGGACAAAATGTGTCTACAACTTAACCTAACCAGGCATTTCTATGTCGTAGTATTAAAAAAAACAGTAAGTGTTCTGACAGGCTGTCACCAAAGTCGAGTTCATTTATAGATATATTATAGATTTATAGAAATAGATTTTTTCCAGAGGAAACAAGTCTGTTTTCATCTCTTGGTCACAGAGTGAAGATAGGAATAAATGATGTTATTGAAATTCATTTGAATGTTTTTACTTTTATTTGGATGTTTGGTTTGACGGAAAGAAGGAATCTCATTGCTAGTGTTTGTGCTCAGTCTTGACTGAAGGTGATGATGAACAGGAGGGAGTGAAGAGGGTGAAGGTGAGGAATGACAGGATGAACAGGAGGGAGGGGTGAGGAGGAGGAAGGTGGCAGAGCGCTGTAGCTACCTCTTCCTGGCGAGTGCTGGCGTGCCCCACGGCGAGGGCAGCGAGGTCTCATGAGTCAGGCAGGGAGGCACCTGCTCTGCACGACTGCATGGCAGCAAACACACACATAAGTACACACACACGCACACACACACACACACACACACACACACACGCACAGATAGATACATATACAGATGCACATATACAAGCACCCACACACATACATACAGAAATAAACAAACAGAAAGACACATTCAGACACAAACATGCACACACACACATGCAGGCATTAAACACACACACAAGCCCAGGTAAACATACACCCATATGCGCACACACACACACACGCATGCAGCCGTACAGATGGACCAGGCCGAGGATGAACAGCCAGACAGCGGCAGAGGTTAGAGGAGGGAGAAAAAGAGAACAAGAGAGAAAAAGAGGGAAAGAAGCTGTTAGTGGAAAGCTGAAGGAGAAACAGGATCAGAGCTACAGCTGGAGCACATGCAGGACGCCAGCTACACCTGCACATGGGCTGGGCAGGTAGTGTTGTCATGACGACCACAGACTTTAATACATTTAATAATTATTTCTCTCGGTCTGACATCATAACAACACCATTCAGTGCAGCGTGAAAGGCAACACAGTGAGCATCTTGACTTAATGTCTTTGAGTTTCCAGCAGTCAGAGTTGATCTACTTATATAACAGGAGAAGAAGGACCTGACTGATCCCGACCTTCAAGTTTAATGCTCACCGAGCCAAAAAGTCAACGTTCTGCTATTTTTTGTTGTTGTGGTATTCAGTAGCATCTTTTTTTTTGTTGGATATGTTTTGCCAGAATAAACCCTCTCTGTAGCTGATTGTAATGTTGCTATAAGATACAGTAAATTCAACACAAATAATTTCCAATATTAACTGGAGCACATAAAGTCATACTTCTTTACAATTAACAGAACTTTACACTCATATTGCCACAAAAAGGTTCAAGAAAATGTTTATAAACTTCACTTGCAGTATGATGCTTTCTGATACATTTCATCAAATTAAATATTCAACATGCATCATTTACATACCAATACATTTTTGGATATATTTGAAACATGCACTAAAGTAGCACTCTGATCCTGCATGTTCTGAGAACAAATGCAGATGCCACTGCTCTTATTGCCAGAAAATGATGAAACCTATCATGTCCCTTTTGACATAGGTTACTTTTTAAAAGGTTGTACTGCAAGGAGTAAAAAAAAAAAAAAAAAACTCTTTTAGGGGACCACTGACCTATCGAAGGAGTCAGTCGCCATCTTGTACAGATAGATGAAGAGTTTGCTGCAGTGTTTAAGTGTCGGACACACGCTGTCTCCCGCACAGCCTCCGGGTGCAGCCTCGTCCTCCAACAGCCTCTGGAAAGGCTGAGCGTTGGAGGGGAACACGCCTGTCGGACCCAGCTTCTTAGTGTCTGAGAAACAGCCCAGCAGCCTGACAGGAACATGAGGAGAGTTTAGTTGTAAAGAGCACAGTTAAAACAGATCACAGCACTGATGAAAGGCATGACAGAACTTTTAACAAATTCGGTCTTATTTTATATATTGGACTGTATGTTGAGAACAAAAATAAATGAAGAGAACAATCCAGCATCGACAACTCATTAGTATGGTCGTAAAGTAGTTCTACTTTAAATGAAGAAAACACAATACCTGAGTATCACACTGTTCTGTGATACTGTATTAGATAATTATCACTCTGTACTTCATTAGCATTTTAATAGTTCACATAAAAAGATAGTTTTTTCACTAATCAAGGAAAAGGAATTCACAGATTGGTTTAAAAAAAAAGGAAAATGCTATTTCACGCCATTCTTACAGTAAAGCATTTTAAGGAACAGCCACAAATGAAGCTCAGTGCATATGTAAGCTAGTTCTAATCAATACACGGATGTTATGTCCAGATTTGAAGGTTTCTACTTTCGGAGTGATTCTACTTTCTGTGGTCAACAAAGAATCTATCCAGTGCATCCTTCAGGGCAGAACATATCCCAAGATACACTGTGTGCCATTTTATACCAGAAGACCAGACTGTGTCATTTCCGTTTGGCCTGAGCGTTCTACACAGGCTGCTGCGAAGGCTGGGTCCTTTTTAGGCTGCGTCCTTTGAAGGATGCAGTCCACATGTTCAGACACAGCTTTAGTCACATCTTAATTGAACTAGCTTGAAACATGGCTAACTCTAATGCCAGATTACTGGATTTCTTTCTGAGTTTTGAGTTATACCTGCTGGACCTTACTCAACAGAGGTTTGCTTGGTTACCATAGGGATAGTGATATAAATATAAATGTGACATACGCAACATTTTGCATGCCCATAAAGATCATTGTGTGGTCACCTGGGCAAACTCTGCAAACTGAAGAAGGTCTAAAGAAGGGACCGTAAGCTAAGTTGGTGAATTGTTTAGCATTCACAAACAGAATTTAAAGATACAATATGGATTTGACTAAAACTTTCTTTTTAACAACTTGAAATGATAATGAAAAAGTAGTAAGAGGCAAAACCACATTTTCTTCATGATTTCAGGGTTTGGTCGATAAAGAACGAGTGGTTAGTAGTAATGCTAAAAGTAATGAATTAAGAAGTTATTACATTTAAGGGACACAGATGACCCCAAAGTGTTTTACCACCTCTGAGACACATCTTACCTCACAGCGTCTGCCAGTTTATCATACTGGATCTCCGTACGGAAGAAGTGGGAGTTGGCGGGCTCGTAGCGCATGGCGGCGGTGAGCGTGCAGAAGACGGTGTGCAGGAGCTCAAAGACCTGGTTCTGGTTGACTCGGTCCCAGCCGTGTCGAGGAGGCTGGCACAGTGAGCGCTCCATGGCAACCAGCAGAGACGTGATGTAGACGAAGCCTCCCACCTTACGGAACACCGTGCGGGTGCGATGACTCTCACGCAGCACCGCTAACAAGGCCTGAAGAGGAACAGAGCAGACATGATTCAGGTTCACCCAACATTACTACAGTCCTAATTCTTACTTTGAATTCTTCTTTTAAAACAGGCGGACAGAAACGCAATGTCTGTTTTATTAGCTTTCCCAAGAGTACTTCAGTTGTTGGACGATTTTAACTGCAGAGGTCACTCAGCCTCACACTTTACTTTCTCTGCTACATTTCATGACTTCTTAAATTTAGTTCTACATTATTTTCTCCCTCGTTGGCTCATTAAGTCACATTCAGTTCATTTAAGTCACGTTCTTTTTTTGCGGTGAGACATACGCACGAACCCGTCTGGGTCTTTTTGTCTCACTTCTCTATCTACATTTTCACAAGTTTTATGGTTTCACGTTAGCTGTAACCTGAAGTGAAACATCAAACTGTAACCCAGATAAAACTGTATCCTGGGACTGAAAAACAGCCAAAGACTCTGACAGGCAAAGTTTTAAACAACTGAAAAGAAGAGAACTGTGAAATTCAGCTCTTATTGCTGGAAAAACACGGCTCGATATCACTGAAGAAATCTTCTGAAGGAATATCTTTGATTTTTTCTCTTGTTATGACAAATGTTGGAATGATAGAATAAAAATATTATCTATTATAGCATAAATTATTGTTTCAGAATATCAGGGTCTGCCACCTGCATTTTCATAAATCAGTCCATCTCCAGCACTTCAGTTAAAGACGACAACAACAACTTGTCAGTGGAAAAATCTCCATGGTGACCATGGTGCTGTAACTGTAAATGCTTCATTAGTGTTCATCCTGCACATGGTAATTAAAAATACACTGGCATGTTATTATGATAGCAATATCTGATTTAGTAACGCTTTACTCTATCTTTTTACATTCTGCTATTGCAGTGGGAGAAAGGAAACCGAGTTTAAAAAAATACATTAAAGATGAAGTAAGAATCTTGAGGATCTAAGTTTAAGATCTGTGTTAAGATCAACACTTTGAAAAAGCATACAAATCTTGACTAAGAGGGTGGTGGTGATGCCTACAGTGCTTCATATTGGAAGGTGCTCCTCTGAATTAACCTACATGAGGGGAGCACAATATTTCAACAAAGACTGAAAATGTTTCAAGCTTCCGGATTGCATTAGATTGCACTGGTGTTCATAAATTATGATAGCTGATCGTTTACTTCTCATTATGAGACATGTTCTATTTCAGAAGCATGTTTCTTGGCAATTTTTTTTTTTTTCTGTATGCGCCATCAGAACAAGGAAAATTCCTCTATCATGTTAAAATCCCGTGACGATATCCCCGAGTGTGATTTTGAATATATTTATGTCCAAATACACCATGACAGATTTTTGTGGAATTTTCACACTTTTTTTTTTCCGCATGTGGGAACTTTCACATCTGACATCTTCAGTTGATATAGCAAACTGATTGGACAAGTTTCACTTAATAATTCATCCTTGTGTCCGGAGACAAAAATAAAAGTGAAGATTAAACAATCATACGTTGCCCTGCTGAGCTATTTCCTGCTCCATTAAAACAACGATTGACTCAGCAGTTTTTTTGTTTCAATCAATCCCAGGATGTTGAAGACAGCCTCTTCCTGCACATCAAACATGACCAGCAGCCTGTGACTGCATGTGCTGGTAAATTTAGGGTTTGGGTGATTAAGATTACCAGCCGCGGGATGATTTGTGTTTCAATGCTGTTTATCAGACTGTGTCCTCCAGGGAGATTAAAGGGTTAAATGTGCTCTTTACAAGGCTAATCAGATTAATATTGAGGTCTATTTGTGTGTGTGCAGTGTGTTTCTGTCAACAGTGCACAAATCCTGGTGATGAGAGAAATGTATTTACTCAAACTGGATTTAATACAAGTTATTTGCAGTTTAAGTTTTTTTTTTTTTCTCTTTTCACAATGATAATTAGAATCCCTGATTAGGGAAATAGAAGCAAAACGCTGACGGGTTAATCCAGCCGAAGCCTTTAGCAGGCGTGAGAATTACCTCGTCTGAATGAGAGGAATCAGAAAAATGCAATTATGCCTTAGAAATTGAGCCACCATCCTCTCATCCTGTGTGTAAATGTGTGTATGAATGCGTTTATGTGCACCTTAAACTTAATGTGGCTTCTCTGAAGCAATTACTGTGGGCAGGACTTCAAATGCATATTGATTTTTACAATCACAGACATTACTTTCCTCAATGTTCCCACTGATACTGAAGGTTAGGTTGGTCTTACATCATCTGTCTGAGTCTAGCTCAGCTACTCTACAGTATATCAACATGTATCAAACCCCTCATAACGCTGACAACAGTCTTTCAAATCAAAGTTGTTGAATTTCTCTTAAAGAATATTTAAACTGAGGTATTACTGTGAAACTCAGCCTGTGGTAGAACACCAGTGTGTGGCGTCTGTAGTTAACGCAAAGTCAGGAGAATCTTGGGGTCTAAATAACTGATATTAAAGTATGAGTGTGAGTGTGTGTGTGAGTGTGAGTGTGTTGTTACCCGCAGTATGTCGGTCTTGAGCTGCAGCTCACTGGACGGTGCAGAGTGCATGAGGCCCAGCAGTGTTCCCATGTCGTCGTCCCCGCTGGGCGACAGGACCAGCTGCTGGATGATGAGCAGGGCGTGTTCACGACACTGACGGTACTTCACAATGTTGTGAACGCAGCGAGCGCCGCCAAACTCCCTGAACAGAGCTGAGAGGCGGAGAGAACAAAAAAGGCACAAATGTTATCTTTGCACATCTTAAAGTTCAGAACTGAACACAATGAAAGCTGACACCAGCTGCAAACCTTTTCTTCAAACTTCATGAGAAGTATATCAATTATTAAAAAATAAACATGTTTATAAATGATTAGTCAAACAATGTAGATGTTCTTGCGTTGAAGAAAAGGTTAATTGACATATTTATACATTTGATGATTTGATATCTGCCACTAGGTTCATTTTTTAAGTGGGATGAAATTATGGTTGTGGTTAAACTAACTCCGTGAGATTATTTCTGTTACTACAATGGGTCTGGCTGTGAAGTCAGTGAATGCCTATTTTGGACCCTCAAAGGTTTTTTTTTCTGGGGACTTTTTTTGCTGTAAAAGAAGATCCAATCTTTGTTGTTAAATTGCATTATGTGAATGTAAAAAATGCATTTTAAATTATAATCATGATTTTTTTAAAAGTCTTTATAAAAGTAAAAAATTGTTTCCATGTGATGTTGATCCTCTTTATTTATCAGAATAATCTAAATTAAATAAGGATGGGGCTCCAACTATAAGCCTTCCAGAAAGCATTCTTGTAAATGTTCTGACACACTGAGTGTCCTTTTCTCTATTATTGCAAGTCTCTCTAAATAAAACTGTTGGCTGTGGAGCGTAAATGTAAGTCTAATCAATGTGTCAGAGCACAGTGCTACAAATACCCCACACACATCATCCTGTTTCTCTGACGAAAGCCACAGTCAGGTTCAAAGAGAACACTGAGCAGCCTGTTGCTTGTCCTGACTCATCACATTTCTACAGCCACACACACACACACATCGACTGAGTGAAGGGATGGAGGGGTAGGTTTCAGGAATTGTTATGAGATACTTCATTGATATTTGAAGGAAAATTCTTCTTCCTCTGCACCTCAATAGGGAGGTCAGAGGTCACATCAGTGCGTACATGCAGACAAAAGTAAATGGGACTTTTTTCAGCCAAATGAATTTCCCACATCAGCATCTATCATCAGCATTCAGGGTCAAAGCTTAAACACATTCATTCAAAGGGAAATTCCAGTCTTTCAAAGCTGGGCCCTATTTAGTTTTATAAAATATTTTGGGCTCTAAAGGGCTGAAGGATACAAAAGACCTTCATTTTAAGGTCATATTTATTTTCAGCTAGGAACATGATGACACCATGATGGCTTTTGGTGATGACTCTACACCTCTGCCTTTGAAGGCACCAGACTACCTTGAGAAAAACAGTTATTTATTGTTATGGCAGAGTGTGGGGGTTTCTGCTCTGTCCCTGCCTTGGTCTGTAAGTTGGTTTGTATTATTGAGGAGCCTGTCTAAAGACTCTAAATTGTTCATAGGTGAGTGTGAGTGTTTGGCTGTCTCTATAGGTCAGCCCTGTAATAGACTGACGACAAGTCTTGGGAGTACCTCGCCTCTTGCCCAATGACAGCTGTGACTGGCTCCCCCCCCTCCTCCCCACCCCAGACAGGATCAGCAGTATAGGTAATGGATGGGTGGAAGGATTTAAATAGCATTTGATGAACTCTTTGCCACTTTTTAGGAAACCACCAAAGCCTGTTAACGATGTATCATGGATGTTCCTGAAACTGGTGTGCATATGAGTTTACCTGCATTAGTGTTGGTGGTGTTGGAGCCCTGCAGCAGCACAGTCAGTGTCTCCATCACCAGCCAGGCCAACTGCTTCTGCTCCTCTGCTACTGTGTTGTTTTTACAGTCTGCTAAAAGATCGAAGGGAAACCAGAGAGGAGAGGCTCACATTAGACAACATCAGGACTGTCAATGACTGTCACTAAGGATGACACTCATATGATAATAAAGGGCATGGGCAGTGGATTATCATGGAGATAATAACACAACAAACGAACTGAGCTTGTTTTACAAACTATAAATATTTAAAGAAATATCTTTTGTGGGCTCAAATGGGTTTATAATGTGCGTATAATTCAACTCAGTGTGTCTAACCTCAGGCCTGTAGTCCGTTTTTTTTACTTCTGTTTTTTGTTGTTGCTTGAAGCTAAACTGAAGTCAAAAGAGCCGAAACGCATTTTTCAGAGTAAACTTGTGATATAACTTGTTTTTCCTTGACACAGCATAATATGAGTAATTCCAACCTGAGTAAGTCATGATCCTCCAAAGAAGAATTTAACTCCATTTTGAAAAGTTTTTCATCTTCTCACCTCTCTGATGTGATCTACACATGTTCTCCAGGTTGGCAGATCTGCTTTAAGCCTGCTGTTAACATGCTCTCTTTATCTCCCATTAACTGATGTGTGAACTGTGAAATATGCAGTGATGAGACTCATATTTTGGCATTCAGACAGAATATGGAGAGTTGAAATCTCATTCGATTAACAAAGCAACAGAAGTACAGAAGCCCAGAGAGGAAGGTGAGTAATAAAAAAAAAAGAAATGTGTGACTCTTTTCTTTAATCTGATCTCCACTGTTTCTCTTCTGTGTTATGACAGAAAAACATTTGGCAGCATCATGATTTGAAGCTCCTCATTGTTTCTTTTATACAAGAACCGTTGAGAAAAATGGCTTGTGCCTGAAAAATACAGTTTTCATGGATCAAGTGAATTATTTCCTTTCATGAAAAAAGGCATCAAGGAGAAAGTCAAAAGAATTTGGAAAAAAAATAGATCATTTTCTGAGTTGAAACAGGTGAGCAAAAAATGCTCAAGCAGTTTAAAAAAAGTTTTTTTTGTTTTCACAACACAAGATATTTTCCTGTATCAGTCCACTTACACATTTTTTCTAATCAAAATCCCTAAAAAAAGATAAAAACATGAAAGCATCATCTCACCTTGGTCATTATTGTGAGGTTGCTGCTGTGTTGCTGGGTCTTTGAGCAAGGCAGCGTACTTGTGCAGCAGGTTAACCAGCACCTCCAGCAGACCGACCTCTCTCAACACGTCGCTGAACACTGCGTCGTGCCTGGATAGCTTCAGAAGCGTCCGCACAGCCGTGATGCTGCAGGCGTATGACGTACTCGACTTTAGCAGCACGCTGACGCTGAACAGCTCTTTGCACGGAACGTAGTTTAGGCTGAAGACGACAAACTCCAGCAACTCAAAGTATTTAGTCTGAGCCTCGGGGAGCTTAGCCACACGGTCTGCAAACTGCGACAAAGTGTGCTGCGACTCCAGGATGAAGTAGTTCGCCGGCTCCGCGGAATAGATGTTTCCGATGGCGTCCAGAAGCATACAGGCCAGGCGGCTCGTTTTAGCTCTCAGGAAGGCGTTCTGAAGTACGGAGAAGGCCTGGATGTTACGAACTGTGTGACCTAGAGGATACGAATAGAAAAAGAAGAAGGTCAGTGTTTGACGTTTGTGATGATCTCAGTTGGGGAACTAATTGAACTCACAAAAAGTCAAATTGAAAAAAAAGGATATTTCTTTTAAGGACAATCACTAGATAGAAATGATTAGCTGAATTAAAAATGTGATAACTGTAAAACAAAAAATGAAAACAGAACATGAAAAAGATTCAAATTATTAAGCAATGAAGTCCACCTTCGTCTATGTGTTGCTTCTGTACCTTATCACTGAACATTCTTGTTTCTAATTGGATTAAAACTGTCAGTGTACTTCTCTATTACATAACTCAGACTGAGCCTCACATGTGATCTGGTGGCTTCAATTCAGCTAAACAGAACACCATTACTTGGCCCCCTAAACCTCCAAGTCTAACCCGAAAGCAGACACCGGAGACCCCACCTTATGTTACATAAGATGAGACCAGAATGCCTGAAAGCTGCATGAAACCTTCAGCAGAATCAAACAGAAAGAAAAAATGACCTCATGTTAACTAACTTATATGATGAAGGGGGATTCTGTGTCTCTTCACAACACTACACTCTGCAGCGGCCTTTCACTCGCCTTACAAACAAAGAACTACTCTAATTTGCTTTCATGGGGGATCTCCAGTAAACCCGTATAAATTACATCACTTTTTTTACATCACAATTGTTCCCTCAGACCCTTCTGAGGCTGGGGGTCTGTGTCGATCTCAGTGGATTTTTCAATTGCAGCTGGCAATGAGTTGCTTCATGAAGTGATTTTACTCAAGAGCAAGGGTAAAATGAGTGTGAGATAGACAAGTGGGTAAGTGCTGCATTAGCAGTAAAGCAGGTGTTATCCCAAACCGTTTCAGGATATTGGGGACTGAGTTGGAGGTAATGCTTTGATTAACCAGTTGGTCCACATACCAGCCCGGTCTGGGGTCAACTCTCAGAGATAAGGTAATGAGCTTGGACATCTGGAAGGAGATTTGCATCAAAAGAAGCCAGCTGAGGTGGTTTTGCAATTGATAAGAAAGCCTTCTGGGTCCTTTCCTATTGGAGCTTTTTCTGTTACATACAACAAGGAGGACACCTCAAGGTAGACCCACACCTTGCTGAAGAGATTAAATATCTGTATCAGTATGTACAGTATCATACTGTACATACTGTATGGCCTGGGACAACTCAGCATGCATGTGAAGGTGTTTGAAAATGCATCAGGAATACGTAAGCATGTCCAAGCAAACAAAGTGACTTTTGTGATCATCTGCAAAGACTAGAAATATTATATCAATACTCTTTTGTTTTAAGATTGCTTCTTCACATCTGATCTATGAATCTGCAATCAACAGGACTCTGCAATCTGATTAGAATCCTGTGTGTTTAACATGAATCTACTGAAAATCTAACAGTAGATGGCTTCTGGTGATGACTCTGCACCCAGCTAGAGCTGTCATTAGAAGGATAAACACAAGTGTGTGTGTGTGTGTGTGTGTGTGTATGTATATGTGTGTGTGTGTGTGTGTGTGTGTGGCAGCAGACAGAGGCCTGTATTTTTGCCAGTGTTTGAGGTTAGAAAGCTGTATTCAGCCTCTGGGTGGAGGTGACAAGCCAAACTACAACACTTTCTCTATGGCTGTATCTGCTCTACTTAAAACTTGAAGTCAACACAATGTCCTAAGAGTCAAAACAATTACAAAAAATGAATAAAACATACATAACCACGCCCAAAAAAAAGGTCAAAGAAACTAACTTTTTGGTTTAATATAAATGAGTAAGCAAGAAAAAAAAGGTTAATAAAATATCAGAAAACTCACTTAATGAAGGGATTATTGAAAGTCAGTGGAGGAGTGAAGATTTGCATTTTTCTTCTGTTTTTTGGCTAACATATCTTAAGTATGGTATTTTACAAAAGTCAACCAGGCTGTTTATTAACATCAGCGTTAGGATGAACACTGAGGATATGTTTTGTTTTTTTCTCAGCCAAATATTTTCTCAATAAGGAGTGTTGTTTAGAAATTGGCATAAAATAGTAAAAAAAATCTGGACAATAACATTTAAAATTAATGAAATATAGCCATGTCGTCCAGCAGCAATAACTAGTGAACACAGTTTATTACAGTGTACTTTTCTTTGGTTTAAAGCAAACAGAACATAAGTAAGTAAATATTAGATATTTTTCTTGGTCCCGTTTACAGGTTTTGAGATTTGTGATGAGTTTAGGGGTCTACCTCCTGCTTAAATAACCACAACTCTCAATTTATCTGGAGAATATGCACCAATTGTTTCTGCTTCTAAACGGGCAAAAAGGGAGGAGAGGAGTCTGGGTTTCTTTTTTAAGACTAATGGCTGAAAACTGACTTTAAAATAGCATTTGACTGGCCTGCAGGGATATCTTTTTTAAGGAATGAGAGGGGAATATTGAGATTCATATGAAGCCCAACACACTCCTATTTATAATCAAGAGACTTGTTAACTTGTGTCTGAATTTGCTCCTCATTATGTTTCATATTAGCTCAAGGGGGACCTGCCCTAAAAGTCCTCTCATTCACTCAGTATTACTCAGTATAGATCCTTTAAATATGGTCTTATCTATGTGAGGTAGGCCTGGCAGCTTCATATCGTTAGGCTTGATTACATGTAAAAAGGAGAGTGCAAGTAAAGATGGGCAGATTGCCATGCAGTAGAAATATACATGCACAAGATAATTCTGTGCACCATGAAATCGTCTCTGGACTCCAAAGAGTAAAGACTTCATCTGTATGCAGGAGGCTTCAGGCATTCATCTCTAGCAGCGTGACAGGCGGCAGAGTTGCCATGGTGTCTGTCAACAGGTTAAGCTCACTGGGATCAGCCAAGCATCAAAGTCATTTCAAGGCTTAAGATCTGACATAGAGATACAGTGGTGGAGGAAGGAAACATCAAGACCTCTACACAAAGTGATGCCTCTCTGCTTTCAGAGCTTTGGCTGATGGAGGTTTGTGTGAGTGTTGAGATAGAAGAGGAGGGATTGTGATCACATAATCACTGGGTTGTGTCTTTGATTGTAGAAGATGACAACATTTTCACTTCCTTAACATTTCTTTAGACGAAGACCGTGGCTGGTTCTGTTTTAAGAAAAGGAAGGAGCTTTACAGCCACTGTTTTTTTCCTGGTTCTGTCTGATGATTTTTAACCTTGGGTGTCTTCTGTCCTTTTAATAGAACTTAAAAGATGGACAAAACTTGTATTGAAAACTAATTTTGGGAATCATTTTGAATCCAGAGATCTGCAGACTCCCTTGAAGCAAATCTCAATGTGATTGTCTTTACGTCTTTGCTGGTCGGTGGTCCATCTTACTGAAGTGGAAGTCAATTTTACAAAGTGTGGCGCCCCTGTTCACCCCTTGGCATTTTATGAGGAAGACATATCTCTTTTATCTCTTAGTAGCATTTTATCATATTCTATTTTGGTTTCTTCTTTATTTTTTTAAATGCTGTCAAGAATTGTTTTTGTCTTTTGAAGGGTTGTCTTCAATGTTCACTTTGCTCCTCTTTAGCCCCTTTCAGAGTGTGATTCTGAAACATTGAATCTCCGCCATCGTAACATCTTTGTGCATTTCTATTGTTTCACAGTCTGTGAATTTAATTTGCTTAACGCAGTTGCTGAAGCATGACGTGCTGAGAAACTTAGGCGCTTGTACCTTTAAATAGGATTAAGACATGGTTTTATGATTTCAAGGGAGGTGGGTTGTTGAATACTGGCTGTCTTAAAGGCTTTATATGCGATTTTTTGATCCAGCAGATGTCGCCCTTGAGCACCAGCATGAAACCAAAACAACTCGTGCTGCATTGTTGTGTTAGCATGCTAATGCTAGCGATCTTTATTATGCTCGATCTTCACACTGCATGTAAATTTACCCAAAATGACTGTAAGCAGTGAGTACAGTATGTTATTCTTCTTTTCTCTAGTCCCTCAATTAAACAACTTTTATATGCGAGGGGATGAGCCGGCTGGCCATCCTGGCGATGTAAACAAAGTGAAGATAGGACTCGGAAAACTCGGAAAGCACCACAGACAGTGGGACTCGGGTGTTACACCCATTGTAGACAGTCATGACTCAGAGTTCAGAGGATATACTTGATTTCTATTACATTTAAGTGTGGCATATAAAGCCTTTAATAGTAGAAATTGAGTATTGAGGGAAACACCAATGAATTACTGTTTGACATAACACCTGCCTTTACTCTAGTATATACTGTCATAACCTTTAAGGTAAGTAAAACATATTATATATACTGTATATGAGCCTTCAAATGTTAAGTCTGCTTTAAAATGTTGTCAAATGTATTCTAAGTTGTCCATCATTTTTTCTGTTGTAAAAATACAATGAGCATTTTACCTTCAGATCATTTAAATATCACCCTGACATGACCATCACCATGTAATGGGAAAATGTTGCATTTTTGATTCCCACTCCATATCTAGAAATTCCTTTATCAACAATTAATATGAGTTAAGTGGGTACAAAGTTATTGTGACAGTTATTTTATTTTAGCCCTGAACTAACCATGTCCTGTTACCAGTCTCGGCTCATTGTTCTCAGTAAGAACATCATGGCAGAGGCAAAGAGGGAAGAGAAATGTTGGTGGAGAAGATGAAAAGATGGGCAAGATGCTGCACACAAGTACATGTTAGGTTGGCTTTTTTAAATGTAGCGTGACTTCGTTTCACTCTGAGAGGCTGGCTGGTTGAAAAAATTCCAGGCCTTGCATAATGTTGCTTTAAAAAGAAAGAGTTAGTCTCAAGCTCTGTGAGGCTCTAGTGTTTGTTACAAAGTAAAATCAGTAGGATGGATAACTTGATGAGATAGAAGCACAGATGACTGAGCAGAGAGGTTGCATGCAACATGCAAAGCCAGAAAAAAGAAGAAAAGAAAAAAAGATCTCTCTGATTTGTTTGCCTTATTTTTATATGATTAAGGAAATTTCCACTCAGATCAGCCAGATTCACTGAAAACAACAAGTGGAACGATGACGTAATGGATCATTTTACTATGCAGGGCAGATCAATGTTCTTGCAAGTCGTTTAATTTCATAAAATCTGCATGTTTTTTGTTTTCTCTCTAAAAACAGAAACGTATTCTTGTAACTATGATTAGGATTTCTTGATAATTCTTAATCAAAGGACATGACTAAACTATGACTAGTTTTTCTTTAAATAATTGAAAAAATAAATTAACAGGTTACTAGCAATGGATATTTTTTAACACGAGACATATTGTGCATATTTTATAAGAAATAATACAACACTTAATATTTTATATAGAAATACTGTTGACAGTAGGAATGAGGCCGTAAATACAGTATATGTAAATTCCTTGTTTATGCAAACCAACTTGGCAATGTACTCATTCCATTATTATTATTTTTATCAACTCACCTTTCCCAGAAGGCTGTGGGAGAACAAACCCTGGCAGCAGGAAGGGAGCTCCTGTTGTCAGTCCGGCTGGTTTCAGCTCTGTCACTCCGTATGTGGTTAGACACGTGACCAGGTTAACCAGGTCCTTTAGGGCATCTTTGGATTCGTCCTCTTTAGCCTGCTCCAGTCTGGATACAGAAACAGAAGAGTGTATCAATGTTCATAGAGGAAAAACACTCAAGGATTAGAGCATGAAAGAAGTCCTGATCTGTACCTGAGCATGAGGTCACTGAGGAAGGCGTAACCCTGACACATTCTAAAGTCGTCCAGCAGGGTCTGAGACACATCGCTGGAGTCTTTGAGGAAGCAGGAGAGGCCGGCGAACATCTCCACTATCTCCAGGGGGGAGAGATCGTCAGACTGCTGCATGTTCTGAACGCACGTGCCCAGACATTCCTTCTCTGTGGACGGAGAAAGAGAGAACAGAGCAGTTAACACAGAATGTTTGGGCTTGACCCTTATTCGGGGTTCCTCTGCTAATGCATATGGGTGCATAGCTTTTAAAAACAGCAGGCATACTTTAGTTGTTGGACATCTGTTTCTTTTGCCTAGCTCCAGTAATTGGCACCTCTAGGTGTTGCTGTTAAATATTCAATAACATGTTTGTTGTGTTTCCAATGATATATCACACCTTGAATGTCAAAACACAATTAAGCCGTACTCTCATGGGGTATTACTTTTCTTCTTTTTGTGTTTTGGTGCGTCTGATCCTTTTTCTGTGTTTGTCGTCTTGTAGTGGTTTATAAACAGTTACCAGCATTACCGCCTCCTGGATTGGGGTGTGACTGCCTATTTTCTCCTCTCAGACATAATGTTCATGTTAAGTCATGTTAACATTACACCCCTACCCATCTCTATGTCAGACTGTTTAATGAGGTTAAGATGCAAATTCAGCACACATCAGCTGTATTGAGGGCAATGAAAACTTTAAGAGATTTGGAGTGCTTTGAATCGAGAGAGCAGCAGCTCTTTACCCATGACCTTTAACAGCTAAGAAGCCTTCTTTCAGAGTTTCTCATTCCTCAGTTGTGTCCATATATAATGAATGAAGCTGCAAAAATATTTCCCAACCCTTTTCTTCTAAAAGTGTTCTGCTATAAATCCACAAATTAAAATGGCCTGTATGACATGAAATAAAGGGTTATGCGAGTGTTTTTCACATATACAGTATATTGGAAGGAATGGTGACACATTTGGTCATTTGGTTTGTTTTTAAAGCCTTGTTAACTATTTTGTTTAATCAGTCAGTATTCTCACAGTGTGTCTGACACAAGATCATGACAGAGGTTTGTTTTGGATGCACTCTCTCGTTAGATCTGTAGGTTCCAGTTTACATCCCCTCCGTGTAGATTAAACAACATGTTCCAGTTTTTCATGGGACCAAATGTACGTCTGATTAACTCAAGATGTGGTTCGGATGAATGCATGTTAAATATATCCTGGGTGGGCTTTGAACCTATAAACATTTCTGTTTTTTTCCTGGTTGAATGACTCATAAATCATCTACAGTTGTACAGTATTTACCATGTATGTATTTGACCACGTTGACGCTGAGGCCGTGTCTGGAGATGGTGGTCAGCACCTCCCCTGCGCTCCTCCTCCAGGGCAGGTTGTGGGGGGGGCACCAGGAGGTGATTGCACTGAACAGCAGCTGGAGGTCGTCTTTTTGAGCGAGCTCCTCGGCCGGGGACACGAAAGTGCAGAGCTTCACCAGGATCTGTGAGAGTAGAGCGGGCAGAGAAATGGCTTTAGGCAACAGGCATTCATTGTTAAGTGTTTTGGGATCGTGCCGCATTGTGATTCTGCATTTCAACAGAATCATCTCCTTGAAGCAACTGATACATTTAGCCTCAGTGAGTCATGATGTAACCTGTGCCTTTTGTATTGATATCATTATTGTGTTGACAACATGAAGATTTTCTCATCTAAGGTATTACTGCCCTATAATGAAAAATCGAATGCCCATATTGCGATAATCAGGAAATTACGATTCATTGCACAGCTTTAGTAGAGTCAAAAACAGAGACTGTATACTTTACAATGTCTCTGATTGACCTTTCACCATTACAAGTCATGGTCAATAAGCTGCAGAGGTTTTCTTTTATTAAAAAAAACAGACCTGGAGATTGAAACAAGTAAAACAAATATTATACAAATAATTTCCATGTTAAATTTCTGTTTATCAAATGCTCTTCAACAGAGATATGGGGCTTCCAGCAGAACTGCTAGCATTTGTATATCCAAACTAATTTGAAAATCATTTGTTAATTCTCCACAGAAACTTCACAAGACATGCTTTATACTAAGTGAAAAGAAAAAACGGAAACCTCTCTTTAGAGGTAAAATATGGTTTTAACATCACAAAAACTCAAGCTATTTTTAAATCTCCAAACAACAATTTGTATTTATTTTTTCAAACTCAGGAGTATAACAATGCAGCTGAAAATGTCTCTTTTGTGTTTTTGTTCAGTATATACTAATAAAAAACAGAAATTATTCTTTGTATGAGTGGCTTCAAAACTAAGTCAACAGGTAGAACTGGATGGAAAGCTTCTTTTGAGGTCCTTCATAAAAACAGCTGTGACGTTACCCGTCAGGAGTCATCTTACCTGGACAAAGACTTTCTGCAGCAGCGCCCTGCGGTCCGCCAGGGGAAGCTCCTGCTGGGTGTGGCCCTGGCCGGAGGTCTTATCCTGAGTGGGTGTAGGTGGAGGTGGTGCTGGAGGCTGTGGTGTGGACACGACCGGAGCCTCAACCATGTGAGGCAGGTCAAAGAACAGGTAGAGACATTTGACCAGCGTGGAGGGTACAGACATGGTCGTCATGCAGTCCACCGTTTTCTGATGGGGGAGAGACAGACGAGGAGAGAGAACAAACAGAGCGTACATTAAAATAAGAAACTATCCTCACAAGAGAGCTGAGAGAGCCCTAAAACAAACTTGTATTGAGATGTGAAACCATCAATGCAGAGAAAGATTTGCAGATGTCTGCTGTATCCGAACTTGTGTATTGGTTGAATATTGATTTTTATTCCGGTCTGTTATTTCTTAATAACAGACAGAACGCACCTTGCATTAACGTCCCTCCTAGGCGATAAGATTAAAGGTTGACAGGCTTAACGCTAGATGTGAATGCACCTCAATTTGTCCTGACGCATATTGAGATCAAATCCCTCAGGCCACATATGGAGGTTGTTTAAGATGCATTTGTCCACATTGGTTTTGTAGTGTGTAGGCTCGTGTGTCCTGGTCCACATTAAGGACCGCCCATTCTCCCAGTAACCACGGCAGCAGATCATATGAATGCCTATCAGACCAACAGCTCTCGTATTTCTCTGCTGTGTCTTCATCATATTTTTATTTTTTCACTTCTCCTACCATTCTATTTAATTCATGTATAACAGTGGAGTTTGCACAAGAATTCACTTAAATTAAATGCAGTCTCCCTCAATGAATAAATTGGGACAGCTTTGTTTTTACTTGGGATCCTGTACTGACAAGCTTAATAACAAAGTGCAGTGTAGATACAGATAATTCATAAAGGAGACAAGGAGATAGACGTGCATCAGTCCATCGTGCTCCATCTATCAGCAATAGACTCCCTTTAAAATCTTCAAACTTTATACTGCCTAGGTTTAAAAACTGAACTTCTACAGAGTGCTTAAAGTGTGCTTTTGGTTTGTTAAATGGTGTTTTTGTTGTTGTTTTGACTCATGGTTGAGTTTCTGTGAGGAAAATAAAACATCAGAAGTACCTTTGAGGGCTTTATGTGTATGTCTATGTGTGCTTTTACGTGCGAGTGTGAGTGTGTGTATATGTCATCATGGTGTGGAAAATGGCTGGAGAACGAGATGGGCTTTGTGCTCAGTGAGGCGGATGATTCAGATAATCAAACACTGCCTCCTACACGCACGCACGCACGCACGCACGCACGCACGCACGCACGCACGCACGCACGCACGCACGCACGCACGCTGTAGATGATCCTCCCATTTACCCTTGCACCACAGAGAGAAAAGTACCCACAAGTATTAATAACAGAGCACGGGGAAGATGGATGAAGAGGAAGATGCGTGGAGAAGAAAGACTAAAAAATGAGCGAGTCAGTGAATTGACAGTGGAAGCAGATGAGTCTTTTACTAATAGTGAGTCATAATGATTAAAGGCTGAAGCAGCACCTGTGTGCGTGTGTGTGTGTGTGTGTGTGTGTGTGTGTGTGTGTGTGTGTGTGTGTGTGTGTGTCTGACATATTGCCCCCAGCTGCTGCTTTCAGGTCAAGGTTAGTGGGAACAGTCAATCAGAAGAGAAACCAGAGGGGCAAACCCATTTTTATTGGATGTGTGTATTTGAACGAGAGAGAGAGGAAGACAGAAAGGAGGAATGAGAGAGAGATCGAGAGAGACAATGAAAGATAAATAGACAAAGAGAAGAGGAAGAGTAGGCAGTCAAAAGAGGAAGTAAAAAAAAAAAAAAAAAGTGCGTGGAAGAAGAGGGACCAAGATGCAGCACAAATAATGCTGTTCTATCATCTAAAGGGAGGGAGAGGTGGAGAGGGACAGCATTAACGAGAGAAAGAGAGAGAGAGGGGACAGCATGGGGGGGGGGGGGGGGGGGGGTGACGTCAGGTTTATTGAAGGCCGGCTGCCTGGAGAGTCCTTTGTTTTACTGTGTGAGACACCAGAGGAAAAGGAATATGAATTTATTAAACCCACTCTCTCTCTCTCTCTGTAACATACACACACAAACAGCACCATGATTTAGTTTGTGTGTTTGTTTGCTATAGAACAAATATGCATAAGCACAAGGAAGCTGTTACAAGGCTTTCACAAAAGATGTGGGAGTATTTTAGGACACTTAAAGAAACACACAGATGCAGTGAATTATTTGATGTGGTTGTTAAAGCCAACATCAGCTCTGTGTCAAAAACGCAGCTCATCATTAATTTAAACCAGACTGCTGTGTTTGTACAGTGTGTATGTGTGAAAGAGACAAACACAACAACAACAGGGTTGGCAATCAGGAATGTTTAGGGAGCCGTTTTCACAAATGCACTCTTGAAAATTTGGAGATAATTTCAGGAGGACTGCCCCTGAAAGCCTCCTGATGTTGTTGTTCCCACATGCACCTCACAGAGGGAGATTATCCCTGTCCGAAAGGGGGGGGGGGGTCTTCTGAGGCAAGACATGATGTAAAAAAATAAAATAAATGAAAGGGGCGGTCAAAGCAACAGAGTCCGCTGTATGATGCTGTAATGAGAATATCTGCCTTTGTGTCCATGCTATGTGTAGTACGACAGAGTCCCAATATGAATAAAAGAGCGGAGAAGAACAAACTGAAACCATAATACAGCAATTTGGTCACGTTAACAGAGATCACAACGGTCGCGTGCATACACTCTAATGTCATGCACAGATTGCAGGAAATAAACAACTTCACTCCCTCCCACCTGCTCGAGGTCAATTCTTCTGATTGTATCCAGCTGCGTTCTAACATCAGCTCAATCGGACTTCATAAAAAAAAAAATACTCTGGCAGCAGAAACACCAGGTAAGGTCTCTGTGAAAAATGTATCTGTTTGCTCTCACACATATACAGCTCACCATGAATCTTCAGGAGTTTTCATGACTTTTGTGCAGCTGTATAAGCATTAAAGCAGAATTATTTCTAATTTGAAAATCAGAATTCTACTGTTTGAATTTTGAATCGTAAAAAAAGAATAAATTCAGATTGCTGAAGAGTATCTAATGTTGTAAGAATCATCAACGTTTCTTAATAAAGGCTCCAGTAGAATGATTCAAATAACAGAAGGACCGAAGTTTCATTTGTCAGCCTGAGATTGTGTCAGAAATTAAGAATCTGGCATCTTCTTACATAAAATACAACACAGTCAAGCTGGCAGTAATGCTGTCTAAAAATATCCTTCAACCAAATCAAATGTATAGAAGAAAGCTTTGAAGAGGCAGACACTCAAGCTTAAAAAGCCTCATATAGAAATCTGAACAGTGACGTGTTTGTGGCTTATGTTTAGTGTCTGATGTGGTTACCAACAGACACTTCACATGTGAATAAAAGAAAAACATTTTCTCCTCAGACAGCAGAGAAGCTGCTGTAAACACGAGTATTTTTGAACTGCAGTGTAAACAGATGCACTTTACTGTCCCCTCTCAAGACATAGACACTAAAACTTCTCTGCATGAATACTGCAGAGCATCATGTATAAAGCACAATGCAGCAGAAAAAGACTAGGACTAAGAGAAACTGTATTACATATCACCTTTTGTCTCAAACTTCAGCTTCCAAAATTATTCTTTCAAAACAGCTTTCTTAAAGGATCATTCCTGTATTTTTTAAATCGGAGCCCTATTATACAAATGTTGGGATCTAAATGACTAAATCTAAACAAAAATAAGTAACTTTGTTGGGCAATGGAGTTGATTAGCTTTTAGTGTCAATTTAATGTCTTGAAAGAGATGGGGGGAGGGCTGTTTTAGACAGTGTGGTCCATCTCTGCAGGAATCATTTCTGTATAGTTGTCAGAAACCTAGTAGACAATTCAGTCAAAAGAAAGTACTGTTGCTTTCATCAGATGCACAATAGCCTGTGCTGGAGCAATTCAAAGGCATATTGTAAGTATTAGTCATCTAAAACCCAAAACATGTTGTAATATGGCCCAGGTTTAGAAACATGGAATTCCCCTTTAAAGTAGCTACTTGTACGTAGCAGTGCTTGTATAAACCTATGCTATAAAAGGATCCTGTTATGTGTATTTTTTTTAACAGTAGGAGGGGGTAAGTGTGGTGAGAAGCAGGGAAGGTCTAAATGGTTTAAATCTTCCCTTTCAAGAGAGGAAGTGTTTGACTCGAAAACAACAGCGGATTTCTGATGTGCAACAGAGCAGGAAAAGCAGCCAGTCAGCCAGTCGGCCAGCTGACAGCGAGACCTCAGACCCCAAGACCTCGAGAGGAATGCAGGCTAAAAAGTTCAAAAGATGTCTGCTGGCTAGAGTACAAGAGCAGAGACACTGAGAAAAACAAGACCTCTACGGTCTAACCTTTAAACCAGGAGCACAACACGCAGACATGTCAGGATTTAGAGCTCTGTTAGAGCAGAGGGGGCATGGTGACCAGATGCTAAACATGCAAATATCTGACTTAGTCTCTTTGTGCAGGGATTTTAAAATTAAAGCAATAACACTTGAATTTAGGAAAACAGGACAATCTGTGAGTAGGAAATGAATATCAGGGGAAAAACGCAGCAATCCTTCATCCAGTGCAGGAAAGCAGATTGAACAAATAGCTGTGTTTGGGGGGAATAAGCTGGGAGGGTCCACAAGGGATTTTGACTTGTATTCAAGAGCCTGTTACTCAGTTCTGACTGAGGCTGATGCTATTTTCTGCTACGAGATCAAAGAGTGGAAATGCAAATAGGTCAAATAGAGACTGAATGCTGAGAAACCTCAATTTTTACATATTGTTTCCTCAGATTTCCTCCTTCAGCTAAACTTATTTGAGAGGGAAATCCTTCCAAAATTTAAAATACAGATCAGAAAAAAGGGCTGGGTAGACTCCAAGTGTGAACATTCAGTACAAAAAGAACACCGACCTGTCCAGAGGAGGCTAACAGGTTGATGGTGGTCAGAAGCATCCATCCACGACTCGCCTCCTCGCTCTGGTTCACCTCCAGGAATTGGACTATTGCTCGACTGGCTGCCTCTGGAAACACACACAGGACCACACACACACACATACAGAGAGTTAAACAGATGAAAGGTGACAGCTCATTGTGGCAGGCAGACGGGCAATCTGGAACAATGATTAGTTATGCAACTAATAAATCATCTTGTTGGATGTGACAGGAGAAAAACGTCAGCTGTAGATAGAAAGATGTTATTAAGGCACGTCAAAATGTCATTTAACAGATCCAGCCTCAAAACGTTTTCTCACGATTTTTATACACTGATAGAGTAAAATACTTTATTTTGTCCCCTTCCATCAGTATAAATAATGAGAATTTAAGAAACTAAGATTGTGCCTTTTCCACCTCTCAAGTCTGTTGTCCTCCAGTCAGAGTGTAGCCGTCTGACTGCCTAACAGTTCTACACAAGCTAGCCAAGTCAGCTAAACTTTTAGCATAACTATTGATTAACATATTTATTTTATATTTTTTTCTTCATTAAAACCTTTTCAGATACCTGTACTCAAGTACTGACCGATAACTCAGATAGTCTCTGTAGAGTTCAGGTATAGGATCAGTACCTTTACTAGCATCTCCCTGATAAATGTTACAGCATTTTAGGATATCCCATAACTACTACAAAAGGAAGGTAACCCTACAGAATGAATAACACTTGTGACAACATGACGCTGGGTTGAGGCAGAAGCAGAAACTGTACGATACCCAGCCTGCTAGCTAAAGCAGCAGCTAGGTAGGAACTATGAATGATCGAGCTAGCATTGCCGGCTATCTTAATGACCTCGTGTCTATAACAGAGGTCTGCACTATAGACCCACCTTAATAAATAACTTAGATTATGAAAAAACTTTTTGGAATTTGTATCTACGTTAACGGATAAAAACAATTTAGCTAATACAGCACTCCTTAAAGTAACACAAGTGTTGTGTCCCAAATCACCTTACCATCCGCTAAACCGCTTTTATTTGATTTTTGTTCTGTTGCTTCATCAAAGACACTAGCTCAATATTTATTAGTAAGCAGTACATTCTGACAAAATGTCATTTTGGATCCTTGTGACAGATGTGGAGGCAAAAAACTTTGACGTGCTTTGCATTGTGGGATTGTTTGCAGAAAGTATGACGAGCTTTGGGATGGAGAGATAAATAGACTTTTAACAGCGTTTGTCTGAAAGCAGATGAGATTAAGTCTAGTCACTCTTGAAAAGATTTCAAATTTTTAGAGCAAATCAGAATCAGTTTTTTTTATGATGACAGAGTGCTGTGGTTCATTGGAGAGCCTGAGTCGACTCGTGACTCAGTGTGCAGAGGCCTGGTGACCAGCTGGAGGAGAGCGTGATGAGACTGTAGCGTTACAAAACCAGAGCTGTTCTCTGCTTGAAAACAACACACGCTCAGACTGGGACAAGAGTGAGAAGATAGAGAAGGAGAAATCAGAGACGGGAAGCTGGAGACTTTCAGACCCTGTGTGTGCGTGCGTGTGTGCGTGTGTGTGTGTATGAAAGTGAGTGTGCTCCTGTCAGTCTGTGTAACGCCTCTCCTTCTGGTAAAGCTGCAGTCAAAGCTGTCACTCCTGTCAAAGCTCTTCGGAGTCGCTGCTTCCTCACCTGTATTACACTTTCATCATAACTTCAGAGGAACTTTCTGTGGAACTTTCGCTCACACTGTTGCCAGTTTTATCGTGTGATTTTGTTTCCCCATCTTATATCAGCATTATTTTTTCACAAGTGTAGTCATTTCTTTATTTGTTATTACCCCCGACTTACGTTAAAAAGCGCTGCAATAAATATCCTGCTTGTTTTGTGTATTTCAGAGAAATGCATGTCATTTTGGCTTCCTTAATTGTTATAGTCATAAGGGTATGGATCTATGTATTTTTACAGTTATTTGAATAAATTCAACCCTTGTCACAAATAAATAAGCAGCTTTTCACACAAAAGAAATGATGCACAACAATTGAAGAAACAGGCATGGTGACATCAAATTAAAATGAAATTAACAATTAGAGAATTTATGATGTTTTTATTTTAAGTTGATTTTAATTTGTCAGAATCCAGTTGCCTTTGGATCAAGTTTTGAATATATTTCAATTTAAATTCAATAAAAACTCCCCTCTTCTTCTTACACACTTGGTTCATTCCTCTGCCAGCATCTTTGCCAGCATCATGGACAAGTGTAGAGGGAACAGGTGGAAAAGTGTTTGTTATAAACAACACCTTTTTTTTTTTTCCCTTCACAAATGAACTCTTGTATCAGTTAAGATACGTGACTGCTTCTTCTGCATGGTGCAGGCTTCCCAGATTTATCTTCATGCCAGCAAAGAAGGATCTGGATACTGAAGGTTTTGTGTCTGTCTGTGTTTGTGTTTTTGGAAGGTCTCTAATTAAAGTTCCTGTGAGAAACTTTTAATTCAGAGAATATCTTTTCATGCTCTTTATCGCTTTGCTGATGTTGTCCTGTACATATGTAATGTTTTCTGATAAATCTAATGAGTGAGAGACCGTTGATTATAAAGATAAATCTCTATATTTCCTCTTTAAGATAGTTCATGGTATCAAATCCATCTACATTTTTACATAAAACAATGATAGCATCTTGATTTTGAAGAAGAAAAAGAGAGAGGATCCTTTATTATGTCTATAGGTTAAGGGAAAGAAAAGCACCTGCCGAGGTGCGTAGGAGATAAGTAGGTCATTTTGTGGGTTATTGGAAGAAATGAAAGAGCGATGTCAACACGTACTCCTCGTCCTATCATTACGGTGATAAATCAAAGTGTCAGGAGCTCACCTGTGGATTTGTTAGAAGCTCTCCGTCTGATCTCGGTCACCATGAGTCGTGACACCTGTGTGGTGAACTGCAGCAGGTCAGAGAACTTCTCGATCATGCTGCTGGAGGGAGCATTCCCAAACACCTGGAAAGTCAAAACAGAGGAAATGTCATTAAAGCAGAGCAATGACACATTAATACATTTCAAGAAAAGTAGGTAACAAACGAAGGACTGTTCATGTTCTATGACAGAGATTATGTTTAAAACAAGGATGACAGTGACGGTAAGTAAAGAAAATCTGACATGTATTCATTTTAAAGTGTTGTTGCATGATTGCTGACAGTAAAATTATAATGAAATCCCATTAAAGCCTGCAGCTCCTCATAGTCAGGGCTGTAATCACATCAAGCAGGAGCACACAGATAACAACTTTATTTACACAGCACCTTTAAAAACACAAGTGCTTTGACATGCACACAAAAGCCACGTTAGAACCTTGGAAGATATTACCAAGGTGGGGGATCACTGGCCTACATCTCTCTTTGGCATGTCCTAATTATACAACCATAGACACACTGCAGCAGTCTGAGCCTTTGCTGGAACAGGACATAAACTGCTCTTCATTCTTCAACGACTCATCGTGTATTTTATTAATCCAGTAAATCGGACATGGAAAGAGGCCCTGGGGCCGGGCAACCTGCTGCATCAGGGAGTGCTCTCATTGTACATTCTAACATGAATTATGCCACCAGTGAGTGAATCCCAGCCAGAGCTGCACAATTGGCTGATAAGTGAAGAGACCCTCGGTTAGACTCTCCAGTGTGATGGGGACACTCGACTAAGCTGCTTGTAGCAGTGGCTACAAAACAAAGAGGCTCGCTAGCACCAACCCCCCCATCAGTGTCGCATACGGAGAGACAGTAAACTGAGAAGCCGTTTTCAGTTGGACAAACATGCAGATCTTTTCTTTAAATAATCCATGTGTGACTATTTATAGTTTTGTTTTTGCTTGACTTTCTTTTCAATTTCTATGCAATGAGGCATTTCATTCCCTTTAGTTCATTTATGTTATACATGCTTTAGCAATCACTTGGAAATCTTATGTACAATCTGTACGTGCTTCCAAACGTCATTATTGTTGGAGTCATTACATTTTGTCTGTAATCATTTGGTCAACCCTGAATTTAACTTAATCAAGAACAGTAACATGCAATAAGCAAAACTCATTTACTGTTCTCTGTCTTACATGGTTATATACTTCATTTGCATATTTCAGGTTTGCGATTGTGGGTGAAACAAAATAGAGCACTTTGAAGATGTCACTTTTGGCCTTCAGTACTCTGATAAACATTTCTTGTTCAAATATATTTTGATACCCTATATGGAAAGGGTTAAACAAATTATCAGTCTATCAAAAAATACTTGATAAACACTATGATAAAAACTGGCAGCTGAGTCATCAGGGAGACTCTTGAGAGGAAATGTTTCCATTCATATTAAAGTTGATCAATGATTTTTGTATATTGATAAATAATGATGGATGATCTATTTAAAAGAGGAAACCGTGCTGGTCATTTTTACTGTGTATGATCTCATTCAGCAGTCATGGACGTTATGCAGAGCTGCATAATCACCTGCTGTCCTACAGACAGAGTATATCATCATCATCCTCATCATCATCAACCTTTATTTAAGTTCTCGGAGAGACCCTCATTTACAATGACATGGTGACGTGGATGTTATGGATATCATGCTGCTTGGTAAATCATGTTGATATTTTTAAACTTTTTTCTTAAGGTCACAGTCATTTAAAAACACCTGGATTTCAAAAAATATATATTGACAGCACAAATTAATATATGCAGCTCAGGAGGTCTATAACTACATATATCATTTTCTGATATGTACCGGTATATACTATTTATGACATGTTAGGGAGCTTGGCTTGAGTTCATTCATATCTTTCAACATCTACCACTGATAGAAGACATTACTTATATCCTGTCATTTTTGTTGATGCAATCCTTGTTCGAATATGAAGATTGTCAGTTTAAAGCCTGAAGTTTAATTAAAGGAAATTTTTCAATTTAACTTGGTGTTGACAGTCTGTGGAGGTTCTCACACACCTGCCTACCTGGTGTGTGTTAGACAACATTCACATTGTCAGATTTTTTTGAAGACCAGGTTTATGTCAGTAGGCATCCGTGTCATCATCACAGAGTTCAGGGTTTAATCCAGTGTCAACGACAAGTTAATGATAGAGACTGATTCCATGTACAGCAGTCTGATCATTTAGATGGTATATATATTTGAGCTGAATTTAGACATCATTACACACACTTCATTAGTCTCCATTTGGCTGTACCAGTTTCCTTATTCTAATGAATGTGTGCAGCGTCTAGACAAGTGTGTATGAAAGTAAGTTTTAACCACAGGTTACAGTTTCCAGATAGTCACCAGGTGACATCATATTTGAATTACTACAAACCCATTCATTGACTGTCTTTGGACACCATGAATCCAACATCAAACCTGGTTAATTATCATCTTTTTAGAAACGACATAGAGAGAACAGCAGGTTTGAATTTCTTCTGCGGAGAAATCACATAACCCCTGAGTGCTTTTCAGTTTAATGTCGCCTCTGATTCTTTATGGGCAGTGTCATCTGGGCTTTAACAGCAGCATCATAGACCATCTGTGTTTGGGTTCTCTCTCTTTCCCTGATGTGACTTACCCTGTTAAACACGGGAAGCATCATGTAGAGCTTCTCCTCCTGCTCCTTCTGCGTCATGTGGCGAGGAGGGTGGCACAGCTCCGAGAAGAGGCGTCTCAGGTGCATCAGGCCAAGCGCGTTGTCCTGGGGGCTGCATTCCTCCTGCCTCGGCCGCCCCATGATCCTCTTCACCATGTTCATCTTGAGCGGCTTGGTCAGGGCAAAGGCAGCCCTGCAGACAGGAGAGGGAAGAGGTTAAAGACACATTTTATTACTTAAAAGTCCTGCCATGTTTCCTCTTTGGGAATAACTTCACCATGACCACATTATAGAGTGTCAAGAATAATACAACTAAAATAAGAAAAAATGCCTTCGTCCAGAAAACAATAGGGCATGGACTGAGAAAGCCAGAGTCACCCAAGCCCTCCCAGAGAGGGGCGTGGTCAAACACAGCTCATTTGCATTTACAGCTACAGTCACAGAAACAGCCTGTTGTGAGCCGGGCTGAAATAGAGGGGTTTATAGGCATGTTAAAATACAGGATCAGAGTGGATTTTTAATAAGAAACTTCTAAGACATGTTTTGGGGAGCTCTGTGACTTATTTAAACTTGTTGAAAAGGAGGATAATTTGTGACCTTTAAGTAGACAGTAATAGCAATAATACTTTTACAGTCGAACAGTCAAGTACAACTGAAAAGACCAGCTTAGCAATGAATTGATTATTTTTTTGAATGAGTTTAATTGCCTAATATTTCAGTTATCAATTCATCCTTTTGGTAATATGGCAAGCAAAAAAAAAAAATCGAACATTGAGGGTATTGGAGGCCAAGAGGTTAGTTTGTGAACCCCATGTACAGTCCTCTCTCTCACTTACCCACTCTCTCTCTTTCCCTGATTTCCAACTCTATCCACTGTCCTCGTGTCTCTCTAATAAAGCAAAAAAATAAAATCTGTAAATAAAGCTAATGCATGAAACAGTGAAGCACAAGAGTGGAATATTTTTATGAATAGAAAAAGGGTTTCATTTAAAAAACAATAAAAACGGGTGAAGAATTTTAAAAAAGCCGCACATTGGAGTCAGATGTAGAGAAACGGACACGTTCATAAAACATTTCAAACTGTACTGAGTGACAGTATTTCAAACAGTTCCTTTGACACAAAGGAATTGATTGTGTTTGCACTATATAGGAGCTTGGTGCTCTTGCACATTGTAGTCTACATGTTGTACTTCACTATTCTTAAGACATCATAAAAGAACTGTGCCAATTCTTTGTTGCTTGGTTTGATATATATTTAGCAATCATTTTCACAGGTCCTGTTCCTTTCAGATATCTTGAAAATGGTTGCTAGGAGACTTCACAGAACTGCAGAGCCTTCATCCAACACAGACGAACAGCCAACAATAAACAACAGAATCAGCAGCCCGGAACTGTGCAACTATAACCTTCTCATCAATCAGCACCCAAACTGAAACACAGACAGTACGCTGCTCAAGGGTGCACCGACAATGAAAGGAGAGTCATTCTCAGTCCTTCTCTCCATGTGACAGAGTTTGAGCCTCCAGGGGTGAAATCATGTTATTGCACTAAATTAATCATATAAAACATGTGGACTTGTTTACTCAGCATTACGAACAATGACTAAACAGTTTCTATAACCACATAGTTACATTACTATGGCTCTTTCTGATCTCATGACCTACAGTATGTCGCAATGTTGAAGTGGACACAAAAGAGGCTTCTTGCATAAGCATTAAACGGTTGTACTGTTTGTGTTACTAACTGCAATTTGCTCAACATTGGGATTTCCTTAATGTCTGAACATTACGCTTCTGCTGATTTCACATTCTTCATGTGTTCAACTGCAGCTAAAAAGCACTGCCAGCTCACTTCCACTTCTCTCAGGAAGTTCAGCAAACATTAAGGAGAGTTAGGAGACATGACACTTGACCATGTAGTCCCTATTTTCCCAGCGGAGGACGCTCTCTCCTCACAGTGGATTATTGTCACTGTAGACATTAGTCCCTTTTAAATAAAATGCTCAAGGCCGGAGTTTTGCAGGACTGTTTGTCTTTGACCATTACAATCAAAATGCTTGTAAAATTAAGATTATGGTATGTGAGATCCTGAGGCAGGACGCTAAATCTTTTTTACCATCGTAATTGTGAAGTGCATATGCGCAGTAGTCACATCGCAGTACGTGCCATGTTCATCAAGTGTCCTAAAGCATGTCATGCAGCCACTTTTCATTTGGATGCAAACAATAACTGCCAGTTTTCTTGTTTCCATGGCTAACAATAAAACTCTGGCTGATAGCATCATCAGTAGACAGAGAACTGATCACTGCGCATGCAGTCTGTGTGTCCCCTGCATGTAAAAATGTTCAGGCTACAGGTGACTCCACTGCAGTCACAGATACACCAGCATGACAGGCAGACGCTCAATCACAGATCACAGCAACTAGCCCCCTTTTACTTACTGTTTTACACCTGAAGCTAACACTGTACAGTCATGTGTGAGTCACAGGCAGCTTACGAAGTTGAACAAAATCGTAAGGCCCTTATTCTAACCCTCTAATCAATTGACAATTATCAAAAGCAGTTAAGGGACCATTGTTGTTGGTGTTATAAACCACACTAAACGACTGTACGTCAAGGCTTTTAAGGCAGCTTGCTATGCAAAAACCACATGCTAGGGTGGCAATATTAAAGTGAAAAAGCAAATTAATCAATCATGACGGTGACAGACCTTCATTATGGCATTGTTGTGAGAGCCCTCTTCAAAAAGTTGCCCTGCACTTTACTTTATAAACGAATGCAATAAAGATTCAATAAAGGGTGGTCCTCCTGGGTGCCAATTTTAATTTAAAAATTCTTTCAAAGTCAATTTCCAATCTTAATTTAACTAATCAATCACATGATACACCATGTACTGGCACGGAGTCAGATAAAATGTTGAAAATGACAAAGTGACAAAAAATTAAATAAAGGTGACACAAAAATGTAAAATAAGCAGTGAGGACTTAAAGATAAAGAAGTTAAATTCATGTCTCTTTTCAAAAGTCTGCAATAGTTATGTTTCAGAAAAAGGTACTTCATTATACATTTCACTTAATGTTAAGAATGCCACTGAACTCTGTCCCTGAGGCCGATGTACTGAACTGAACTCTGTGCACTTCAACCAAAACAAAACAAAAGATTTAAACAGGGTGAGAAGAATTCACTGCCGGGTCGCTGTACTTACACCAGAGGAGTTGAAATTTCAGTCTAATCACAGATTCAAATTTAATGTATAAATAATATGCTTGTCCACTTTTTCCCTTAAAAAAGGGGACATTTAAACACAACATCTAGTGCTGGTATCACCGTGCAGAGAAACAAGATGCTGCATTGCTCATTCTCAGACAGATCACAGGAGAAGGTGTTTGAAATAAGCGGCCACATGTTCCTCACCATGGGTCTGTCACTCTTCACTCCGAAATCCTTGCTCAAAGGCATTTCAGAAGAAGCTCCTGAGGACCCAAAATGCATTTTTCTCCTCAGGCTCTCATATGCAGACTTAACTAATCTGGATTTAAACCAGCCTCCCCTCTGGGTATGAGCCCCTCTTAGCTGCCTAATTGACTCTTGGCAAGCTTTCCCATCTGTTGGCTTTTTAAATTTTTGATTCTATTGTTGTCAAATCACAAGTGCTGGCATTAAAGTGATATTAGAGTATTTTTAAAGTGGTCTGTAGACATAACTGGAGGCACAAAACTAATGATTGAATTATGTAACTGAGGATGCTCCTGCTTCCTTTCTCTGCTGCCAGTTTCCTCTTTTCAGAACAACAACCCGACTTTGTTCTCCTCTTGTCTGATTTTTATTAAAATGTTTGGGGCTTTTTGGCTGCAACAATTATTTCTTAAAAACAGCCCCATTTCCAAATCATTGCCAATCAATCAAATATATTTGCTTATAATGGCTGGTTTTTCATGGCACTATCGTTCTCTGGAGGAGGAAATAAAGTTATTTTGGCATGAACATCCTAATTTAAAATTTGTTTGCAGAGACTGGATAAAAAAAACATGATTAGAAAAAAGTAAATAAAACTCATTATTTTATGATCTCTTTTTCACAGGAAAACAATAAGACAGGTGGTTCCATTTGGTCCATATCCTGTTGTCCCTTACTGCCAGTTCAAGGTGGGATATTTACATCCTTGTGACGCTTTGTCAGTGATGTGTAACACACAGAGATGGGATGGTTGAGCGAAGTAATTTTGCCCCTGATCCGCCACCAAACGGAGTAACAGATGCCAACTGAGGGTGAGACGTTGGCAATGTGTAACGTCAGAGCAGGCAGGGCAGAACAGTGCAAGTGTCTCATACGTTAAGCTCCTGCTGTGTGTTTACAGGTCATGCCTCTTATGCCTCTGCAACACTTTCATGCAATGTGAAACCAAACACTGGGACTCCAATATTATTATGCCGTTGTGGAGGCTATGTGTAAGTACAAAGATTGATGATAGATGAAAATGGTTTCAGTGCAGTCGGTGACTCGATTGGCTGAAATAAGACATCCAATAAAAATAAAAGGCATGAGAAAACGAGCCTGCCTCTCAATTAGTTATTATGGTAGTGATCATTTTCCTGATTTCATCTTCTCAATCGTTAAGTGTCAAGTCTTGTGCAATACAGCATGATATTTGTGAATTGAATTTGTAAATAAAAGCAGGGTATCCTCTCAGGGGGTTGCTACCTCATTATGGACACATCCCTACCAGTCCAACTGAGATAGAGCAATGTGTATCCCCAGCTCATCCAAAAAACATCTGAATCCAAAGAACCAAGATGGCAACGACAATATTTTAGGCTTCAAAACAGCCGTCCACAAAAAGTCACTACTTCTTATAAACAGCCTTTGCTACTGATCTTTTACTATCTAGTATCTAAGCTGTACAATATGTGGACTGTTTAAGTAGGTAGGCGGATTATTAATTGTTCCCAGAGGTCTGACATTTATTGAGTGCTTTCTTCTTCAAGGTCTGCTTTGCCACGACCGGCATCTCAACAACCCATATCCACTTAGTCCCTCTTTTCTTCTTTAAAGAACAGTCAGAAAAGACAGCAGGAACGTGGAAAGAAACATAATGACAGAGACAGACGGCTTCCAAGTGTTCTTCTGATTTACAGGAACATGGCGTCTGTGGCAGCAAGGAAATTACCGACGACTGAAGTCTTTAGT